AGACGGTTTCTTTTGCAGCCCAGCCTCTTTCGTGAGAGCAAAGCTCTTCCCATCGAGATCATGGGTGATCGCCTTCGAGCGACTCCCGACGACGACCTCATAGTTCACGATTGCATCGATTGTAGTCGGCTTCCCATCGATGGTCGTGACTCTGACACTCGTCACAGGCACAGGCTGGAATATGAGTCCGCCTTGAGTAATCGCAGGCGGTGCAGTCACTACCGGTATCGGCACATATGGAGGAACAGTTGCTCCTGGTCCTCCTCTCGTAACTTGCGGCCCGTCATCACCTTGTCGAACAGTCGGGTGTCCCAAAGCTACCTGTTGATACTTCGAAATGGGGTCCAGCAGCACTACTGGGGGCGCCAGGACGTGGTGATGCTGCTGTCCAACCAGACGCGGACTGTTCAAAATGGACAGTTGGAACAGGTATAGCAGGTAGAGCGGTCGTCAAAAAAGACTGGATAATGGACCCAATGTCCGGGGGCGGTAGCAGAGTCGTTGTTGCAACGGGCCCATCTCGACCTACAGTCGTTTCAAATCCAGGCACAGAAACCTCCGGGTGCGGCCTAAGCTGTCGCGACTGTGACGAAGTCCTCACAAACCCTGGATCCTCAGTCGGCGTTGGATCCCACGGTGCTATTGTCGTCAAATTGAGCGGTGCTGCAATACCACAATCAGCACATTTCCCAAGGACGCGTCCGATCTAATATCCATTTTTGATCTGATCCCAGAATAATCGACATACCCTGGCGAATCTCGAACGCGGAAAACACAGCACAAAGCGACGCTCAGCGAAAATAGGAACCGCATTTTCGGTAGGCGCAACATAGGATCAAAGGATCAAAAGACACAATGTCAGAAAGGAACGACGAAAAGACCAGACGGAAAATAGCTGGGGACTTTACAGCCCCAAATTCTGCGATCTCGACCTGTAGATCATTGATTTCCGCCCCCACGATGCAAGGCTGAGCGCAGTTTAGGGGGGGGGGGCGCACGGCCCCAGGGTGTGGAAGACTTGCATGGACTTTGAGCGCGCAAATTTCCACAATACCAGGTCATTGAAGGATACTAGATTCGCTTATTTTCCTATTGCAGTTGCAGTGACATGGAAAAATAGGACTTATTCGCGCACCACCATTACAGTCACTTCCTCTCAACCGCGGCAGCAGAGGAGAGGATGCGCCCAGGTACTTTGCATTCGGTAGCAGCCTAGAGAGGAAGGTGTTCGCTAAAATGGACTAGGGTCGATAGCGGCGCATGGCTCGATAGAGGAATACATGTCGCTGCTTGACGCCTGTTTTGTCAGCTGAGAATAATGTCTAGATAATTGAAGGGCTTGGGGGCATGAAGAGCGGTAAGTGTGGACAGAACCTAGTTATTGGACAGATGTGCAAGTGCCTACTCGCTTCTTTCACCCCGACAACTCTATGTAGTCTCCGCGACTCCAGTCAGATGTGCACAATCGCTGACGAAGATGTAGCCAGGTGACTCTCGATATACTATCTTGCCAGATGAAGTGGGACTATGATGAGTGTGCCAGGAGGAAGCCAGTCATGTAGTTAGCAATCTGTGGTATTCAACGATGTGGCCTGAGGGTATTCCGTGCCTTGTGAACATCAGCAATATGGCCCATTCCGTCTCTGAGGTAGTCTTGCTCGCGCAGTGTGGTCAGCTTGAGTGGCAGATGCGCAGGAAACGACATTCATCTCATACCCTTCTCGGCCGTGATGCAAATATAGAACACAAGGGGGTCGACTCCAGAGGCGAAGTAGATCTGTATCTCGGACCAGTGCTCGAAGACCTCGACGCGCCACGGCTAGTCTTCGGAAATGACTTCGAATTCCTTGGAGAGTTGCTGTCGCTTGACTTTGGCCATGTCAAGTGCAGTAGGCGGTGATGGTAGGTATTTAAGATGGCAAGTAAAGGTACGAGTAGGGAAGTTGTGACAATGTGCTGGTTCTCAGGAGTGAAACTAGGTGAAGAAGACGATAAAAGAGATATCTTGGTCGTTTGCCCAGCGCAGGTGCGCGCGTCCACCATCAAGAGCAAGAGGATGTTCTAGGAACGGGATTCCTCAGATTCCGAACTGATTTAGAAGAATAAGGAATTACTTGACCTGTGACTAGGAACAAAAAGGGGTTGTCGATAATAGTTGAAGTGTGTGAGTAGGGCGTAGTGTTTACGCTCAACGTGCAGGGCCCGTTTGTCACGACATCTTCACACGCACGTCACGTTTGAATTGGACATAACGGAAGATAAGAATCAAATGTTGTGGCCTTGTAGTCTATGCCTCATTCATTCTGGAGTGTATAGAGCGTATCTACAATCCTTCCCACGTTTCACATCATCGAAAGTCAATGTTGTGCAACCTCTTCACTTATATTAGCTGTTTACCATGGAGTACTTGATTCATCTCCTTCACCCCTAGCATGCCCCTACAGTAAGTTCAGAACTGAGCGACGTGGTAACCACTATACTCCTTCTCGAGGTCACGGGCGGTACGGAAGCGACTAAGCGGACCATTGGGGTTGATGATGCCAACAGAGGATGAGATGCGGACAGTCCTTGGATCGACACCCTTCTCCTTGGTCTTATCGATGGCGGCAACAGACTTGACTGCGCTGAAGTTGCCGTGGATGCCGCTCCGGTGTCTTCATACATCTTGAAGAAAGGTAGGCCGTTCCTCGCGTAGGTCGCGGCATCGATGGGCTCGGTGGGGGGAGCTACGCCAGTGACGGAACGATATGCGGCAGAGTTGAGAACCTGCGCGTTGAAGACAGTGGTGCGGCCTGGGAGCCAATCTAAACCAAGTTTTAGCATGTAAGCATTGTGTGTACAGGTCGAGAAAATGTGGAACGTGGACTGTGTGGACGTATTGGGATGAACGTACCATCGCCTAGGTGATCCTCCTCAATGACTTGGTGAATCTTGCCACCGGCTGCAACGGTCATTTCGTGAACCGGTTCCACACCGGCGCCAAGAAGCCTGAGAACGACGTGGACAGTACCCTCGTATAGGATCTTGTAATGAGCGATAGTCCTGCCATCCTCAAGCTGCTTTCCAGCAAAGATGAGCCGCATCTGGTTCCAGGGAATACCTTCTTTGTCCTCGATGCGACACTTGATGACTTCGACAGTATCTTCCCTGTGGGCTCTCAGTGTGATTGTTTTGCCGGTGAGAGTCTTCACGAAGATGACGTGCTTGCCCTCGGTGTAACCCATTGGTCTTGGAGCAGGAAGTAGTGCGAAGCTGAATGACGGGCGTGGCTCATAGGGAACGACTTCGAATTGGATGCCTCCTGCAGCGTCCTTACCTGTGATCTGAGACTCAATCGAGTGCCCACTGCCGAATGGCATGGCGACGAATTGACGAACGGTGCCGTTGGAGTCAGCGATGCCATCGAGCCACAGTTGACCAGGCACGATAATGTAGTCTTGAAAAGCATATGCCAGAGCGCTATCATGGCTGTGGCGCGCCATCGTTTGCTGACGTCGTAACTTGGTGCTCGCATCTTCTACGGCATATTCTCCGGAGATGGCGTTGACGCCGCCAACATAGATCTTGATCATGTAATTATGGGTACCGCTCGACTTGAAGTTGATCCACATGGCCTCTGACTCTGTGCTGTGTCAGTAAGAAACCCAATGCTCCTCACTCTGGATTTACTCACGGTACATGGGCAAGAACACACCACCCTTGGCCGTCATCGCAGTGCCTAGCTCCTTTTGATACCTCGAGACAGGCTTAAGCGGGAAGGAACCTAGATTGGGCGGCAGGAATGATGTCTGGTGATTGTCTGGGACGCGGATGGTGCGCTGGAACGAGATGCGCAGATCGTCGTTGATGACAATGGCGTCACCTTTCAGCTCGCACTTCAGCGCCTTGTTGTCGGTCGGATCCCTCATGTCGAAGTCTATGTCAAGCTGTTGTTGGTTTGATCTAGCGAGTCAAATGTGTGGCGGAGGAGGTGAGGTTGAATGTGCCAGCCTCTTGGTTGTCAAAAGTTTGGTTCGGACTGGAGAGGGACCCACTGCGCTAGAGCAGGTGAGAGCAAGTACAAGCCCCAATCAATTCAGAAATAAGCTGGGCTGGTATTTTGGCCGAAGACTTTGCAAGGTGAGAGGTAATATTCGTGCCTGCCATGTTTGGCAAGTGCGGGCTTTGAGAAACACGTTGCGTTCTGAGGCCCTTGTAGGAGATACAGCGCATCGGTGACAGTATTATGTTTGGTATCACAATCTTTTCCAAGTGACCCTATCTCATATAGGCAACATAAGCAGCCGCGCTCAACAAGGCGGCGTGGTTCCCGTGTTTGCTGTAACACAACCTGGGTAAGTGCACACCACACCGCGAACCATCACTTGAAAGGTGAACACCAAAAATCCCGCAGGTGGGTGATGAATACAAAACAGAAGCTCACGTCTCACTGATGGAGATAATGTATGCACCCGGTTCCCAAAATGCTCGTCCACCACGCGCAGCAACCACGATGAAATACAACACGCAACAAGCACAAGCAAATCACCCAAATCCACACTCTCATTGTCTGTATTGATTACTTCGTCCCACCTCACATCAAACCCCGCCGCCCCTCCCTCACCCCCGTCAGACTCCTCCTACAATCCCCACAATACCCCTTAACCCACGCCTCGACCGCCTTCTCACCCTTCTTCCCCCCATCCCCAATTACCGCGCCCACGCGCTCGCACTTATCTGTCTCATCCAGCAGCCAATTCTCATACTCGGCTTCGACGACCTCCTTCTCAATGCGATTGACCACACGCAGCGCGACGAGCAGGTCGTGGCGATGCGAGCCGAGATTCTGCCGCGTGCGGTGCAGGCGACGTGTGCTGTGTGAGGAGGATTTCAGGGGCGAGTTGAGGGATGATGAGGTGGAGGGGTTGTGGAGGAGGTGGGTGAATGTTTGGTGGCTGGGGGTGTTAGTGGTGGGAATTAGTGAGAGGGGGAGAGGGCGTACCATTTGTTGTCAATACTGCTACCGGGCGGTATTGACACTCCGATGCTTGTATTGTTGGGGTTGAGGAAAGGATTGCTCGATGTCGCTCAGGTAGACTGAGCGCGTCATGCTGGTGGACGGGCTGACGCCCAGCCGCGACATGTATCTGACGGCGGCTCGTTCGTTCCAGGATACCCACCCTTCTTTTGATGTGTAGATGAAGTTTGCGCCGCCGCTCAAGACTAGAAGTACAACGAGCAACTTGTGAGCTGAGATGACGTTGGCGAGGCCAGCGAATGCGGCTAATATCCAACTCATCACTGTTGATACTATGCTGATGATGATATTTCCAATGTATTGTGCAATGAACGACCCAGTAGTCTGTGGTCGCAGCTTGAATTTGCGGGGTCGATTTGGTGGTGGTATGTCTTGTGCTGTCATCTGTACTGCTTGCGCTTGTACACCCAGCAAGCCAAATATATTGGTAACCTTGGCAGTGGTTCTGTTGTGCCCTAAGCGCGCGATCTGATCGTTGACAACGTCAACAAGATCTTGTGCCTCAAGCTCCATGTCTTGTAGGCCCTGGCGCTCAATGAGCTTCTTTGCAAAGCGTGGGTTGCGTTTCCAGTCTATCTTCGAATAGATCGAAAGCTTGCAGCGCGCTTTGTGAACGTGTGTGATGACAATTTTGCTATGCAGGACGAAGCGTTCGTTGCCGGGCAGGTACCAGGGCGTCTTCTTGTCCGTGACGACGTAGCACAAATGGTCATTCAGGACTTCAATAACCTGATAGTCGTTGATGACAGTACGCTCGTTCTTGCCCGACTGTATGATCTCGTACTCGAAATCTCGCCGTTGCAGGGCTTTATCTTTTGTTACCCATGGGCCCTGAACAACACGTTGCGCCCATCGTTCTCTGTATAGCAGCTGGAACACTGCGCTCTTATCGCCAAAGAGGATGTGGAAGAGCCCTTTGGCGCTGATGTCGTACTCTTTCTCGACAGCAACCTGGGTCATGCCAGATGGCGTGAAGACCACAGGGTGTGACGGCAACTTGAATTTTGTGGCAGTCTTCGCAGCGCCCGCTCCGGTGGGTCCAAAAAGGTTGCCATCAATACGAAGACTGGTCTTGATGTTCTTTCCGCCGTAACCTGGATCCACAGGCGTGTCGGGCGAGATTTCTTCCCAGCCATCATCGCCCTCTGACGGTTGGTTGTCATCTGTTTCGAGCTTGATGAGCCTCTTGATAGTGTCTTCGAGGTTATGCTCTCCTGTGGTAGCATTCTTGACCAGAAAATTCAGTCGCCGCAGAAGGAGCTTCAGTGGCTCCAAGAAGGTCTTGACGGTAAGCCTGGTAGCGCCATCCTCTCGTGCTCCGGACTTGAAGTGGAAGAACAGGAAGTCACAATCTTTGCCAGGAGCTGCGGTCACTTCGTCGATGGATGCCATGCTGATACCAGTGATAAGCACAAGTCCGAGATGATTACTGTAAAAGTAGACATTTTTGGAAGTGACATAGACGCGGCCCGGAAACTCTTGTTGCTCGGTGGGATTCCAAACAGCGCGGAACACCAACACGACCTTTTCGTCACGCGGAACTGTTGGGAATAGGATGCGGAATTGGGCATCTTGCATGCGAAGTGCGGGAGGGTACTGCATTGGAAACTCGTCCACACTGACGGCATTTCGACTCTGTGTTGGCACGAGACCTCCCATACTCGTAGACTTGCGATGTGTTACAATAGCTGACTCTCCAGGTTTGGCTTCAATTTCGGTCTGGTCTTTGGTTGGTTCAAGCACCGGTGAAGGTTCGAGTGGACTTGGGGGACCAGACTTGCCCTCATCGCGGGACAAGAGGTCGACATATCCCCAGTTCACAGAGCCCCACAAATTGGCCATCAATCCACCAGGCATGTTACCTGATCGGCCGATGCCCAGTCCGCGCTCTCCACTCACAGCAACCGCAGCTTTACTGAGGTTGGTTGGTGCGGGCGGGCTTGCAAGGGTGGACGGAGCCAGACTGGTGTAAGGCAAAGTCTGGCCCATGACAAGTCGCGTATCTGGAAGCCCAGGTGCAGGAGCTGATATCTGTCCAACCTGTACGATGTTATGACTAGCTGAGGCAAGACTTGCAGAGATGAGGCTAGCAATGCCACCAGATGCTGAAGAGGGGTTGCCACTCAGCTGAGGGCTTACTGCAGACTTTCGCGTCAGGTCAAGCTTCTCCATGATCCTGGCACGACTGCTCTCGCTCCCCGGTTCAACCGTTGTGTTACGTCGAGGGACGTCGAAGCTACCACGGGCAGCATCATTACTAGGGAGGGCAAGGGTTTCGGTGCGATCTATGCTGCCGATGTCGTCACTTGGATGGGCTGCATGGCCATCTGAGGTCTTTGCAGCAAACTCGGGCGCGACAGGGGGGCTGATGGAGAAAGCAGCGTCAATGGAGCCCAGAGCGCTGGATGCTTCTCTTGAAGTGGCCTCCAGAGCTTTGCGCTTGGCCACCTCGAAAGATGATATCCATTCGGTGATGTCGCCCTGCGTCTCGGCTTGCAGGAGGATAGTCGTGTCTTTTGTCTTCACTTCGAAGCAGAACCTTCGCTCTTCTTGGAATGCTGGGCGAATACCGCACAGTAAGACGCCGATCTTCTCCGACTCCTCAACTGCGCCTGACCGCGTGCCCTGTGTGAGCCAGCCAAAGATACCGTCCTTGACGAAGAACCACCTCCTAACCCAGTATGTGCGCGCAGGCTTGCCGGTGATGGTGCGCTGGAAGAGCCAGCCCTGCTTCTCTGCCTTTTCGCTACCAAAGTTTGGTTTGGCGGGCGACTGGATGTTGGCTGAGGATGGCTGGGTGCCGAGATATGGGACGGTCGATGCGGCATATGTTTCGAGCTCTCGCGACGGGCGGGCAGCGACTTCGGCTGCGTGCTCTACTTGCTGCCGCGCCAGGTGTAGCTCTCGCTTGAAGACGCGCTCGCCGTTCTCCATCTCCTTGCTCCAGCCACGCACACGCTCCACATCCGACGTCCAGGTAGCCAGGACCTTGGTCGACGTCTCTCTTGCGACGCGCATATCGCGCCATTGCTCGTTGACCACCTTGACCAGGATCTTATCGAGGGTCAATCTGACCTGGGGAGCCATGACACAAAAGTTCATGCTGGCGGTGAGGTAGGCCCGCCTCGCCTCATGCAGCTGGAAGGCATCTTCTCGCAGTGAAGACGGCTCCTTGGCCTTGACCTGCCCCGCGTATCGCGCAATGGCTCCGTCGAAGATGCGCTGGGTCGAGTCGAGGTTCTTGCGCGCCTCCTTGAGCATGCGCAGGTCGTTGGACAGGAATGCTCGTATTGGCTCGCAGACAGTGCTCTCCGCCCTCTTCATGCTCCGTATGGTGCTGTTCCAGAACTCACGTGCCCCCTCTCCGAACCGTTTCAGCGCCAGAACGGTGTAGTCATGGTCGAGGACAGCTTCGGACAGCTGCAATGGAGGATGCGAGGCTTGTATGTATGCGTCTACGAGTGTTTGCACATTGTTCAGCTCGGCGGTGAGCTTGGATGCCGTGCGGACATAGTTGTCGAGCCATCGCTCTATCAGCTCGATCTGGTCGCCAAAGTGGACGGCGGTCGCGCGGAACGTGGGCGAGTCGAGGGCCGCTTCTTTGATCACAACGGGGCTGGACTGGTGTTAGTAGTCGTGGCATGTCTTCGTGCTTCGTCCCAACTTACATCAGCGCCAGCGGCCTCTCGACGGGCTCTAGTGCGGGCTGCAGTGCAGTCTCGTCGGCCATTTTTGTTGTGTGCAATGCTAGGGAAAGGGCTATCTACAGGAATGAGGAAGATTATGTACGTATGATATACATCGTAGTGAAAGCTCAAGTGAGCATAAGCATGTCTTGCACTGCTCTTTCACGCCTCACTGTCTCGAAGATGGACGATTGCGGCGTTGCGCCGTCATCCCCGGGTCGACGTCAGGGTCCGGGGCCCACGCGAAATCTTGGCGGCCGCGGCTTCCTAAATTTTTGTTCCAGTCGCACCTGCCGACTTTGCGAATTGCACCTGCTTGAACCACAGAAATGCCGCGGACAAAGGATAAGCAGGCCACCAACGGCGGCAAGCGCCACCTCTTGAACGACGACCCCTTTGCTCTGCAAAAAGAAAGTTCACGCCCAACCAAGAAGGCAAAGCTGCTCGACGACAGCGACAACTCGGACGCAGAGGACGGCGGCGTGACGCTGAAAGTCAACGATGAGTATGCGAAGCGCTTCGAGTACAACAAGAAGCGCGAGGAGAAACACAGACGTATGTATCACGTGCGCGCAAAGAATCCATTCTGTCACTAACACCTCAAAGTCGAGGAGAAATATGGCAAGAGCAAAGCATTCCAAGCTCCCCGAGGATGACTCGGAAGATTCTGAGGAAGGCGTAGAGGAGGATGACGCTGCCGAACTGCTCGACGAGACGCTCGACGACGAAGTCAATGCCACCCTCCAAGCCCTGCGCGCAAAGGATCCCGCCATCTACAACAAGGAAGTGAAGTTCTATCGCGAGCTCGAAGAGGACGACGACAGCAAGGACGAGGGAGAGAAGGAGCAGACTATGACACTGAGGCAATATCACACTAAGAACCTGCTCGAAGGTAACTTGCCTGAAAATGACGATGAGGATGCGCCACCAAGGACATATGCCCAGGAGCAGGAAGAAGTAAGGCAGAACCTTGTCAAGGAAATGCACGCAGCTGCCGAGGAGGATGGCGAGGGTGACGACTTCCTCGTCGCGAAGCCGAAGCCAGCATCTTCAAAGAAAGATCGCGTCAAGATCACTACTATGGATGTTTTGCACGCCGACAAAGACCCTGAGACATTCCTCTCCAACTTCATGGCCTCGCGCGCATGGGTGCCAACCGACAAGGCCCGTTTCCAGCCACTCGAAGACGACGACTCCTCTGAGGATGCTGCAGCTGACGAGTGGGAAAACTCATACAACCTGTACTTCGAGGACACTTCTGGCGCGAACGAGAAGATCATGACATATGCGCGTGACGCTGTCGCAAGCACCACAGTTCGCCGCGACGACGCGACTGGTAGACGCAAAGCACGTGAGGCTGCAAGAGCGAAACGTGAGGCCGAAAGGCGCGAGAAGGAGCAGGACCTAGCGCGACTACGGAAGCTGAAGATCGAGGAGATGGAGCAAAAGGTACAGCAGATCCGTAAGATCGGAGGCCTGAGTGGGCGCGACTTCAAGATTGAAGAGTGGAAAGACGTGCTCGAAGCAGACTGGTCCGACGACCAGTGGGACGCAGAGATGCAGAAGCGCTTCGGCGAGTCTTACTACGAGGCGCGCGACGCTGGCTCAGGAAGCGATGACGAAAGGTCCAAGAGCAAAAAGAAGAAGCCCAAGAAGCCCAAGTTCGACGACGACATCGACATCAAAGACCTGATCCCCGACTTCAAGGACGATGAGGAGGAGCGCCCCGATATTACCCTATCCTCCGACGAAGAGGATTTGGACGCCGGCGCTGAAGACGAAGAATCCACCAGCAAATCAAAGTCGTCCAAGAAGCGCAAACAAGAACGTGCCGACGCCAAATCCGCTGCTCGCCGCGACCGCCGCTTGATCGAAAACCTCGTCGCCTCCAACCTTGAATACGAAGCCGCCCTCGCTGCGAAACCAAAAGCACCCACGCGCTTCCGCTACCGCGAAACTTCACCTACGACCTTTGGTCTTACGGCCCGCGATATTTTGCTAGCTGATGACAAGCAGCTGAACGAATTCGCCGGGCTGAAGAAGCTCGCTGCATTCAGAGATCCGGATAAGAAGAAAAAGGACAAGAAGCATCTGAGTAAGAAGGCGCGGCTAAGGCAGTGGAGGAAAGAGACTTTTGGGGATGAAGACGGACCCAAAGGAGGGTTTGAGGTGCTGGATGGAGGAGCGGGCGAGCCGATGGAGATTGATGGGAGCAACGTCATTGAAGGCGAGAAAAAGAAGAAGAAGAGGAGTCGCAAGAGGAAGGCGGGTGCTGAGGAGATATAAAAGACAATGTTTCTTTCTGTATCTGTGTATACTCAGATCAAACATACCCTTTTCGAGACGTAGTAGAAATGTACTTTTTCACTACATCTTTCCGCAAAAAGTCATGTCAAAACTGATCAAATGCATAAAAGTCATGTGTGATGTGGGATGCTTTTACAGCTACCACACCGCATCCCATTTGCGTCTATGAGCTATATCCTGAAGAAATGTTTCCTGTCCTTGATTATGCGAGAACGAAAACAGATGAGGTGATGTCGATGGTTCAACGTCTAGTGTTGAGACGTGTCAAAAGCATGATAATTAGGAGCCTTGGGCGTTGGACTGTAAGAAAGGGATTCGCAGGTCTCATGGCAAAAATGTCGACGGGCAGACAACAATGGTCATTCACAGCAAGCAAGCAAACAACACTCGAGCTCCGGCACACAAGCTGCTAGCGCTTACCTCATACAAAGGGATTAACTCGCAGTCCAATTGTACCAGTCAGTCTTGGGGATATTCTTTTCATTGATGAGCTATGTATCACTCGCCCACGCGCAAGCTCATACCGAGCTAATCGCAGCCCGACTCTCGCGTTCCCAAATTGGAAGGTATCATGATATCGTAAAGAAAGCACAAGTGTCCGCCTCCACGCTTCAGCAGCTGTAAGCCAACCAGATCATGTGCATGGCATAGAAGACCAGTCATTCAATAATTCGTCATGAAACGGTGACATCGACATGGTGACAATCGACGAAGAGTATGCAGGTACGGGATGGTGGTGTCGCACAGCCGTCGCACGGGGAAAAACGCTCTACTCCTCTTCGTCGGGCTGGTCGAAGAGGAAGTTGGCAGCTAGCTGCCTCGTTCTTGTCGCACGCAAAGTAGGCCTGGATGACAATGTCGCGCTCGAAGCCGAGACGACACAGGCGCTCAATAGCCTCGCGCTCGTCCTCGGTCACAGAGATGGCTTGGGTACCAGGAGGTAAGGGCGCATCGTCGTCAGCGTCCTCGGCAAGCAATTGCAGGAACTGCTCCGGGTTTGCTGCAATCATCTGGGCCAATTGTGGGTTCCCTGCGCCGACCTGCTGGAGGATGGGCTCAAGCATTTGCGGCTGCTGTTGTACAACCTGTCGTAGCTGCTGAAATTGAGGGTTGTTGCGCAAGAACTCGAGACTGTTAGCGTTGAGCGCAGTGGCACCGCCTGCTCCAGCGGCAGCACCAGTAGCACCTGAGCGGGCAGCACCTCCAGAACCGCCGCGCTGACGCGCGACTCTCGTGCAGCAGCTTCGAATAGGTTGATCGGCTCGTCTCCGCCAGAGGGTGCAGCGGTAGCACCTGTGTTGCCACCGGCCGCAGGCGTAGGTGAACTCGGTGCATTTGCCTGTGCGGCTTGTGCCTGCTCTTGACGTGCGCTGTCAGGAATACCCTAGAAATTGTCAGATACTGCCCAAGGTGGATAGAGTACCCAGTGTCTTACGGTAAGGAGGTACTCGACCGCGCGGTCGGGGTTGAAGAAGGCGGCGCGCATGGCAGCATCGATGTCGGCCCTCGCGAAACCCATGCTCTCCATGTTGGCCACAGCCGCCTCGCGCTCGTTGCCCATGGTCAGGGCGGAGGGGTCATCGAAGTTACGTCCAGTCGCCTGTGTAGCCGGCGCGGGCGAGGGCGTAGCGGGCGCATTCTGTGAGACCGCGGATAATGGGGCTGGTGCGGCGGGAGCAGCTGGGGTCTGAGCAGCAGCTGGGGCTGGTGTGGAAGGGGGAGCTTTACTTGACGATGCGGCGGGGGCTTTGGGCTGCGGTCTTGATTAGCCAGGACCATCTGTGGTGGCAGTAGCTAGCAGCGCGGACCTTGGAGACCATGCACACGATGAAGCCCTTCTCCTCGATGCTGTACGACTCTACTGTGTTGGCATCTTGAAGGATCTTGCCTATTCGCCTTGTCAGCCACTGCCGTCGCCATGATGCCGCGGGGCAAGCTCACCGGAGTAGATGAGCTTCTGCTGGGGCACCTCCCAGCCCTTGTCCGCCTGGATCTTGGCCTTCAGTTCGCCGATCTGGTCGCAGAGTTAGCTGGGCGTTGACGTGATGGCGCGCGGTGGCGGGTGTAGGTACCGTTTCCGACGGCTCGGCCTCGATGACGAACTTGTTCTGCTTGAGGTCCTGGGGTGTGTGAGTGATGGCGACAGAAAAATGTCGCGAGGCGGATCTACCTTGAAAGTGATCTTCATCTTTGCGGCGGTATCTGCGAGGATGGTTGAAGCTGGAGCGGGGTGGTGGAGGCAAGGCGGGGTCGAGAAGGGACCTCTCAGTATTAATATGGTGCGAGGAGGTGGTCGCAGTGAGGGCGGGCAGGCTGCAAGCTACAGGCGATCTGGGCGTTTGCCTTTAGAAAGCAATGGAACGGCGTTGTGTTAGGCAGGCAGAGACTCTGTCGTGAGCGAGCTTGCTGCGTCGAGCGAGGCTCCGCAAATGCTTGGCGCCATGCGCCACAGTAGCGCCACATCGGCGCCACAGCGGTTCTCAACTGCGAAAGAGTGTGATGGCTAGACAGGTTCTTGCTAATCAAGTGTTGATGTGAAGCTACACACGGTATCACTAGGCTTTAAATGCAAGAGTCATGATGTACGTGAAGCTTCTGCGATATTGCCGCATAGAGTAGGCCACCTGCTGGACCCTGGGCGCTTCCCTTCGTACATGACAGCATGCATCATCTTCAAGACTCCAACCTCAATCTCAATCTTCACGATCGAGCCCTGCCTGTCCAGTCAGCCGGCCGTTCACGGCACCCGCTGCAAATGAAGTGCGCCACCGGCCACGCACTCCGACAGGGCTTTCTCGCGGATGAGGCTTCTTAACTTCCATCACTGACGCAATACCCAATCTCCGACCCAGCTAGCGTTCGTTCACTCAGGTTCGCGACGGCACGCAGCAACAGCCCGACTCATCGACAAGTGCGCACGCATGGATGCAACAGTCGAAGCCGATGACACGTAGTCGGCCCTGATTGTCGCCAAGCCGGGGCTCCCACGCATTCGCCTGTTTGTTTCACGGCCACACGACTCGCCGGCAAACGTGAGAGGCGACGTCCTGTTTCAGGGCTATCCCAAACAGCGGCCTGAGCACCTGAGCACAGAACATGCAGACGGTGTACAACCGCCGTCGTCTGCGAGGTGTATCGATATGCAGTGCCCTCGGCCACTGCAGAGCACCACGCTATCGACCGGTGAAACCTCCGTATTGCCCTCCTGAGCGCATCGTGGCTCAGCATCATGCTCAGATGAAGACGGCCGAGGCCGAAGTTGCCATGTTATGCTTCGCCAAAAGAAGAAATACAAACAACGCGTGAGAGATGAGGCCTAGCCGCAGCATCAAAACAATGACAGGCGCATCCCTACACACGCCGCCTCTTTCAGGCTTCTCCGTTAGTGGCGCTAGAACACGTTCATCGTGTCCCCTGCCTCACGTTCTTACAGTATGACGCTTCCGAGTCAGCACCAATATGCGCAGATGTCGGGGCTCTTGCTAGATCCTGCAGTTTGTGAAGCGTCTTCTGCGAATCGTACCCGGTAAGCGTGCATCACACGTCGTACGGCCATTGATTCTCGATCTTCCGCTACGGCATGCCTGCGTTGATCCACCATATCCCAGCTCGCCTAGGGGCCCCCCGTCGCACCTCCAGGTAACGGGTCGCAGAGACAAAGCACACATTCAGCTCTGCCCTCTCGTAAAATTATTAACTCGTCGTCCCCGCACTGTTGCGTTCGCTATCGTCAATCCGTCTCTCGCTCGATATTCCATCCGACTTTCCATCCTCTATCGCTGCTCGTCTCTCGACCGTTGTGACTATTTTCAGACTACAGAATCTACACTCGGCCAATTGTCGTCGCTCCTCCACTCGCCTACCGCAGCCACGCCTCGTTAAACGGTACGCTATCCGCATCGAGCCTCCGCGTCCTGCCAGCCGCGTTCAACTATAGGGCCTCCACCTATACAATCGGCTCATCATTTTATTTCGTTCCTCAGACGCGTTGTTGATCCTACCCCGCGACTTTCCACAGCAACCTTGTGGGTACAAACCATCGTTTCAGCTGTGTTCAAAGCACCGCTTCCGCTCCGTCCCCAGTCCCAACTGTTAAGTCAGTCACATCCACAAGTTTTGGATCTGCTGCGAGTCGGATCCCACTGCTTGCCAAGCTATTCTGTTAATGCTCGCACAATTATAATACCGTCTGCCCGCAGGACGCCATCCCATTTATATCACACCGTCTTTCGACACGTTATCCGAGCAAGCATCGTCTTCAACCTACATCAAACGACGGTCCGCGGGCCTCTCTTCGCTTGCCGGAACCGCCTTTCTCTCCCATAATGTTCCAGTCACGCAAATTTTATCTTTCCTTGGTTGGGGTCATAGCCAGCTCTAGTACTATCGCGGAAACCGTCTTAGCCATCCTAGAGGCAACATCTTTTTCTGTTGCACACAGTTCGCTCCTCCAAGTTGCAGCAGCTTCGAGTGCTCTTGATGTGGTCTCAGTCTGCTGCATTGGTCTATACACATATCAAAGTGTGCGACCAAGAAGTGCATCAGCCCAGAGTACTACTCACAACAGAGCCCTGACCTCGCTCTACGTCTTCTTATGCGGGGCCGCTCTTATTGTCGGGCTTGCGCTACTTGTCATGATCAAGTCCCAATGGGAAGAGGTCCAGACTTCTTCAAGGGGCCCTGTGTCAGACTGGACTCGTCATGTTGTGGCACACATTGCTCTTTGGGCTGTCTCCTGCGCCAGCCAAATCGTCCTATACACTTCGGCTTTCTGGAGTCCAACAGCACCCAAGCTTCATGCGATCACGACCTCTGGCCCTCGAGACTCAATCATGTCCGACCTTCGCAGCAACCGGTTCTTGATGAAATCCAACCAGCCATCGTCCCTTGCGGATACGATGCACTCGCCTACATACTCTGCAGGATCTTCTCAGTCTCTGAAGTCTTTCAGGGACTCTATGCGCCATGTTGTGCGTCCAGCAACTTCTCGAACTACACTCATCGGCAGGACTTCACTCACGCGCGATGCAAGCATTCACTCTCAAGCTGAGTCATTTGACCACGTTCCTCACTCTGATGGGTTCGATAGCTGGGACACAAGTAGCGTGAGCCTGCAGGCTCGTGATGCAGTAATGCAGTCTGTATCATCACGACGCACAGCCTTGGACCCCATCCCTGGCAGCCGACCAACGACACCTGCCTATTCCCTTGAGGGTCCTTTCAACTCGGAACTTGAGGAGGACGTTGAAGAGTTGGCCCCGCCACCAAGGATGATGCACGATTATTCACGACCATCGAGCCCAGCAAACAGCGAAGCACATATTCATCACGCTTTTCCGATCGGAAAGTCCCATTCCAGCACCAGAAGCTACGCCCGGCACCAACATTCTTGCCAGCCCTTTCGCAACCCAAGCGATTACATGTCCGACAAGGTCTATCAACCGCATAAGATCGAATTCCCACTTGAGTCAGGCTCGCGAGCCCAAGACTCGTGGCAGACCATCAAGCCCGCACGCATCGTCGCGGACCCCCAGCCCCATCAGCAGGGAACTCACACCTCCGATCCCAGACTACGTTCTAAACTCCTCGCCGCGCAGTAGTCTGAGTATCAGCGGTGGTCGAAGAGTTCCGCTCCAATACTCGCCAGACCGGTGATCACGCACTTCATAACGATTTCTTTCGCCATTCGTACGACCTTTCCTATATCATATGCTTCATGTGACACGATCTGCATCCGTTATGCACATAGAGGGGCGTTGCTATATCTCCTTTCCTTTTCTTTTCAGTCATCAGCTCTCGCCTTCAGCGGCTCGATCGAGCTTTCTTTTAGTGTATTTGGCAAAGCGTGCGCGGAAGATACCTGGCCTGTGCGGCTCTGATTTTCGTCTCAAAAGAAGACATCATAATCCTAGTTGCGTAGTATCTTTTTTTTTGTCTAATCCCATCTTAGAAGAAGGAACCGGATACGAATTATGCCGTAGAAATGTACTGTCAATCTATAAACCATATCTATCATACATACATTCCTGTCTACGAATACCCTGGTGCATTTTTGACGATCTTCCCAAGTAGCCTTTCACCTCGCCGTCCCCCGCACTTGACGTCCTCACCAAAAACGTCCCCAATAAACTCAAATATACGCCATCGCAACCACACAATTGATTTTCCGCCACCCTCAACCCTTAAGCCGATCCCGCGGCCATGAACGACAGCCCGTCAAAACCCAATTCTTGCGTTCCCTCTCTGCATAACCTTTCGCGTACTTAGCACCGCAACTGTAGCGTTAGAAACCGGGCCTTTGGAGTTGACAGCCACATCCCTGCAACACGCGTGGAAGGGATGGAAGCTTCTGCGCGCGCGCCTCATTTCCAAAAATCAGTCATTCGCCCGGGAAACGGGCGCGGCGATAAGACGGGAGATGCGAGAATCATGCTTTGGTGATTGCGGGTGGGAGCGTGGTGGACCGTGGGGCTGGGACGGTGTGCTAATGTCGTGATGGTGTGCTGTTCATTTGCGCGAGGCTGTCATGGATGGGGGAGATAGAGTTGGGTTGCTAGGTGCGATGGGTTCGTAAGGCTGGTGGTTGCGCGGAGTAATGTTTTGAGTCTGTACTGTGGGGATGATATGTGGCGGTGACGTTGGTGTGGTACGTACTCTTGAAAGGTATTGCGCGAAGTTTGTCGGAAGTGGAGATTGTGAGGTTGGATTTTGGGAGTGCGAAGGGTTGATGAGACGGTTGTATGGTGTTGTCGAAGCAACGTGAAGGGTAGAGCGGTTGCGTGAGGTGTTCATTGCTGGCATGGCTATGCAGGTATGTTGCGACTTGTTATCGAACTCCACAGCTCACTTTGCGATTATTTGCATAGATGGACTACTTCTAGCCAGTGTTTACAGATTGTACTGCCTTCTCACTGGAGCGCTATGAGAAGTCACATGTCTATACAGTGATGCGCAAATCCATAGTTCGAGTGCGATCCGATTCTCAGCGACTTGAAGCCGACAGCTTTCTGCAGGATGAGTACTGGTGTGATTGAGGGAGTTTTCAACAGTTTTAGTTCACACAGTGTCCCTTGATATTGGTTCACAGGATGACTTGTTTCCGCTTCACAGCATGCGTCTTCCGAGCTCTCATGTTAGGTACTTCAGACATCGGATAGTACTCGGCCAGGACGTAGGTAAGGGTGGAATAACTTGCCGGATAGCAGGAGTGTCACGTAGATTGCCCCCAAGAACTAACGCTCCCCAGCTTCTCGAAATTACCACCCAATATGCTCACTGCTGACACTGTCAGGACAGGCCCACCAATCTCCGTAAGAGGCATTGAGACTGAGTCAAAAGTCCTGCGTATGCTGTTCATGCATCGTGCTCAGCCTCACGCGCCCCTTTCGGTCTTGACTTATCGTTACAGGAACATCACCCTTTGGACATGTTGCCGGAATTTGCGGAAAGGGCTGCAAAAGGAGGTGCGGCAGATCGTTCCATTCCCGCTACGGTAGCGGCCGCGATGACGCGCTGTGTCCTGAAACATGGCTGAGGCAAACTCTCTTTGAAGCAGATGCTCTAGAAACAGCTATATATGTGATTCCGGCTATACGCTCGTGTTGGTGCAACGAATTGTGAGGCGTACTGGACTCAATCTGTATTGCTTGTGATTTTTGGTGCATTTCGTGAAGGCTGAAGATGATGTGAGGCGCAATTTTAGCTTGCGTAGCTTACCCTGTTTGGTTGGAGCATGCAGAAGCTGCCAACGTACCAAGGTTGCCAAACCGCCAGCAGGCGGATTGCATCCACGGTTACTACGTCCAGATGAAAACATTCACTACATATTCATACAGGTATTCCCCGTGAAAACTCTCTGTAGCATCGTGTTGGTCTTCAAGATATAAGCGCCGTGGTTGGTCAGACACAATCCCTGTACTGTTACCAGTTTAGGCCTAGGCCGATCCGGCGCATGCTGGATTCCAAGTGCTCAGCGACACCACCATCTCTCAGGGCTATCACGGACTGCCACGCCATCGGCATCTCTCGAAACTTGCTTCACGAGATCAACTTCCGCTGCGCTTCATATCTATCGCAAGTCGCGACTGCGCACTCGCCATATCTTGTTCTCCCAATCGCGCCACGCGACCATTTCCTTGCCCGGGTGGCCATTTGGCAAATTTACTGCGACAAGAAGGTCACTTATTGGAACCATCTGAGAAATTCACCACTTGATTAGAGCCATCTCACGGGCGATGAGACTCTTGAACCGTGCGCTCTGACTGTCCGCAACTTGCTTGAACAAGTCATTGTGCTACGGTATTTGGCCAGGTACGCTCACATTCACCATTCGTATACGCACAATCACTCTCACCGGAGCTAAATCCTATTGGAATTTTCAAAATTATGGAAACCTTAGTCTTGATTGCCCAACTCGTTGCAATTTTCTCAACACCTGTTTCCTTCAACGGCTGACATTTCCTGCTTACAGCCTGAACAGCACCAAAGCACTCTTTCCTTCAGGACATTACTACGGTCGTCCGTAATAAGGCGTCCCATTCGCGAGGCGATACAGAATTTGCATCGGGTCTATCTTTCTATCTAACCATTGTACGGTAAGTCATACCCTTCAAGAGAGTCCTGCGTTCTCCGAACAACCTTTGCTTGCCAGCCAAGTGTGTATGATCATTGGGACTGGCCTGTTTATCTCCATACGCTGAATATGTGCTGACCAGCAACAGTTGAAAGTATCAATAGTGCATCGTGTACACTCAGGAGTTGACGGCTAGTGCTCGCAGTCGCACCTGCCGACACAACAATGCCGCCGAAACGCAAGAACAAAGCAGCCAAGGCAGCATCCATCCTGCCCCCAAAGAAGCCGCGTAAGTTTGCACGCTCTCGCATCAACATCTCAAGCGACCATGTGTTCGCAGCATATTCTTTACTAACGACCTTGGCATAGCACATACGGCTAGCGAGGGTCCGGGCACTAGTAGGCCGGGGCAGGTTCGTCGCAACAGCCTTGGTGGAAGAACGTCGCATCTACCACCATTCTCTATGACAACAAGACGCGGCGCGAAGACTGCGTCGGCGGCATCAAGCGCAAACTCTGGCAGCCGTCGCAGCTCGCTCGATGATGTTGCGCAACTCCAGGATGCACCATCCGACTCTGAAGATGAAGGACCAGCCAAGGATTCTGGTTCGCCCATGTCCAATGGCTCTTCTAACAACAAAGCATTCATGAACGACTCTATCACTGTCGCGACAACCGCGCCAACAAGAACAGCTGGCAAGAAAAGACGCGCATCAGATTCGACGCAGTCTAGTAATACCCTCAAGACGCGCCCCAGTAATGGTCTTACCCGAAACCAAAGCGATCTCTCCGAGCAACAACCGCGCAGGAAAAAGCGCAAAACTGCAGCCGGAACCCCTGCAGAATCTGCGGATCAACCTCCTGAGTTGACCGATGCGAGTACCGCGCCGAATTCACCTGAACAGCTTCCAGATGTTGATGGAAATCAAAGCCTTCAAAATGTGCTGCCGACTAATGGTGATGCCCCTGCCAAAACCGGCAGGCGGCTGCCCGGACGTCGACGCCAACCGCATCCGGACATCAACATCGAGACCGATCTGCGCCGCCAGCTCAAACTCAAGATGGACTATCGCAGCCTCGCAAAAGTCCAGAAGTCAATTCTCGAGGAATTGTCGAAACGAACACTTAGCAATCTGCAAAAGGACCAAAATTTTCATACGCAATGTCCAGAATACAGACCACTCATGGCGCAATTGGACGAGCGCAGGAATGGTCGTGTAAACCAGATCCATGCAGTGCGCACTTATCGTATGGAGCAATCAGAGCGCGTGCGCATCGCAGAAGAGCATATCCAAAAAGAGCAATACATCGTAAGTCAATGACTTCCTGGGGTAAACAACACAACTGACTAGGCAAGAACCGGTTCCATGATTTGCAAGACGATTTCTTACTGCAGTGCTACTTCCGTATGAAGCAAATCGAGCGAGAGATGAAGGGCGAGGATGCAGACGCAACCGACGATGAGGTATGTACACCTTATGGCCCTGACTTGACGCAAGCTTATAATTGTAGGACAACATTCTCCCACCCACATACACAGATGAGGCACACCATGATGTTGAAGACCGTATTGGTTCAAAGTATGCTTCACGTAGCAGAGCATACGTCGAAGCCGACAGAGAGCTTGAAGATGATGCGCGACGAAGACGGTTTGCTCTGGCCAGAGAAGCTTTCGTCGCTAAAGACGAGGACGCAGACGACTCGATCGAAGAAGCCAGCGGCGGCTTTGCCCGATTTGCTGGTCCTGACCGCGACCAAGCAATCGCTCATCACAACCTCATGAGTATGGTCGATGCTGCGGTTGAACTGGAACGAACACCCACGCCCATGCCTCAGGAACGCACAGAGGTAGCACCGGTCCAGGTGATACCCAATGCCCACGCTGTAGATCTCATGATGCTTGCGGAATTGTCCACACAGCAGACACACGACGACGCTAATCGGGACATGTCGTATGCAGATGAGCAGCCTCAGCTTGACGATCAATTCGACGAGCCCGAGCCTCCACGAGCCGCGACTCCGCCCGTGACCCATGAGCTCACCAGACAGATGTCACCACTTGAAGCGCCATTGCCAATGCCTCAATATTCACAGGCTGCGCATAGCAGTCCGATCAAGGCTAGCCCAGCCTCTGTGCAGCCATCTCTACAAAAGTCTCATTCAGAGTCAAATGGCTTACCTATAGTTTCCAGAGATGCATTACCAGCACGAGTATCTACGCACAGAATCATGGACATTCTGAACAACGATCAGGATGTACCCATGTTCCGCTCAAGAGAGTCGCAGGCGCCACAAACCACGCAACAAGAGCCTAGTACTCCTACAATGCGCGCATCTGCAGTCAGTCAACATAATACCCCTTCGCATGACACTGCACCCAATTTAGACGCAGCTGTTGACAATGACCAGCCGGTTGATCAGGCTCTCATGGACGCTCTTGGAGGAAGGCCCAGTGAACCTCCCTCACCACACGCGAATCACCAACCTCGGTCGTGGCAGAGTGCTGCACCCGCACGAGAACCGGAAGAAGCGCCTCGTAGGAAAGATCCCCTGCAGAAGATTCGGGAGTTGCTTGATAGAAAGGCTCGCGAACATGGAAGGGAACCTCCTGATCGGTCTCAGTACCGGGCCAGTGGACCCTCATTCTTGCCACGCGTGTCGAGCATGCAAGCTGCCCAAGACCGACAAGAGGTTGCTGGCTACGACCCAACACGTCCCTCGGCGGGTCTTTATAGTACATCGTCTAGTGCTGCACCTTTGTATCCTACGTCTGCTCGAAGAGAGTCCCAGGATCACGGACCGCCACGTTGGGACCAGGACAGACGCATGAGTGGTTCGCAAGCGCCGCAGCAGCCCAGCCAATCGCCCTACAGCAACCCACCTCAGCCTCATCAGAGTGAGCACAACCATACATCATCGGCGTCGTCAGCACACCAGAGTCCATACACTCTACCGCCAGGCTCATTACCTCTACCTCCGAAACCACCTGGTCCACCACCACCAGTCAACTTCCGTTTCGCGCACTATGATCCTGCACCACCTCGATCTTCATATCCGCCCACATCACCTAGTTACCCACCGAGCTCGCACGCTCCTCCGCTCGGCCCACCATCATCACAATACCCGCATTACCAACCACCATACCAAGGTGGCTATGTCCCACCCCCGGGCTCATTCCAAGCACCACCTCCTCCACCGCCACATCTCGCTCCTTACCAACCGCCTAAGATCCAACAATACGGCGGTCAAACAATTCTTCCCGCGAGCATGGCGCCCCCACCTAGTTTTGCGCCACACATGGCTTATCATGGTCAACAAGCTCCGTCTCTACCACCGCCACCACAGTCGGCATATTCGACACCGCAAGGCCCGCCGCCACAACAGCAGCAGTATGAGCCTCAGCGTGGACAAGAAACCCGGCCTAGTGAGCGACCGGAGCCGCAGCCGAGACCGAGAAGACAATATAGAAGCTGGCATGCTCCAGGCACGCAGTTTAGGACTTATCAAGGGCCGAAAGGACCGAGGAAGGAGACTTAGAGCTCACGTATTGGAAAATAGCTTCATGCCGAGGTTCTGAGAGAGAAGTTGTTGGTCATCCGTTCACATCTTGATCTCCCCCCTTTGTTATTGCTATCATTTCAGAGACTTGGATAGTCTGACTGTTTTTCCCCCAGCATTGGAGTTGCATAGCGTGGCATGGGCAATTGCCTGTTTGTTTGATTGTTTCCCTGTTCTTCTTCCAGATACCACGGGCGGATGCTTGGGGATTTTGGTTCTGCATCATGTCTTCGGACACAGAGTTCTTGCTATAGTGTAGTTTTTGAGTATCATTGCTAATATGTACAATTACGTTTGTTCACATGTAACTCTGGGAGTGTTCCGCGTGATATGAATAGGGGATATTGAATGTGTTGAACTGGGTATCACTTATGCTAACTCAAACATCTGGTCGAGCACTTCGACGCAGACCCTTTCCCATCTGATCTAAAACTTCAAGCCTTCCTCTTCGTCCGACTCGTAGGCGTCCACTCACTCCCCAACGCACTCCCACTCCCCCCTTTCGCTCCCCCAAACCCTCCAGCCCGATTCCCCCTCGGCGTCCCCCCGCCCACCCGCTCAAATAACCTCTGCGCCGCGGGCGTCAAATCGCCCTTGGCCTTCCGCCCCGGCGTCATTCCCCCAGCCAACCCTCCCCCCCTCGGCGTCGGCGCCGACAAAAACCTCGGTGTCTCCGACGTGAAGATACCCAAGCCCTTGCCCGAGGCCACAGGATTCTTATCCGCGCGACTCGCGCCGATTTTCTCCACCATCTTGTGGTGCATTTTCTCCCTCTGGCTGGCCTCGTTGATGGTGAAGGGCGTAGCTTTGCTCCCATCGACGCCATAGCGCGCGAGCAGGTCGGTGGGTGCGTCGTCATCGTCGTCAGAAGGGGGATGGGCGTCGACGAATGCGTATCCTTTAATCCCGGGGCGTTTCGCTGCCTGTGTAGCCTGCCTCGCTGGGATTCAGGCGCGGATTTCCCAGACACGGCGGCGCGGATGGAGGATAGAGGTTGGGCTTGAGGGCCGCGGGGGCTCGGGTTCAGGCGCAGGCAGGCGGGTGTTGTTGTACAGGACTTGTTTCTGGGGAGCGAGGGAGGCGGATTCCGCGGCCTGGGCGCGGGTCGGCGCCCATGATTCGACGCTGTCGGGGGCAAACATGAGGGAGTTGAAGGCTGTGTGTTTGGTGCCCGTGGGCGCGGCGGGGCGGTCATCGAGGTTTGCGCTGGGGCGGACGAGTTCTTTCGATTCATTTGCGGCGGCGCGGGCTTGGAGGACTTTGTGCTGTGCAATGCGTTGCTTGGAGGCGTACATGTTACCGTCGCGGAGCCAGGCGCTTTTGGCAAATTTCTTCTCGTTTTGCGCGTCGATGATTTGGCTGAAGCTTTCTTGGTCTTCGCTCGTGTATTTGGCTTGGAAGGCGCCGAGGCTCATGTTGAGGTCGACGTTGTCTAGCTTTCCGAGGCCTTCTTCTTCTCCGCCAGCTTCGGACGGAGCAATACTGAGGGGCGTATCTGCGCCCCAGACACTTGGTGTGCGATCTGTGCTACCACCGGGTCTGTCGAATCGCGTGCGCTCCGAGACTCTTCTTCGACCACTTGATAGAGGCGTCATGGCTTGTGTGAGCTTCTTCCCGGCCTCGCGTATCCATGACTTGTCCTTGCTCTCCACGGCGTTCAAGTACTCGCGTTGGGCATCTGCTTCTGCCAAACCAGGGAAGAAGTCGCGGCGGATAATGTGCGAAACGGCGGAGACATAAGTGTCCTCGTCTAGGACAGTCGTTGGGCGCTTGATTCTTTTGGGCTTAGGAGGCGGCGCCATGAGCGCGGAGGAGGCATCGCGCTTTGTGAGCGCTTGCGAGTTCGACGAGGCGGACATGGTGGTGTATTGGCTGTGGGGTTGGGGGCGTCGAGTGGAGGTAGTGAAGCGAGATGGCGAGCCCGAGGGCAGTATCGAGCGAAGTTCAGGGTGAAGAATACATCAAGCCTTTTCTATCTTCTATGAGCGAGGGTAAGTTGGCGTGGTGGCGCCGTGAGTGGTGGTTGGCGCAAAGCGACTTTCTTGGGCGATGTTGCCTCGCCTCGGCAGAATCATGCTCACCGCCTTCAGCCCTATCAGATATGCGAGATATGTGAATGCACCTGCATACGCTTCGGGTAGATCCACACTACAAGCAACAGTAGACCTGGAACTCTGTCACACGACCTGATATCAGTGGTAGTTGTAGTTGGTAGCTCTTCGACAACTTATGAGCAGCGCCTGCATTCAGTGACGCAACCAAACACCAGTAAAATATCACATTTGAGCAAGATAAGACATTGCGCGAAAATCATGGTATCATTCAGTTCCTCATGTGAGGAAACAATAGTCCCTGGCGCCGTAGTATCATGCTTTTTAATGCCATACTGTGCCGTCGTGGCCTCTCTCGACACACCTTCTTCATCTTATTCCACTTCAGTTGCCAATCCAGTTGAAGCCGTAAATGCAAGATTGCGCATCTCCACGCCAACCAAGATGGTCTAGTAGAAAGACTCAACCATGGCGTCCTTGTGCGTGGTGTTGATGTTGCTGGGTCCGTTGCCCTCGCCGAGCCTGAAGACAGACTCCACGACCGAGAGTTCGGTTGCAGTTGTGTCGAGACCTGCAAATAACATTAGCATTCCACCGCTCGATACATCAACGTCGAAAACATACCAGTGACAGCCATCCAGTCGTTGACGACCATACCAGCACCCACAACTGCGCTTCCACGGTTCACGCTACCCGCTACCAGCGGCACCTGCAGCAAACTCGACAGCTCGTCCTGGTCCTGAATGCTCGTCTTGGGATGCACAATGCCGCCCTGATTGCTCAGCGCCATATAGCTACCCGTGAGCACATTGTCCGCAATCGTCTGCCTGAACACCTCGACGCCCAGCGCATCTGCTATTATCTCCTCCGTCTCGCGCTCGATATCCGGATGTACAAGGGCGACATGGTCGTTGCAACATATTACGTTGCCGAGCGCGGATAACCGCTCTTCTATCCTCTGGATCTTGACGCTGTCTGGTATCGAGTTTCGCAGGTGTTGCAGTTCTTGGTCGGTTGTGGTGGTGGGCACGAGGAGGCCTTTCTTGTTGCCTGCAGTGAGGCGCCCGACTATGCGCGTTCCGGCGATTGTGGCGTGGCAGATGGGGATGACGTCTTGGAGCTCGGCTTCGAAGACACTGGGGAAATGTTAGTATCCAGGTGTTTCTTGCGTGGCGCATGCGCGGTGGTGGCGCTGCATGGGAGATGTACATACCTGTAGAAGTTCTCTGAAGCTCCGACTGCGACAATCGCATATGCGTTTGTGAGTGTTGAGAAGACACCAACTCTGCGCGACCATAGATTAGTACAAATTCTCTTCTTCCGTAGCTCGTGCGAAGCTTCAGCACTTACTCGTTCGAATTCTCGAATTGTGCGCGGACAGCCATGATTGTGGTCTCGGTAGTACTTTTTGGCTGAGTGTATGAAGGGGTAGAAGACGTTAAAGTGGGTAGAGAGTTGGTTGTCGCGTGTTCTAGACGTGCTTGTGTTTGCTGAGAAAACTGTGAGAAAGCGGGACATTTTGTAAACGGGACCGACATAGGTCATTCTCGCCCCGCTGCCCGTTTAGGACTAGTGCTTGGCGTGCATATGGACGCGTTCGACTCATATTGACGAATGCTGAACAAACGCCTGACTCCGCCTCAGCTGCATGTACAATTAGTGAAATACTATGACTGTTCCCATTTCGACTCAGGGACTCAGGCCCGCAGCCTCGGTATCGCGCAGCCTCGTTGTCGGGATCGCAAGCCCTGGGAGCTATGGCTCTCTCATTTCGCGCTTCAGGCACACCCCCGTGTTCGTCTCGACATGGGCTGCACGTTCCAAAACGAACGTGCCTTATCCTGAACGTGCACCTCATCTTCGACAGGTGCCAGCCACATTGACAGACCAGGCAAAGCCCGTCGTAACCTCTAACAACCGCCTTCGGTGCATGAACTAGAAGCATGTTCGTCGGCCGCGCGAGTCGCAGGTACAGCGTGTGCATCTGGGTCAACGTTGCGGAACACCATTCCGCACCGCTTCGTGGGCAGTAGAGAGAAGATGTGTCTGCGTTCGAAAATTGCCTGTACATGATCGTCACTAGACGTAGGGATCTCCAGGACGTGCTATCGAGTTGATGATAGCAAGCCGTTTAATCCTCCGATCGCATGAATGCGATCAGGCACACGAGTCGCAACCAGACAGGGAAGCAAGAAACGCACAGACTAGAAGGTAAATCGTTGTATTCGCGTCCCATCATATCGTTGGCGAGGATGTACCGCATGACTATAATTACAAACATCGTATCGTTGTCCAAGCAGGCATACGCACTGACTCTAAGATCGTCCCGGTGACCTTCTAAGCGGTCAATCTGCAAATCCGCCAGTCTCTCCAAAGGCCCGAGATTCGAAATGAACAAATCGGGTAGTATGCTAGAAGTAAAAGAAGAAACGCCCGCTAAAGCTATGCTGTGCACAATGCGCTAAGGTCGAGGAAGCTTTGATAGGAAAGAGTTGTACAGGCGTGGCGAGTGCGTAACTTGACGGTGAGACAGAGACGAAAAGTCGTATCGTACAGAGTGTCATGTCGTAACACGTTCGCCGGTAAACATTAACATACGTAGATGTCGTGAATATTCATAAGAAAAGGAAATGGTTCGCATGATTGCGGATGATGTGGTGTCAATATGAGACGAGGTGTAGATGATGGAGGATATAGATGGTAGAAATGTGATGTTGAGTTGGCGCAGTGCCTTCGGAATCAAGTAAATCAAATGCTACGACATTCTCGACACGAGAATGGCTAATGCGATGATCACTCCAATCTATATCAAGTCAGTATATAGGATCACCGTCTAGGGGTGGTGCTGTGAACTCACGAGGAGGGTCCCAATCGCGGACATTATGCGATTGAGATTGCGCCACCATGTCGCTTTTTGGAAAGCCTTGTCGTCGATCGCTCCCATATTACGTGCGAACTGTTGCTCGAGGTCTGTCTGGCTCCGTGCTTCGATATGGTTCGGGTCGAGTGGAAGGGGCAGAAATGATGCGATCATCCATGCTGATAATCATCGTTAATATACACGTTCATGCGCATGATGTGGGTCACATCCGGGGTGGAGACTTACCGAAGGGAAAGATGAAGCCAAGGCAGAAGAGCAGGATTTGGCGGTTTTGACGGCCAAAAAGTGTGGTGTGAAGATCGCTGTCAAGCGATGGTGCTTTCCATGCGCTGTAGCGTGAAGCACCCCCTCGTCGGTCGGTCCGTAGGTGTGGAGTTGACCAACCGCTAAGAGGCTGCATTTGGGGTCCAAGAGCGTAGATGCCGTCTTCGACTGAATGGATTTCGTCCTCGAGGTCGATTGTGTCTGCTTGTGAAGCTCGGTTGCGCGGTCGGTTGCGCGGTCGGTAGATGCTGAAGGGGAAATTACTGTCGGACGGTGTTTGCGAACGAGCGCTATGTGATGTGGGCAGTCGGAGGCTTTCCGAAGACTCTGATGCTGGCGCGCCGATTGAGACTCTTTCTCCCCTTCGGTAATATACTCTGCACGAACGTTAGTTGCAAACTCGCGACCAGACTGAAAACATGCATACCTTGCCCATCCAGGAATTGTGTTCTGGACAAAAGTTGATAGGTCAGATTGCGCTGTGCCCGGTCGCGAATCGCTATCCGAAAGTGAACTGTTGCTGCGTTGTCTGCGCAGATAGCCCGACGTCTTCATCCGAAGTGGGACGCTGATGGGCAACGGCGAGATGGTGTCGAGGTGTTCTCCTCCATCGCTGCCGTCGTTCGAGGGTCGTGGTACCGGCGAAAATAATGGAAGAGGCAATGCCGAGTTCTCGATTTGTCCCTCTGAAGAGACATTGTCGACCGAAGAAACATTGTCAACCGATGACTGTCCACTGCCGAGACTGAGCACTCGCGGCCGCGGGTAGCTTGGGCGACGACCGCCGTTGAAGTTGCCGTTGAAACTCTCTTGCGACTGCGACCTGGTGTAAGACCTCGAAATGCGCGCAATCGATTGCGAATCGCGCTCGGTGACGGAGGGTATCGTTGACAGCTGGGAGCTCCATTGGTGCACAAGCGAACGGTCTTGCATTCGGGATGCGAAATTAGGTATGTTCTCGGAGTCGACACGCTGGCTGCTCGCCGCTGGCGCTTGTACAAGGGGAAAGGTGATTCGGGCTCCGCTCGCGAATGTTGCTGTGCGTGCTTCATGAAGTGTTGGCGAAGGCTGCGACGATGGGATGTTGTAGTGTGTTGGTTCAATGCTGGTGTATGAAATATCAGAAAAGGCAAAGGAAGCTTCAGAGGTTTTTGTCTTCAGTACAGGTTGCGGACTGTCAGCGTCACCAGTGTTCGCAATTTGCCAATTCGCGGACTCGGAAGATGGCTCGTGCTTGTGACCTTTTGGGAACGGCTGGACGACAGTGATCGGGTCTTCGGCATTGCTATTTGCATTGAGCGAAGCGGCGGGTGACGTTGAAGCAAAGGATGCAGCAGATGCCTTAGGACTCAATGCGCGTGCACGGCTCTCGAGGGACTCTCCACCGGCTGACGAAGGAGGAACGGCACGGATAGTCGATCGCTCAAGAGGTCGTTCTTCTTCAAGTACTTCAAGACCCTTCTCGAACTCTGTGAACTCTGGTGGAGGAGATGTCGGAGGTGTGCTACCCTGGGAGAACCTTAAGGACGAAGGTGTGTATGACGATGCGACAAGGGTGTCTGCATCTGATGCGCTGGTTGACGCAGACTGTCTGAACTTCTTTTTGCGCGCAATCTGTAAGGGCGCCGGTGGCTGGAGCACGCGTGTCTTGCTTGCTTCGAATTTCGCAATGGTACTGGCAACCTGGCTCCCACTTGAAACACGAGATGTGGGTCTCTCAAACCCATAGCCCGGCGCATTGCGAGGAGGCGGGAGAATCTGACTGGCTTCGCTTGGGACTGGGTATTTTGAGTAAATGTCAGAGCCGGGATCTTCGACTATGCGGATAGTTGGTCCAGAATATTGATTGGATTGCGAATTTGTTCGGTCGTGGAGCGGCTTGCGGACAGGCGAGGCGTTTCGCGACTTCGATGTTGGCGGTGTAAATCTGGGAGTTTGCTCGAACGGCGACGACAGCGAGGTTTGCCGTGATGATGTGCGTTTATGTGATGCGGGATCCGAAGACATGTTTGTGGGTGGTATGTGGTGCGACCTATCCGGGGTGTTGAACGCGTGTGGAGACGGTGAAACCGGTCATTAATGATAGATAGGAATATGAACACGAAAAAAAAAAAGGGAAAAGAACGCGTAGCAGGGCCGTGGCAATGAGCGACTAGAAGCTGTACAAGGAAATAGTGAGTGGACGCCCGAAGGCATTAAAGAGAGTCGAAGTTTCGAAAAAGAGAGGATGAAGAAGAACAGTGGGCGACGTGTTCCAGGAGAAGAAAGCGCTGCGGAGGAGCTCCGACCAAAAGAAGTTCGTGGGAATGCAAGCTGCAGGTTCGCTGCAGGGTGCTATGCGGTGTCCAATAGCCGGCTAAGCCCTGGCGGCGGTGTAGCACGAGCCGCGGATCAGTCTTTTGTGCAAGTCAATCCCGTTACGGATGATTTCGAGCTTCGTCGCCCTCTCGTGCACTGTAATTGAGCTAATATGAGCTTCACACCCGCCCCAGTAGGCTTCCTGATGGACCCCAGGATATCCTCGCGCGCACGAACGATGGTTCCTTAATCGATAGGCGATAAAGGCGGGTCGCATCAGTGGACGGATAATAAAATTGCAATTATTTTAGGGAGCCAGTAGTGACGTGTGAATGGCCACGGGCCGTTGACAGGTCTTCTGCCTCCTGGGTCTGAAGCTGGCCACTGCGCGTTGCAGGGGTACGCGACGGGATGATCTGGCGCGAGTTGGAAGCGATACACGTGATGTCGGCGGTCGGAGATTCAGATTCCACGGCTGTTTTGGGAGAGCGTCGGTATCGATTGAACGATGCGAAGGAGCTGGGCGAACCTGAGGGGAGTATATGACCCCATGCCCTGACGTTGCCATCGCCCGCTATAGCAGCACGCGCTTCTTGACGAGTGCTACTGCGCGTCTGTAACGACTTCATGGCACCGCCTATCAAGGGCTGGAGAGCCGCTCTGGACGCTCTGATGCACGGTGGTATGTCGCGAATCATTGGCCTATGACCTCTTTCACCGCAAGCCCACCCTTTTTGACGCCTGCGACCCACCCCGCACAACATCCACGGTCGACTAGGCTCTGCGTTCTGTCCAAGCACGACGATGAAATCTAACGTCTTGTCAGCACCCAAAGCGCCGGCCATCTCTTCGAACACTGCAGCTCTGCTGTCCGTAAGTTTCAAGCTCTCCTAGCCCCACTACCACTGCTATTGTTCCCAGCCTATCATCCAAAAATACCACAACACCTTGAAGTGCATGCTAACACACAAATCTACAGGCTGCTTTTGTGTTCATCTACGTAATCCCCTTCTACCTTTCGTCGGCCACGCGCCCGTCGGCCACGCTCACTCGCGATGCGCCGTCCTCGATACGCGCCAGGACACGGGCCGTGACCTTCTCTACCATTGTGTGCTCCATCCTTACCGTCTACGTGCTCTACGAACATGATGTACCCCTGCGCGAGATCTTCAAGCTACTCGGACTCTGGCCTGTGTCCCTCTTCGATACCGCCCAGACAATGCTTCTAGTGATTATCCTCTTTGCCGGTCCGATCTTCGAGCACGGCGTGGTCGACGGCGCATGGGCAGACTGGATCAAGCTGCGAGGGGTCTACGAGTCCCTGAGCAGTTGGATTGGTTATAGGAACTACATAGTAGTATGTCGATTCAGTCTCTATGTCGATTGTTTCTAACCAGCCCAGGGTCCGGTCAGTGAAGAGCTCGTCTGGCGCTCGTTCATCGTGCCTCTGCATGTACTTGGCCACTTCACTGGCAAGCAAATCGTCTTCCTGACACCACTGTACTTTGGAATAGCACATCTGCACCACCTCTACGAGTTCCGTATCACGCACTCCGAGGTGCCCCTGTTCATCGCCATACTGCGCTCCCTGTTCCAATTCACATACACCTCGCTGTTCGGCTTCTTCGCGACCTTCGTATACCTCCGCACGGGCAACGTCTACACTTGCATACTAGCGCACACCTTCTGCAACTGGATGGGTCTGCCTCGGTTCTACGGCCGCGTCGGAGTCGAGATGGGCGTACCAATTGGGCCTCCATCGGTCGACAAGAAAGATGACGAGCAGAGGAGCGTGCCGGCATATCAAGGCAAGGGGCCCCTGTGGACTGTGGCGTACTACATCGTCCTTGTGGCTGGCGCAGCAGGGTTCTACTGGCTTCTCTTCTCCCTAACCGAAAGCAAGCATGCCTTGCCGGTAGATCTGGTCAGCTAGAAGCAAGTGCCGACGATGATGATCGTTCGCATGGTAACGGGAGTGTAGTGTCGTACACGGTAAACTTACTTTGCGCACGTTGAAGGCGCCTGGAACCGCACGTTACGACGTTGTGCACGTGACTAAACGCACTGCGATTCATGCTCATGATTCATGAATTTCCACTAGACCTAGCACCAGTGCAATTAGCTGGATGGCTTCGACATAACCGGACATGACCTGCGCAAAATCACAACACACAAGGGCCATGTACTATTGTACCACCTGATAGAGTGCATTCGATCATCATCCGAAGCCTGAGAGGACTCGGCGTTGCAGAGGTCAAGTAGAGTAGGAATCACAGATGGCTACCTAGTCACAATAGCCCACCAATTATCCTTTTCATACCCCGACTCCACCACCACCCCTCCAGCCTCTCTGACATCATCCTCAAGCTCCCCCTTCCTATACAAGTGATAATATCTCAAGAACGTCTTATCCCCACCCTCCTCTCCTTGCCCATCCACCTCTTCACTCTTAGCAACCTCTCCTTTCCTCTGCCTACCCTTCTTCTCCTTCTTCTGTTTCAAAACCCACGGCACCATAACGTCCTGCTCATGCCCCTCATCCCAGCCCCTGCGACTGTCTTTTTGCTCCAGCGCCCATACGTAGATGAGTGCTTTGCCGCCATCTTGGGCGGTGAGATTTGATGGCTGGCGTAAGATTTCCAGCACAGCTTTTACAGCCTCGATGCGTCGGGCGGGGGTCGAGAGGTGATGGATTACAGCTATGGAAATGGCAAAGTCAAAGGTTCCTGCCGGGTGGGGGAGGGAGAGGGTGTCTGCTACTATGGCGGAGTGGGGGTGGTGGTGTGAGGCGATTTTGGTTAGGTTTGTTGAACTGTTTGAATATCAATATCAAGATTCATCTTTAATCCCAGTTCAGAGGATAGATTGCTCATGTGAACTCACCGATCAGACCCAACGATAAACACCTTCTTATTCACCGCAAGATATTTCCCATTCCCACATCCCACATCCGCACCGACTGCTCCATCTCTCTGTTCTTGCAAGAAACGCTCGACTATAGGCCATGGCTAGATTGGGTTAGCCGGGTGGAAGATTGGCAATATGCGGGGTGGACGCACACCTTATAGCGAGTGGAAGAGAAATGTGAAGCTATCTCTTCGTACACGGAGTGCACATGCTCGGCTTCGTAATCTGCGCCTTGTGTTTCTGATTCGGCCATGGTGTATGTTAGGACGGCGTGAAGGACAGGATTTGTGAGCCAATGAGGGGAGAAGTGTGTGCCAAGACGCTAGATTTGTGAGGTTTTGCTGAGGTGCACGAGTTACAATATCATAGAGCCGTCAAATCATGGATCAGGGAAGATTACAGCATGCTTGCTCATCCGTTCTCCAGCTGTTATGTCATTTCTGCTCTTGTTGCAAAGGCGACGATTTGTTCGTCTCTCGGCTAGGAAGTCTTTTACTAAATTTTCTGAAGACAGATGTAGGGAAGAGCTTTCTATAGCAGGCTTAATTTACAGTTTTTCTTTTTGCACGTGAAATAGTTCGAAGCTGCTAAACCTCACTTCTCCCGCAACCGCAACGTAAGAGACGAGTTCATCGGAGAGGTTCGTGGACATGTATGCATCATTCCATCACAGTGTATCTAGAAATGGAGTTTCTCTCTGAGCACGCCTAAAAATACCTCACTAACACCCTTTTATCCTTTTTACCATAAGACAAAAATCCCTCACTTCTCACCCAAATCACCGCCGCAATCGAGTAGACGGGGAAATCTGGCTACGTCGCGAGGTACCTGTGACCGCGGACGCAGCTGACCCAAGAAGTGACCGACTTCCCAGACCAGCAAAGACACCTCAAGACCATCAAAGCGAAGTATTCCGCAAGTGTGCACCAATTGTCAGCCGCACAAAACAGTTCAGCAAGGACCACACAAGATCAACAGCAAAAACAGCAATATTCATTTCCCCCATCATCAAATCGCTAAAAAAAAATACTTCCTAAACGCCCTGCACCTTCCGATAACTCGGCGGCTTCAACGTCCTCCCCAGAATCTTAACAGCATACGGCGGCACCAAACTAATCGCCGCGACGACTGCAAACCGCCACCAAAACGCCGTGCTCCCCACATACGCGAGGTCGAAATACCTCTCGAGGAACGGTATGCTTCCAAAATAGATACCCGCGGTGCCGACAATCGACGCAATCATGATCCAATGCCACGTCGTGACTTCCATCGCAACCATGATGAGTTCGTTCATGACAAGCACGGTGAACGACACGCTGACCATTTTGCGAAAGGTCAGATCCTCCGTGGTGCTGGAGCCCACGCCGACGAGGATGTGGCAGAGCCCTTGGATCATGGAGCCTTGGTAGATAGAGACTGCGACCCAGATGAAGAAAGACTTGTAGCTCAGACTCCTGCCAGTTTTGAGTTCGGCGTAAAGTTCTGGGTACAGGTTTGCGACGCTCTCGTCGACGTCGCGGTCGAGCACGAGCGAGAAGACGGGCATCATGGTGTATATGGTTGAGTAGCCGACGAGCAGCCAGTCTTTGTAGAGGGCGTTGGGCTCGAAGGACGAGGCGATGGAGTAGACGGTTTGGCAAATACTAATGATGAGACCGCGGTGGATGACGAATTGGGAGAGCTTTGCGCTGCGCTTGTATGAGTTGCGGCCGTGCCAGACGAGCAGCTTTGTCAGGTAGCAGAATTGTTCGATGGAGAAATCGGCGGCGAGAGAGGCTTGTCGTCCTTCTTTCCCGACGATACCGACGCCCACGTCGGCGGCTTGGATCATGCTGACGTCGTTGCCGCCGTCGCCGATACAGCAGACACGCTTCTTGGTGTATTCGCGGATCAGGCGGGCGACGTCGGGCTTTTTGGGTGGGCGAGCAACGGCAGGCAACAACAGTAGGGAGCTGGACGGCGACGGATATGAATTCTTGGGCGGTAGTGATTGAGCATCAAGGCGAGAGATTCGCCGTCGATGAGAAGGCAATGGCGTCTGTTTTGCCGCGGAGGAAGTCGAGGGAAGAGTGTGCGAGGTCTCTGCGCTTCATCTTGGCGATGGTGTGGACGTATTGGCCTCGGGCGACGAGTTTGGAGGATACTGCGACACAACGAGCCGTTTCGACTTTGTCACCGGTCAACATCCAGAATCTTGGATGCCGGCGTTGCGGAGCAATTCTAAAGATGGCTTGACATCCTTTTGTAACTTGTCTTCGACGCCAGTGACGCCCAGCAGTTCCAGGTCGCTCTCCAGGTACTCCTTGATCACGTTGGTAACAACGGCATCGCGGTTGTTGAGCGCAAGCGAAGCTTGTGCATACTTGTTTGAGAAGTCCCGATAGATCTGCGCAGATAACTTTTTGCGGCCCACAACTAAAGTCCGCAGTCCCTCTCGTGCCATGTTCGCAGTCTCTTCGTCGAGCCAGTCGTTCGCGGCGACAATAGAAGTCATGACAGTGTCGGCTCCTTTCTGGTAGAACCATACCTCTCCATCTTCGTCCGAAGGTGAATCGGGCGAGCCTTGGTAGAACTTCACAACAATACCCATGCGTTTCCCTTCTGATGTGAACGGGAAGACGTTCAAGATGCGCACTTTGACTATTGTATCGCCGCTATCACAAGACTGAAGCGTCATAGATTCGCGATCCCGAGAGAGCAGCTTGAGGCCGACAGCTTCCGTCCAGCGTACAATAGCGACCTCGTCGGGTGATGACGCCTGATAAGTTGTGACGATCTCACCATTCTCTTCTTCAGTGGTGGGAGTGACGTTATGGCACAACGCTAGCGCCAGGACCACATCGCGAACTCGGGATCCTATCTCTCGTCGAGTACGTGTTGCCGATGTAAGAGGAGCAGTATAGGCAGAGGACGGTGTGACGAGGACCGGAGTGTCTCCTGCAGCAGGAGTAAAGCACTGTCGAACGTAAGAGGACACTTCGTCCATGGCTTCGTTGGCGTACGACACTGTGCCGACGTGGATCTTCTTCATCACCATCTCTATTTCAAATCAGTGCCATAAAGCCGGGGTGTTATGGGAGATGGACGTACCGTTCTGAGTGAGCGTACCCGTCTTGTCACTCAATAAATACTCAATTCGACCTAGATCTTCTGGAATCGTGCTAGTGCGAACCACAGTACCCTTGATGCTTTGGTCATGTTCGATAAACCAGGCGTATACAGATTTACCCATGTCCAAGTTCACACGCAATCCCACTGGGACGATTGTCGAGAACAGAATCAGAAATCGCATCATAGAAACATACCACTGCCGACCATCGATGACCTGGAAGCGAGCAAGAGCGACGAGGACGAATGATAGCGTCAAGGTGAAGATACATAGCCATTTCGTCAGGCTGTTGATCTCCAGCTCGAGAAGACCGGTCTTAGATCTTGACGGTGAAGTGGAAAGAGCTTGCCGAGTTTGTGGACCTGTATACACCACCACAGCCAGAAGGCTGCAAGTAGAAGCAACCACAGTGTTTGCCCATATCGTGTTGTCAATGTTCAACGGAGCAGAGGGCTTCTTCTGCGCTGAGGGTTCAGTGTCTTCGTCGGGCGCATCATAATGTCGCTGTCGCTTGGGTTCTAGCTCCACGGTGCCATAAAACTCGTTGACCTTCCCTGTCCGGCTTGCCAGCAACAACGCGCAGCCGAGTGAATTCACCGACTGGGAGATTTTGTGTCAGAGGTGAGGTCAGCCGGAGCTTCCAATCGGTCTCTCCGTCTAACTGATCAGTACGAATAAATGCTTCTCCTGACGGGCCGGTCGCTGTGGCGCTGTCAACTTTAGCCGTGGCTTCGACATCATCGCCGATCAGTGTTGGTGAGCTGTGGGCATCGTCCTGGTCCGAAGCTGATGCGCTCGCGTCTGTAGAATAGCTTTTTAGTAAAACCATATCCGCGGGGACTCGCTGGTCTTTTCCCAGCTTCACAACGTCTCCCACCTTGAGCGCTCTTGAAGGCTTCATAACTTCATGATAGCTGCAAGTGGCTAGCCCTTTGGTTGGTATCCTCTGTTCTTCATCTTCGATGTCTGTCAAACGGCCATTGCCCGCTTTCTGCTTTCGCAGCTTCTTCTTCCTCTGCGAGGTCTTCCCAGGCGCAACGCCGTTTCCTGGGCTGTTTTCCTCAAACTTCAGAACCGTATAGGCCTCCGAGTTTGCCTCGGCATCTCTCCTCCTCCTCGCGATATCGTCCAAAGCCTCCTTCCCTAGTGTGATTGTGATAACGAAACCGAGCGGTACGACGTAGGTGGAGAGGTAGCCGAGGCGCAGTGCCGGTATAAGTTGTGACATGGCTACGAGCAGAAAATACATGTTGATGAAGAAGGAGAATTCGTTGTAGAGTGTCCGTGGAAGGAAGCTCCAGGGAGTGTACTTTGCGTTTGAGACGGCATTGGCAGGGAATCTCGAGGCCTGGAGCTGGCCGACAGAAATGGTGCGCTGGGTGGTAGGGTCGTGTTCTTCGTCAGCATCGGACCCTCCAGCATCATCGCCCAGCTGTATACCGCCATTGTCTGCGCGCGGAGTGAGGAAACTCGGAAGGCGGATGTTGGAGCCTATTCGTGACAGCGCGCTTGGCTTGCGTTCATGGCGGCTTCGCTTGGTATTTGAAGACAGCAGTGGTGCATCGTCGTCACCTGACATGCCCGAACTGCCGGCAGAGTTTCTGTTCCGCGCCTCGTCATCGTCCAGCAGCCCTCGCAAGTCCTCCTCTTCTGGCTCTTCCTTGCGCCGGTTTGCCCGCAACCTTCCCACCCTCAAGTTCCTCAGCGGTATCCGTGCGCCCAGCTCATGGTAGGGTCTTTTCTGTTCCTTGGACTGTCGGCGCGGCGGCGAAGCTGTAGAGCGCGCGTGGGCAGCCAGAGGGTCGAGCTCTTCGAGGTCCAGTTCGAGGTCCGAGTCCTCGTCTGGCGCATTTGGCTGGTGGTATTGGTGGGGTGTCGTCATGGCGTGTGAAGGAGCATAGGGGTCGGTGGAGGGGGTGGGGAGAGCCTGTCGCTATATTCGTGGCATGTGTGGTCGTGTGGTTGTGTGGTTGTGTGAGGTGTCTTTCTGGTTTCGAAGGGTGCCTTCGGGGGTCCGCAATGACGGTGCTCAGATGCCCGTCGAGGACGCGACTTCCTGATTCGGAAGCGGCGCGGGTGTTTTGGTGAATGCAAGGTTGGAGATTTGGTATAGGGATAGTTCAAGCGTCGGTCTATGGGAAAAGAGCGTCGCTGTATATGTTGCTGTCCTGCCTCTGCTGCTAAAGATGCGGCTCAGACGGTTGCGCGTTGGAACGACTAGTGGCGGAGGGTCGCCGCTGCCGTTAATGCCACATGGGCAAGGACAGGGTTCAACCGAATGTCTACATGCTACAACTCTGGCCTTACTTGCTGCCTCGAGACTCGCCAAACTTTTGCGCGCACCATGCGGGTACCATAGCGCGCCTTCTTCTTGATATTCCACTGCCTGTTTGCCCTGCGACGACCTTCCAATTGTACGTGAGCCCCAGCAGCCATCGTCCCACCCCCAGGGATGACGACACGCTACTCCTTTACACAATTCAATGCCCGAGACGCAGCACCTTTCCTTCCTTCCCCTCTAGCATCTTGGGTAGAGACTTGCCCCGCGCGATTGCCTTCACAAACCCCCGAGCTGCGTTCCCTCGACCGCGTGCAGCACAAGCCCATAGCATCTCAACATCAATACCAAATCGCCGAGGCGCATGGTGGGAGCCGCCGGAAGCCGAATTCCTAGCTGATACCGTGTCCAGTATTTGTAGATACCCTTTCTATACTTCCTTGTAATCTCCATCATGGATAGCGACGGCGTATCACATGCGCCCAGCGTCGCGCAATCAGCTCCGTCATGGAATCCTGCGCTGCGCCACGAGAAAGACCACGCTCCTGCAGCCACCGCGAAACTGCCTTCGCAAGTGAAGCCGGAATCTTCCTCGGAAGAAGAATCAGAGGAGGAAGAGGAAGAGGAGGATGATGATGAGGATGACGAGGAAGAAGAGGACAGCGATGAGGACGACGATGAAGAGGAAAACGCGCCTGCCGCCACCGCGGTGTCTGGCCCCACACCCATCGCTGTACTCGATGGCGCGCAAGACTCCGAGGACGAATCCGAATCTCCCAGCGAGCTCACAAAATCAACACCAATTGTACAGGCGTCCCAGGGCTCAATGGAAAAACGCGTTGAAGTAATTGGCGCCGAGGAGGAGGCCTTAGTGAATGCAGCGCAGGCGCTCAACATATCGGGAAATCCCGCGACAGGCCAGACGAAAGCCGAATCTACCGATGAGGCCGAGTCTGACGAAGACAGCGAAGAGGAAGAAAGCTCCGACGAGGAGGCGGCTGCAGCCGGCGAACACCAAGCGGACAATTACGAGCACCAAGGCGAAGCTACGGCGTTAGAAGAGGCTGTCAATGAGAGTGTCAGGGTCCCGTTGGTGGATGATGCAGCCCCGGAATCAGATGACTGGGGAGACTCAGGTGATCCCTTCGAGATTGGAGGACTGCAGCAAGATCCGTCGTTGCAGACACCACACGCCGAAGCTGCCGGAACAACCGTTGGCGACGACGTGATTGGGAACACCACAGTTGGCGGAAATGCCGGCGACGATCTGGACTGGGGCAACACGGAGGAAGAGGACTTCTTTGGCGTTGTCGCCAACAAACCAGTCGAGTCTGTTGAGCCTGCTCAGCCGACACAATCACCCGGAGCACATGTTGTACAAGCACAGGATGCGGCTCCTGCGAAGAGCGAGTGGGATCTGGATCTTGATTTGGACGAAGACTTCTTGCCCGACAACGAGGACGGCCCAGTGATCGAATTGAGCGACGACGAGGGCTTCCTAGACGATGAGCCCACTGCGCCTGTCGAACAGCCAGCGTCTACTGGTATTGGCGGCGCGAGTCGATATGCGCCTCAAGCAGCACAAACCTCTCACTCAGTCGCGAGTCCTTATGCTGCTCCGGGTCAGTTTGCAAACCCACCGCAAGGCTCCATGACACGTTCCATCACGACGCCCGCCGGCGGTGTCTACAACGGTTATGGTCAGAACGTGGCGTATCAGCAACAGCAAGCAGCGCGGCCGACGATGCCAACTTCAGCACAAAGCTACGCAGACAAATCCAAGGGAGGTTATGCCTCGCCGTACGATTTGCCAGACGACGTCGTGACCACTCGGAAACGAACGACACCAAGACCAGTGATATCAGCTACACAACCTGCAATTCCTCCTCCACGAACTAGCAGCATGTCCTCAAGCTCTGCACCTCCACGTCCTCTGCCACCCTCGAACGCGTCCGTTGCCAGCTTGTCACCGCCGCCATCCGGCCACTCCATGCAGGGTCAGATGACGGGATTCCCTCCCGCTGTTCCTCCTAAATCTGCACCGCCTGCAAAGGCGCCCTCGAGCGATTTCTTCGCCGAGCTACCCGTCACGTCGAAGCCTAAGCCGCCAGGTCGTTATACACCACAGCCAGCTGCGGCCGCACAAAGCCCTTCCCTGCAAGGACCTCCGCAGTTTACTCAAAAAGAACGGACAGCGTCTTGGTCGTCTTTGCGGAACGAAGTGCTTCCTGATACTGTCGGCGCCCAGCCTCACCTCAGACAGCCAGAACAGCTACCCATGTTCCCAAGTCAGCCCTCGGTACCCACTCGACAGAACAGCCTTCCAATACCACAATCTACTGCGCCTCCGCCATCTTCGAGATATTCACCGGCTCCGCCTTCAGTACCGGCTAACAATGCACGATACTCGCCCGCTCCTCCCACGGCGCAAGGTGGCGCAAACTCCAGATACTCACCCGCACCTCCTGGTAGTCAAGGAGCAGCACATGCGCGGTATGTATCAGAGCCGCCAACGGGACCGGCCAGGACTCCTTCCCAAACATATGCTCCTCGCACCTCAAGCCCGTTGGCTTTTCACAGCACGCCTCATCATCAAGAAAATACCACGAATGTATCAGAGCAACAGCTTCCTGGTCACCATGTAACCCAGTCGGCTGATGGTGTGCCTCGTGCACCATTCAGAAGTCCGCTGGAAGGTGTGAGCGAAGCTCTCGAATTAGACTCGACATCGAGTGACAGACCTCCCACCACCGCAAGGTCGGACACGCCACCGCCGACACGAAGCTCCACATCGTCAGCTATTGGCTCTCCCCGGAAGAAAGGAAACTATACGCCGCAATATCAGCCAATGAACCCAATGGCACCATCCCGGTCTCTCTCGCAGTCTCCCGCAACTGGTATGAAGCAGCCAGGGCCCATGTATGGAGCAGCACCGATAGCTGCGTCATACGGTACGCATATACAAGAAGCCACCACGACCAATAGCATACCGCATCGACGGCAAGCATCTCTAAACTACGAATGTATCGTTCCCGAAGACGAACGCGCAGTCGATCCGTTGCAACGCTACAAAGGGCATCCGGTTTTCGCGTGGGGTCTTGGGGGAACTATCGTGACGACTTTCCCGAAACAGATTCCAAGATACGGCGGTGGCATGACAGCACCTATGGTGAAATGCAGCCCTGGCGAGATCAAGATTCAAAGTGTTAAAGAGATCATTCCTCTTGCTGAGGATCTCGCGAAATTCCCGGGCCCACTCAAAGCCAAGAGCAAGAAGAAGGATGTTTTGTCCTGGTTAACAAAGAGGCTTGAATCTTTGGAGTTGCAGATCAAAGATCCTAACACTGAGCACACCCTTAGTGTGGACGAGCTGAAGCGACTCGAGGAGAAGACACTACTCCTAAAGCTTCTGCAATTCTTGGTAGAAAACGACGGCCGCCTCGAAGGAGAGGCTGCAAATGCAGCCTTCAAAAACCTGTTTTCTCCGGAAGCCGACAATGCTTCTGATGCGGAAGGCTCTTTCTCTACTGCGGCGGACATTGTCGGTCGTTCGAGGTCAAATACGGTGAACACTCCAGCTGAACCTATCGACGCACGCGCAATCGAAGACCTTCAGAAAATGCTTGCTCGTGGCGAGCGGGAAAAGGCAGTGTGGCACGCAGTCGATCAAAGACTGTGGGGTCACGCTATGCTCTTATCCTCTACGCTAAGCAAGGACATCTGGAAACAGGTAGTGCAAGAGTTTGTCCGCAATGAGGTCAAAAAGGTTGGGCGCAGCAATCAGGCACTGGCAGTTCTGTATGAGGTCTTCGCGGGCAACCATGAAGACTGTATTGATGAACTTGTACCGGCATCGGCTCGTGCCGGCTTTCAAATGGTCAGTACTGACGGCGCAGGAGCAGCCCTGAACGCTCAACAAGGGCTCGACAAATGGCGCGAGACAATTGCGTTGATTCTCAACAATCGCAGTGAAGGTGACGTCTCAGCATTGCTGTCACTTGGGAAACTGCTGTCACAGTATGGTCGTGTTGAGGCTGCGCATATCTGCTTCATCCTTGGACGTTCGGTGGCACATGTCAGTGGCGTGGATGACGCTCTGGCTGATCTGGTTCTTATCGGCATTGACCACAAACAGCATCCTACAGAGCTTGGTGTCGATTTGGAGCCCATTTTGTTGACAGAAGTTTACGAATTTGCTCTGTCGCTTTCTGCACAGGTCAATTCGCACATTATGCCTCATCTTCAAAACTACAAGCTTGCGCATGCATACCAACTAGCTGAGCATGGATACCGCACTGAGGCACAAGCATATTGCGATGCTATTGCTGCAGCCATGAAAGCTACCACGCGAACCTCTCCATACTACAACCTCAGCTTCATCGCAAGCCTAGACGATCTGAGCAAGCGCTTGTCACAATCGCCTAAGGATAGTTCGTCGTCTTGGATTTCAAAGCCTAGTATGGACAGAGTCAGCACCTCACTTATGTCCAAGTTCAACAGCTTCATTGCAGGTGAAGATGATGGCCCTTCCTCGAACGCTGCAACTGGTACTGAGGTCGGGCCATTTGCCAAGATTACTGGCGATAGCCCAGGTCTCACACCATCACACTCGAATGCGGATCTTTATGGTGCATATTCCGGTTATGGTGTACCTGTGCAGCCGACTGCTTCTGCAAATTCAAGATATGCTCCTTCAAATACATACGCACCAAGGACGTCATCCGAGCAACAGAGATCGCGCTTCGAGCCGCAGGGCAGACCTTCTATGGAGTCGAACGACAGCCACCGTGCGATGTCGGACAGCTACATGCCCATGACTCCAATGACACCTGCGTCTGGGCCTTACAGCCCACAGCCTCAGCTCAGTCCACCCAGTCAACGCACACAGGCTAAGATGCAATCCTACTCACCTCTTCGAGCTGAACACAATGTGTCTCAACCATCTTATGGCAACCCGTACATGCCGACTCCACCGAATGAGGAGACTGCGTCAGCTTCTTCATTTGGGGGCTACCAACCGCAACAAGGCACTGGCCACTCTTTTGACGACCCGGCACCGCCAACGAGCTCTTTTGATGAACCGTCGTACCAGCCCTACAATCCTGATGCGGATGACATGGAGGAAGACAACAAGCCAAAGAAGAAATCCATCATGGACGACGATGATGACGACCTCGTCGCTCGCGCTGCCGCTCTCAAGATCGGCTCAGGCTCAAATTCCAAGTCCGACGCGGATAAGAAAGCAGACGAAGCCTTTCGCAAAGCCGCCGAAGCAGACGCCAAGCGCGACAAGGAGAACGCAGCCAAAAAGGCCGGCGGAGGCTGGCTCAGCGGCTGGTTTAAGAAAGATCCCAACGCGGCGCCCGGCCCCATCAAAGCCAAACTCGGTGAGGAGAGCAGTTTCTACTACGACCCTGACCTGGGCAAGTGGGTGAACAAGAAGGGCGGTTCGAGCGAGCCAGAGCGTGCAACAGCTACACCTCCACCACCCAAGGGCCCACCCATGGGCGCCCGAAGTGCAAGCGGTGGCATGCCGCCGCCATCTGGCCCCCCACCCTCTGGCGCTGGCCTCATGAAACCCCCAACATCCGCTCCTCTACGTAGCTCCTCCATGCCGCCCCCAATGGGCCTCCCAGGCTCAAGATCGAGCACCCCCGGTCTTCCATCTGACAACGAAGGTGGGCCTAAACCGCCCACACTCGCGCGACCGAGCTTCGGCGCGGCGTCAGGACCCCCATCTAGGCCCGGCACGGGTATGAGTAACGCAAGTAGTATTGACGACCTATTGGGCGCGCCGCAGGCACGGAAGGGTGCGGGCGCGAAGAAGAAGAAGGGCGGGAGGTATGTGGATGTCTTTCCCCAGGGACAGGCGTCATAGGAAGCGCGTGTTGTTTTTGGGTAGTTTAGACAGGAGCATTTTTGGCGTAGATGGATGCATGATGAGGAGTGTGACGGAAGATGGGAGGTGGGGTGTGTGTAATGATATGCGGTGTGTTTGAATATTACTCTTTTGATCGCTGTGCATAGAACTTCTCAATATCTGTGTGGGTTGGGGCGATCGGGTTCGAAAGCGTCATGTGAATGGTGAACTTGGTATTTTTACTTAGCCAGGAGGTCTTCGAGACTATCCTGAAGGCTCTTAGCAGCATCTTCGGTGTGCGAAGATACACCGTGGTGCGACGTGGTGCTGCTGCGATTGACTGAGCCAGGAGGTCTTCGAGAGATTTTCTTAAGGTCTAGCTGAAGATTTCCGGGACTCTTAGTTTTGAAGCTTTGTCCCAAGTCAATGTAGCCGTCTGAGTAAGGGTTCTCTAGCGAGAAAAAGGACTTTCTGGAGGGTTGCTGCACACGCTCGAGTGCACTACAAAATGTTCTGGGTTATCCACGTTTGCTACAATAAGCGATGCAGAAAGGGCCAGGATTTCACGTCCTGCCTCCGTTAGATATATTTCATATTCCAGCTGTACCAAATGACAGACAACGAGGATGACAGCTAGTCGTTACCATTATCCAGAGTTCAAACCGCTTTCATCTTACATTTGAGCTGGAATAGACTCAATAGCTTATCAGAGTGCGGTAAAGTGCTTGAACGGCCTCGAAGTCAGACAGCTCGACTAGATGGCCCCTAGAAAGTATTCAGAGTCTCTAGAAAGCTCGTACGAATTAGTGCCGTGATGCGGCCCGTTGTTAGCGCGAAGAAGGAAGGTGTTATACGGTAACGCCGCCGTTCACTAGAGCGCCTTGAAAACACAGCTGCGATGCACACAAAGATACAACTATCACTCACGTGCTTCCATTAATTTACCCGTCGATACAACTTCTGCATCACCTGTGGCATTCATTTCTTTTGCAACCCTCAGCAAATAGTCATGACGACACCATGCCTTTCCGCCCCTGTTCTGTTCCTTCCGCAGGACCTGAGGTCCGACTCGAAATTGACCTCGCAGATCACGCGTCTCACCAACGATGCTTTCAGGCGATCAAAACTGCCAGATCCCGACAAATGGAACTACGAGAGGCCGCGATTCCCCACTCATGAGTCATACTACGAAATGCTCGGCGATGAGACGATTGTGGCTGTGATATTCGACCAAGACGTGTGCGCGAAACACAGTAGTGCCAGTAGCGCGCTAGAATCTGATGCTATCACGAACGGCAAGGTTGTTGCGTGCGCGGCCGCAGTGCCATGGAAAGGTGGCTGGGCGAAGGAGGGTGCTGGCGAAGAAGACGGTTGGGAGATCAAGGCTCTTGCTGTCGACGGAGATGCAGCATATCTACGGAAGGGGCTCGCGGTACGAGTCATGGCTGCACTGGAGAACCATCTGATCGAGAGGACGAAATCGCAGGTCAGAGCCAACTTCCCCCAAGGGACAATACCGAAAAGATATGGATGTGTAACGCTGTGGATTTTAGCAGCCGATTGTATCAACGGTGCGTACTGGAGAAAGAAAGGATACCGTGAAGTTCGTCGAAGCACGGAAGGAGAGGGTATATGGGGATGCAAGACAAGCTTTGACATTGTTGTTTTTCGGAAGGATGTTACATATGATGTCTCGCATTGAAGAATCAGCTGGTCTAGCAGAGTCTCTGAACGAATTCCAAGATTACGGAACAATGTACACCGTCCTGCAGGACTGTATCACTTCGAAGATCACGGCATGCGAATAGTATTCGATACTGGGGAGGCATTCATTACACAGAAATAGCTACGGACGTTGCCTTATGCCTTCTTGTAGATGTCCAGATGCGCAAATGTCCAGCTCACCTGTATTGCAAGAATGGCGTCAGTGCATCAGACTCATACCAAGTATGACGCTCGGGCTCTGATAAACCTCTTCTAGGCCAAAACGACGGGCATCCGGAAGGTAGAATTGTAGTGTCTTTTCGCGAAGAGGCCGACCAATGGGCTGCTCCCTGAAGACCAGATCGATATTGGGGGCGTTGTGGAGGATAAAAGGTGACAGAAAGACCGCTGCTAACTTATCCGCTTCGACTAGAGCAGTCCATTTTGCTGAGTTGCAAGCACACAGGATCTCGAAGGCCCGGCCGACGCACATTTCGACCCAAATATCCAGCCAAGCGCATGGGATAGTCTTGTCTGCGACTACTCCGTCGAAGAAGTGGACATCGTCCTCCAAACCTTCCCACGCGAACATTGGCGCAATGATATACCTTATCCCAATCTTGTAGCCCTTGTCGGTTATATGAAGAAAATCTGGCAATCGAAAAAGCCGTTTCGTTGGCGGAAGTGTCAAAAGATTTGGCCAAGAGGAGTATATCACTGATCGCGATAGCCAATGCATACACAACGGCGCAAACGGACCCTTCCACGGATCCAGAGATGTGGGATGCGCTTGTAAGTGACCTGAGCGAGTTGTATATGGAGCCAAAGTGTGAGCTCTTCCCACGGGATACATGGCCAGCAGATGTTCCATATCCGAATTTGGTGGCGTTGGCGAAGTGGACAATCGAGACTCGGGTCAAACAGGGTCAACTTTCGGCCTCATTATCATCAGAGATGTTTGGTGGCTCAGAAGTAGTCGGCAATCTGCGGAGGCTGTTAGAAAGAGAGCAGAAGTGATGAAGACCATGTTTGTATGCGGATTTGTTTTGAGTTGTTCATGGCGTTGGAACAAGTTACCGATGTTGAGATCCAAATTGACGCGAGATGTCCTGCTTCGCGTAACAGTCTTTCTCTCACTTAGCAAACAGTAAGTGACGGGTGATTTTGCCCACTAGTTTCGGTTGAGAGCCAGTGGCACATGCTTAGCTGCCAGGTGGCATATGTTCTGGTTGCAGGACCATGATGCATATTTTGGCGATCCCATCGTGTGCGCTACTAATACGTCTTTCAGTCAAATATTTCGCAGATGCAGATAGCTTCCGAAAAGCGTTTCGCCATCATGGGTTTGGTCAATCGTGATGCCGCAATGACACTGGCATCAGACCGCTGCAGGACCGCACCTCACGACTACCAATTGCGATTCACCTCGAGTTGGACTTCCAAAATAACACACTGACCAGGCTCCTACTATGCATGCTAATTGAGCCTCAAGCGAGCCATACTACAATTGCTTGCCGCTCTTACCTACGTTGTCCCGCGATGCTGCAGCCTGGTCCATCCTACCTTATGGAGGGTAAGTAAGCCTTGCACCTGCACAGAACATCTCTAGTACTCCAACAATCTCAAAGTTAAGCTTTTTAGAATTTCAGAAAGCTCATCTCCCAGCAGGCAATCTATGCCACTGTTGCAGCAATTGCGCAGCTCCTTTCCGAGGTCGTCTTGGGCACAGGTTGGGCCACAACTCACTACAACTCACCTTCCGCGTCGCAATCATCGAAGTGACCTCTTCTTTTGATAACGCACTAATGCAGGGACGGCGATCATGTCATTGTGGTCTCTCGTGCATATGCCTTCACCTGGTATTTGCCACTCTCCTGGTGGTATAAAACCCACGCTCTCGCTGGCACGATCGAACTTTCGTCCTCATCGCATTATCTCCTCAACCGCATCTTCTCAGCTCATTATTCCTTTTCTCAACTGGCCCTGGATCATCAAGACTCCTAGAAGATGGCGTAAGTACTTCTCCATCCCCACTTGCGTCACCCTCATGGTGGGGTGGTTGCAGCTGAGAATGAGAGTGAGCGATGATTGATTGCGGTAGATGTAGTCGCTAACACGTACGCAGACCAAAGCGCAACACCAATCGTGCTGTTCCTTCTCCTCTTCGACCTTCAACTCCCACTCGTCAGCTCCGCGAGAATCCAGATCTCGCTTCGCCGCCTACGACTCCACTCGCTGCCATGGACATCAATGGTGACGTCGTCATGGGAGCCCAGGGTGTGCTCATGCCGCCTTCTCCCAGCTTTCTGAACGGGGTATTCGAGCAGGAACAGGCTGCTCCTACATTGCCAGGTCTTACGATCGGCAAGGCTAAGTTGCGCGTCGTGTCCCAAGACCGCACCAGTGCAGGTGTCAAGAAGTCAAAGACCAAGTCCAAGGCCACCGTCGGCAAGCTGGTTGATTCCAATGCGGGTGCAGCAGCGGCTTTGATCCAGCAGGCAGTGCAGACGTCATTCCGGTTCATGGAGCTACCTGGCGGTAAATCAGTCCAAGTCCAAGCTGCAATGCATGTGCTAACAATGAGCAGAAATTCGGAACCTGATATACCATCACGCCCTCTCGTCCCCGAAGCAGGCTTTGCTTGTTCACCGTCCGCGCATGGCCTCCCTGCGGCCTCGCACCCGCCTTGACCGCCAGCGGGCACTCGATTCCGACGTGAAGGACCGAGAGTTGGGCTACCAGCTGTCGCTATCGTTGTCAACCGACAAGTCTCGTCGCGCAAACAAGGACACGAAGAGCGCCAAGAAGCGCGAGACCAACCGTCCCTTCTGGGGTCTTACTCAGGTTTCGCACCAGGTTCGTCAAGAGTTCCGCCCAATTTACCTGCAGAAACAGGAAATTGGCATGGATCTCACTGAGATCGTCAAGTACCTTCAGACCTTCTACTTCGATGCGCCTGAGGAGTTCACCAAGCTCGACACACGGGGCAAGCGCGCCTTGGACATGCCCTTCAACGGCAATCTGACCATTGCGGTCGGGGAGAAGCCGGGTGAGCTTGAGAAGCACAAGGACGGAGTTGAGGTGATCCCCCTGCTGGACCTCTGGGCGAACAGCTTTAAGATCGAGGCTGGTTTCGGTCGCTACCTCAAGAACGATTACGTCCCGCAGACTGATGGGGAGGCTAAGGACCTGTAAGTGCATCGACATCGCCTACCTTGTTATTAGCATGTTCACTAACATGGTGCAGGTACCGTCTCTTTGGCCGCCGTGTCCTCAAGAACCGCCAGTGTTCCGGCATGAACCACTCGTGGCGCACCATCCTCCGCTCTCGAGCTCTGGCTTCAGTCACTTTACACCGCAAGCCCGCTCCCATCACCGTCGACACCGTCACCCTACCTCTTTCGGCCCTTCCGACTGCTCTGCTTATCGCTCAGCGCCCGCTCCCGACCCGCATCACCATCGACCCCAAGCCTTTCATCCACATGCAGTTCCGCCCCGAGTGCGCTGAGTCCTGGATGACACAGCCGGTCTCCACTCTTCCACCTGACTGGCTTCACCTTTGTGGCTTTGGCGGCATGGAGCACTTTGACGTCAAGGTTGGTGTTGCGCCTCGTGACGTTGACAACCGCCTTTGAGCGATGGTCGTTAGCTGGTGACTGTGCTGCGAGCGTGGTGCAGCATTGCAACGTCCTCAAGGTAGCACAAGACAAGGAGAGCACTTTGAGCTTAGTTGGGCATTATTCCTACAGTCTGGTAGGATGATCTGATAACGACATATCTGGGTAGACGTTCGGAGTTGGATTTGACACGAACCGATTTTGGTTGCGATCGTATCTGAGCCTCCGTTGGAAGGACTTTCCAGCGCCGCTGAAGCAACGCGATATATACATGTATCTCCAAGCTTCGCAGATCTAATAACATATCAACTTGGACATTGTCGCGTGCGATTGGTGCTTGATGTTCGGAAGTGAAGATGAGATGTAATGAGTTAAGCAGAGGATGGTTTAGGTGACGTCCAGTGGGAGACACGGAAATAGCCGTAACGACCAAAGGTGCACTAGCCATATTCGAGCTACCAATGGAGTGTATCACGCATGCGTGGAGCGTATGAGTCTTGGCAAGCGGCATGGGCGATGTTGCTGCCTTGCACTCTGTTAGTCGGGCTAAGGCCACCATCTTTCCCCGCATCATCACTGTATCAAAGTGCTTATGATCAAGAAGGTATTTGATAAAGCCCAGCTTACGACAACATCATGGCGACACCGAATCATTTACCATTCATCAACCTGACATACAGTCATCTCCATGATCACTCATTTGAATTCTTCCCAATGCTCACCATCGAGCTCCGACTTCAAATTTGGGAGTACGCTGTACAGCAAACCCGGTTTTTGAAGATCTATCTCGAGCCGCTCTCTCAGGATACTAGCACGGATCCCTATTCCGGGCTCAATGCGCTCAACAAGGTCGTGAGTAACGTTGGGTACACTGTCACTGTCAAAAGCCTCCATTGTAGTAGCAAACTCCTCGCCGTAAGTCGCGAAGCACGCAAAGCCGCGCTCCGTTTCTATCGTATCCAAGTTCCATGTCACATCAAAGTAAGCGAAGGAAGACGTATGCCGAGCTCAGTTCAAGCACCCTTCTACTTTAACCCTGCATACGACATACTACATGTGAAGTCCGCACTTCCACTAAGCCGTACCTTCGTTCCCTTCCTGCATGATCTCAGAGCGTACGACCCAAAGGACGTCGGCATTCTACGACTGGCTTTGGACGACGAACTCGTCACCAATCTTTACCACATGAATCCTTCTCTCGCCGAGGTAGCGTACAAAAGCTTCATACTCTCCCTTAAAACGTTACAGCAAATCATCTGGATGGCCAGCTCTCCCATCGGCCGCCCAATTACGGGTGTCCGATCGAATTTGCCCACCGTTGGATATCGTTTTATACACTCCATGCCCATCATGAGCGCCAACGCATCCTTCGACCTTCTAGATCCGGATCTGAGACCTATACAATCTGAGCTCCAGTATACTGCAACAGCAACCATCGATCCACGCAAGTTGTCCTTGGTATGGCACGGATTTCTTACCAATACGGGCATAATAAGGCAACCTCGCCCGCAGGAGCTCGTCCTTTTTGCAGCAGAGCCTTGGGCTCACGGCCCCCAGGTTCGTAACGGTGATGCAGCGAAGATCTTTCTGCACGAAGAACACGAAGGCTGGTTGAGGGGCCAGGAGGAGTCGTCCAGCTTGGTGAAGAAGAATGCGGGCAAGGTGCCAGTAGAGAGCCCCGAGGAATTTGAGAAGGCGGTGAGACCGGCGTTTGGGTTCTGGTTGGTTCCGATGAGCGCACTGAAGGATCCTGAGCCCTCTCGTGTGTTTAGTTCTCCGGTCTGTGATTTGCGAGGCCAGAATGTGGAGTTGGCGCTTGCTCATTTGTATGAGTGATTCTAGCTTCATGCAATGTAGCTGCTGTTTTAGCTCAAGCAAAAACTTGTTGACCACAACTTGTACGAATGTACCTTCGTGGTGGAGCTCTAAGATATATTGCTGCAGCGGTAGCACATCCACATCAACTTGTATCTCTCTGGCTAAGCTGTTGTAGATGAGTAGCCAATCTCCTTCTCAAACGACTTGGTGCTCGGTCCTCTCATCACAGTACCTCTCGGCTTCTTGACCTAATCTTTATCGCTCCCAGTGACAATAATGAAGTCCTTCTGCAGTCATGATCTTTTGGTGTGGAGAATGGGAATGTCAGCTGGACGAGAAAGCTTCAGTCTGTCGATAGTAGACGGAAGAGGGCATCCGCGCCTCATGCATGAATGAATGCCTTGTTTGCCGAGTCTACAGTTATAGAGCGTCGGCGTCAATTGTCCCTGAAATAAGTGCATTCGAATTATGGAAAATCATGAGAGCTTGTAGTACTCCTCTAGAGGGTGCTCCAGCCATGGTCAACAGGAATTATTGACCCACTAATTTCAGAACTCAGATCCGATATGAGGAATGCAAGCACATTTGCATGCTTTTGCGGATCTGCAAGTCCAATGCCGTTTACCACGCCCAAATCATGGACAGGTTGCATGAACTTCATGGCCCCCATGTCGACCTTTGTTTGATCGATGGACGATAGGATGCTCGTATTGACACCTAGGGAATTTAGCGATTTCTTCATGTACACGGCTTTGAACGAGAATCTGTCGTACCGCCAGGACATATGGCGTTGCACCGAATGCGATCTCCTCGAAACCTGAATGCCACGTTCTTTGTCGCACCGACCTTTGGTTTTGAGTCAGCTGCTTGTGTCGTAACGAAGGATGGAAGAACTCACAATTCCATGTTTGCTCGCTGTATATGCAACTCCAGCTATGGCACCGCATGTAGCCGCCTTGCTAGCGACGTTCACAATGCTCCCGCCGCCAGTTTTGATCATATGAGGCACCACAGCTCGCATAAGCTTTACAGGAGCGGTTAGATTTATGGCGATAACTCTGTCCCAGAGCGCGTCCGTGAGAGTATCGACACTGTTGTTGGTGTCCATGACTCCAGCAACGTTAATCAGGCCGTCGATCCTTCCGAACGCCGCAACCGCATCTTCGACAACCTTTTTCTGCGGCACCTGCGTCTGCAAGATTGACACGGACGAACTTGCACTCTTGCAAGCTTAGGACTGATTCTGGAGCTTCAGCGATATCGCAAGCGAGGATCTTCGCGCCATATCGGTTCAAGGTCTGGACGGTTGCAAGACCAATTCCAGACGAGGCTCCAGTGACAAAGACGACCTTTTGATGTTAGCCTAATGTAAGCGTTATGGAACATGAGCGGAAGGCCACGCATGTTACTTTCAAGACATACTTTTCCCTTTACTCCGTCCATAATGTTTTGTAAAGTGAAAAGCAAGTCACAATGGTAAGATTTGTACTATCCAGCGGATTCTATGAAGGCTTTATAGAAGATGAAAGAGGAGGCTAATCGAAGTAGAAAGCCGTCGTTTAGCGGGGGAAGTCTCAAGGTCAGGAATGAACCCAAATTCCGGCAAGGAGTAGCCTGTGGCGGATGATCATAGCAGAAGTCGTGTGACCTTACTGTTGCACGCAAGAAGCACACTGACTGGGCTAGCAGCTGCGGGATGAGGAACAGATCCTCCCATCCCTGAGACTGAACGGCGGATGGGTTCAAGTCAACATTGGCCAGACGAATCTCGACCGCGATTCATGAGTGCATCTACATACCGCACGAGAGCAGCACCGGTGGAACACCGAGGGCTTTGGCAGCACATTAACCTAACTTATACGGCAACAAGCTAGATAACTGTTTCCTAAATTTCAGTTACCAGAGCAGAAGCAGGTTAGTTTTGTTATCTTGCTTTCTAATATATTCTATCGTTGCGTTGTGCTCCTGCTGTTGTCGGGAAGTACATGAAGTGTGGTAACGCTTACATTTTGTAATAGGCTACCGTGCACGAACACTAGGCGCCCGGAGACACTAAGCGCCTACCCTAAAACTAAAACCTGTTATTAATACTAACTTTAATATATTATAACTTTACTATTATAGATCTAATTTAAGCTATAATTAAAGATATTAAATTATATAAGCTAAGAGAACGTTTTATATATATAAAAGTTATTATAAAATATAATATTAATTGCATAACGTTAAGCTAAAGATATAGAAGTATATAAGCTATAGTAGGCACTTAGCTACTAAATAGATATAAACTTAGCTTACTATAGAAGTTAGAGCTTATACTATATATTAAAAAGCTTACTAGATAAGGCCTACTTTCTATAAGAGAGATAATTAGAAATTTTACCTTATCTATAGCTAAGAAGGAGGTCTCTAAGCGCTAGATTTTATGCTTTATTAGCTAGAATAAAAATAAGCTTATTTTAAAGAGAACTAGCGCTATAGATTATATACGTTATTAGGCTAATTTCTATATTAAATATTAAGCTTACTTTAACTTTCTATATAAGAAGCTTAATAAGTATTACCTTAAAGCTAGTAATATATATAATATAGATAAGAAGAGCTTCTTTATTAAGATTATTAGAATAAGTAAGAGAGTCTTTAGTAAATATTAATAAGATAAGAAAGAGATTAAAGTATTACTTTAAGATAGATTATATAAATTTTTAACGCTCTTAGCTTATATCTATGCTAATAGAAGCTTACTACTACTAAGCTTTATCTATATATTAACTTAGAGAGTAATTAGATTAAACTAGGTAGAGAGAATTACTATAGAGAATTATAATATCTTTATTATATTATCTTAATTAAGTTAGAGTAATAATAACGTTAGTTTAGCATAGCTTAAGTAAGTATTTAATTACTATATAAAGAATAAACTAAGAAAGTAGTAATTACTTATTCTTAATAGCTATAAATCTTATCTTACTTCTAAGTTTCTTAAGTATTATAACTACTATAAGATTCTTCTAATAGTATTTTCTTCTTATTTAACCTATATGCTATAACTACTAAATATAGTAATATTTAAGCTACTCTTATTAAGCTATTCTAATAAGCTTACTTAGTATCTCTATAATGCCTAGAGCTTTATCTCTATTAAGAAAGAAGACTTTTTCTTTCTTTTCTAGTAAGCTTAGAGCTTATTCTTTAAAGAAAATACTATCTTAAAAGCTTTTAAAGCTACTAGTATATAGCTAATTAATCTAAAGATTATCTTTAATAGATTTAGAATAATATCTAATAAGAACTCTAGTAAGCTATTCTAGGCTAGCAAATAAGTATAGATAACTTATATATGGGTATAAGTTAAGGTATAGTTAAGTATAGGTTAACTAAGGTTAAGTTAATGCCAAGACTATATAAGTTAAAGTTAAGTATTATATAAGAAAGTTAAGTCTAGGTTAACCTAGGTCAATTTTATTATATAATACTTAACTATATAATTAAGTATTATGTAAGCAAAAATTTAATCTTCTAAATTACTTAATTTAGTAGTATAGATGCTTTAGAGAATAAAAAAAATTATTAAATTTTTGCTTATATAATACTTAACTTTAACTTTAACCCTATTACATAATATACTTAACTATAACCTAAATATCTATAACTATAACCTAACTTATACCCATTCTAGCTAGAAAGTTTAGGTATAGGTTAAGTTAATTTAGAGTTTATATTATGTAATACTTAACTATAACCTAACCTATACTTATTTGCTACCCTAAGCTATTCTATCTCTCTCTAAGTAATTAGAATTAGCTATAGTAATTAGTATAAGATACTGCTAAGAATAGAGCTTAGAATAGAATAAAGAAGCTTAGTATTCTACTTTATTATCTCTAAGTTTAAAATAAGCTACTCTATTATAAGAATAAGTAACTAAGAACTACTCTTTTATATAAGAAGAAGTATAAGAGTAAAAGTAAAGCTCTTAATCTTTAATAGTATTAAGAGTATTATAGTAGTACTATCTTTTAGTTTTCTTATAAGTTCTATAAAGCTTAAGCTTAAGAAGTAGTTTATAAGTAAAAGAAGATAGAAAAAAAACTCTAGAAAGTATAAGCTAAGAAGTAGTATAAGAAAGCTTAACTATAATATTAAGTTAAGCTTAAGAAAAAGTATATAGAGAAGTAAAGACTTAAAGTAGTAAAGAAGAAAGAAAAAGCTAAAAAATAAGCTAAATATAAGTATTAAAAATAGCAGCATAATACTAAGAAAGCTATATAATTATTCTAAAGAAGTAAGTATAAAGCCTTATAAGCAGTCTTCTCTAAGAAAAAGTATTAAAAATAAATAGTAGATAAGATAGCTGCTACTTAAGTTTAACTTACTTTATCTTCTTTACTAACTTAAGTAATATTATATAGCTATAATATTAAGCTTCTAAGTAAATTTAAATAGTATAAATTAATTATAAGCATCTAATTACTGCTATATTATATTTTTATATATATAGAGCTATTATATAGCATTATATAGCTTTAAGTTTAAGATTATAATAATATTAATAGGTAGGCGCCTAGTGTCTCTAGGCGCCTGGTGTCCGTGCACGGTACGCTCAGTTCGGAAGCTTAGGCTCGGAAGCTCAGGCCTTCGGAACTTTACTTATTCCGCAACGACGGAATATCACTTCTTCCGCAGTTATCGGAAAATCACATCTTCTGAGAAGTGGTATAAAAGATAGCTGGCGGAACTTCTAGAGTTCCGCATCTAATTCATAACTTTAATACTTAGCTACTACTCTCAGAGTCCTGTCCCTTACATTTGAATTAGATCCCTTCAGCTACTAAGTCGCCGGACTTGTGCAGCTACCTATACGACAGAAGATAGCAGACCTAAGAGGCGCTCCAGCGCTAGCTGGCGGAACAGCAGCAGCAAGGAGAGGCCCGCATCAACCTGCTGGAGCAGAGTCCTGCCCCTTACACATTTTGCTAGTAAATCCTCTGTCTTAAAAGCTACATAACTCTTTTAATATTAGAGATACTAAAAAATGCTAAACATTGATAAAAGTCTGAAGACAAAGATTTATAACTAACATAAGTCAATATCTTTTAAAATCCTTTGAATTTTTCTTCAGTAAAAAGCAGGGCACGCAGGGCATAAGCCGGAACTGGGCATGAGCCGGAACTGGGCATGAGCCGAACCAACACGTTAGCTGCGGGGTCTGGAAAGCGGTCTTCCCTTGCCGAGACCTACATATCGACTGCAGTTAGTGTCTACCCGCTCCACGAGCCGAGCTCCGTTCGGCTCTCCCAAGATGTATGAGCCACCAAACCTGAACACGCCAGTTGCAAGCTCTGTTTGACTCATTGGGCAGGTAGATAGTGGCAAAGAAGCGAAAACTGGTGCCCGCATGTGGGAAGTCCATCCAAAAACCTGTCTCGTGGACGAAGAACTACCGCATTTTTTCATCTACTTTGTCGAACGCCAGCAGGGCACGGCACAGACCGGATAACTTTGAGAAGATCTCCTTTTCCCTTGACTAGTTGAGACTGATTACGTATCTAGCTTTGTAGAAATAGATCAAAACTATATGTGTTCTGGTTTAACGCGACTTCCGTCCTCTACTAGCGTTCAACAAAGTGGATAGAAGAATACGGTGAATACGGCTTCTTGGTCACTACCAGGAGACGGAAGTCTGGAGCAAAACCTCCAGCCAGCCGTTCCGAGATTGCTGTTAATGCTCCAGATACCATGGTGAAAGGATGCGACGTGTCGCTGCTCGCATCGGTCACCCTCTACCCACATAATCGACAATATCCCCTACCATAATTCTTTTCACTTCTAGCCTTGATATCTAATTACACAATGTTTTAGGAGTTACAGCAGTTATTGATGTTTCGATTGCGCCGCATAGGACCTCAAACCTTTTGTTTTCAAACTACTCCAGAGAGATTGAGTTTTAACGGCGTAAACGTCGCAATTGAGACTCAAGAGAAGGAAGATTGCTCTAAGCTGAAAGGAGTTGTGGGTCGTTGAAATTGGCTCGAGAGGTCTCATGTGAGTGGAAGTTAACCGCAACCCTCTAAGCCTAGTGCTCTTAATTTAGGCTCTTGGCCAGATTTGATCTACACAAGAGAGCTGATATTTCCGACCATCCGAGTCCCACTGACCCCGGAGCTTGTGAGGAATACGTCACGTCTGCTGGAACCACCACCGTGGTGATAAGTGGCTTCAAACCCCGTCAATCGTGCTTATTCAATTTCGACATCATGCAGCCAAGGTGTTATACTCCTGTCAAGTACATCAAAAGACCCACGCCTGATCAGCTACTGACGAATGAGGGACTGGTCTGTACATGCCGCGTCGATCGGGCCGTCAAAATACCTCTTCCGTATCACCACGGGAAGCGAAGCTATCTTGCTGGGTCCTGGTGGTCACTCGTAGCACCGTCCTTAGCGGATCGTAAGGTAGTGCCAAGATCTTTGAAACACTATAAAAGATACCATGAGTTCGCGATCCAAAAGTACCGCGGATTTGTTGATTGCGGAACCTAAGGGCGCATTTGATCATTTATTTTCCCAAGATTCACAGCCATGTCGTCTAATGAACTTGATGCGGCGACACAAGCACGATACGAGAAAGAGCGAAACAAACGATTGCGAGCCGATGGCAGCGCTCAATTCATCGCCCTTCATGAATCGAAAGAACTTTCACATCTGAATGACGACATCTGGGCCGATCATGCGGCTCTCAATGCATCTGAGCCGGCCATAACGGATGGTGGCAAATACGAAGTTGTCATCCTGGGTGCAGGGTATGGCGGGCTAATTTTCGCTGCACGACTCATCCAAGCAGGTGTTGCCGCCGAAGACATTCGACTCATAGATGTTGCCGGCGGGTTCGGAGGAACATGGTATTGGAACCGATATCCTGGCCTCATGTGTGATGTAGAGAGTTACATGTACATGCCGCTTCTTGAGGAGACCGGATACATGCCAAAGCACAAGTATGCGTACGGCCCCGAGCTACTGGAACACGCCAAACGTATCGCCCAACACTTCGGTCTATCCGACAAAGCGCTGTTCCGGTCTCAGGCCACTGAAGTGCGTTGGGACGACGAAGTGCGCAGTTGGAAAATCCAGATCATTGAGGGTAGAGGACCAAACGAAGCGAGACGCCAACTCAACGTGAGCTCTCGTTTTATGATCGTAACGGGAGGCGTTCTCAATGTACCCCATGTACCGAAAATCCCAGGCCTCGACTCAACCGAGATTCCTAGCTTTCACAGTGCTAGGTGGCGGTACGACTTAACGGGCGGAACGCCAGAAGTCCAACAGCTAGAAAAGCTTCGCGAGAAAAGAGTCGGAATCATTGGAACAGGTGCTACGGCCGTCCAGATTATACCAGAGCTTGCAAAATGGTCAAAACAGCTCGTCGTCTTTCAACGCACACCGTCGTCGTGTGATGCACGCGGTCAGCGAGCAACGGACCCTGAGGAATGGAAGCAGATTGCCGATGGGAAAGGCTGGCAAAGGCGGCGTATCGAGAACTTTAACCACTTTCTTCGAGCGGAACCACTTGAAGTCAATCTTGTCAAAGATGGCTGGTGCGAGATGCCCAGTTTTAGTGCAGGGGCCGGATCAACACGCAAAGGCAAGATCCAACCAGATGGTGTCGAGGCACATGTCAAGGACTTGAACATTATGGATCTTCCTAGGGCACAAAGGTTGAGAGCTCGCGTAGACAGCATTGTGCACGACAAGGACACGGCAGAGAAGCTAAAGTCGTGGTATCCAACATTCTGCAAGAGACCGACGTTTCATGACGAATATCTGCCAGCCTTCAATCAGCCGAACGTCCAATTGGTAGAGACGGCGGGTTTCGGTGTTGACGAGGTGACTTCTCACTCAGTTAGAGTTCATGATGTCGAGTATGAACTCGATCTCCTCGTCTTCAGCACGGGCTTCAGGACCGCACCGACTAGGAAAACACATACGCCAGCGCGGAATTGTGACGTTGAAATTATCGGACGCAATGGCCTTAATATGAACCAGAAGTGGGATGCGCAAGGACCATTAACTCTCCACGGATGCTGCACCCATGACTTCCCAAATCTCTTCTTCACTGGACTTACTCAGAGTGGTGCTGCGTGTGAGTATTCCTCGAGCATTCTATATCAAACGCTGATCCTCGAAGGCAATTTTTCGTACATGCTGAATAACCATGCGGAGCACGTTGCGTTTCTCATTCAATCAGCCCGCAGCCTTACGCAATCGAACAGATGCACGGTCGAGCCTTCTGTGAAAGCAGAAGAGCAATGGGCGGACGAAACCGCCAGCTTGTCCAACTGGTTCGCTTCCTGGGGTACTTGCACGCCTGGATACTGGAACAATTATGGCACGCCGATTACAAGGGTCGACGAGATGAAGAGAGCTGCCAGAAGCGCGCCATGGGGATTTGGTAGCCAAGATTATGTTGAGCGCCTCGAGAAATGGCGCGCATCGGGCGGTCTTCAAGACCTTGTTGTCTGTAGCTAGTTGGATATACTGTGGTTCGTCTAGATGGATTGGATATTGATGATGTTTGTGACATATGTTGGAGACTTGCTATCGCGTGTCCTCTCGGCGGAGAAACGCGCTAGCACGTGCCCTGATGTCATCGTCCCAATTTTGGAAGATTCCCACCTTTCCACAACACCACCACCCCTGGCAATGGCGTTCGTTTGCAACGTGTCGTTTCATCGAATCTCAATGGATCTCTCCATGTTGTTACCGCTTCCCCTGAGCGCGACATTATCTGCGCGTCCTTTCCTGCAGCCGCTAGTGCGACAAGTGGCGTAAGACCTACAAGTGTCAAACGTCCGCATCGATTGGTAGACAGCGGCTGCGGGACGCTGAATGAACGCCATACCGGTCGCAATGACAACACGAGCCTTTCAGCGGCCTGCCATGAGGATTTTCCACATCCGTTTTTGCAATGTCTCCGCGATCATGGACGTGGGTCCTGGTATGTGAGGTCATCGACTGACCAGGATTGCGACCAGCTGCATGCCATGATACTATTTCCATCTCATATCCTCTCAGCGTTCATGCTGCAGCCTTCTCCACGACTTCACAACTCTCGCTTTTGTGGACCATTGTTTGTCGTGTTTTTGCATTTCAGTTGCCGCTGTATTCTGCTTTTGCAGCGTCGGTTTCTTGTACCTATTCAAGCCATGCAGGTTTCACGTCCCAAGAGCATGCCAGATTTCTCTGCACTACTAGACGCTTCAACACCTCTGTTTGAAGCTCGCGCACAAAACCGACGACAGACTTCACCAGTGCGAGGCCAAGGATATCCACGCAAGAAGGTCAGCATTTCGCTGGCAGCAGGCCTGATCATGAACGAAAACCAGAAGAACGCGGGAGCACTCGACTCGCCTTACAAGCAGAGTCTCGACGGCACACAAGAAGAGGAACAGGATGTTAGCGAAGACGCTTTATTCCATGCGTACGCGCTAAAGGTAAGGACCCCAGTACCACTGTCTGCCTATGAAGCTGACATGGGCGCACAGAGCGACTTTCCAAATTCTCCTCCTTACATCCTCACATTTGCCTCAGCCGCCATCTGCACGCAATGGTGGGCCCTCGTTCGGCGCGAGTACTCCGATGCGATGCGTCCTAGCCCACAGCTTTTCGTGATGAAAAGTGACGAGTTGGAGCACATAAACGATAACTTGAGGTTCTACGGATTGAGAAACAAATGGTTCCTCACCGGACAGGACAACTTGTCGAATACGTCGCCTGTCATCCCACTACAAAGCGCAGACGGCAGAGCACTAGCGCCCACACAACAACCGCACACAGAGAGACCTTCATCTTCGTCATCTGCATCTGCATCTGGCGTAGAAAGCCTGACGGAGAAGCTAGACAGGCTTGCAAGCGTGGTTGAGAAGAATGTGGAGCAGATCCACGCCCTCTCTGTTGCCCAGTCGGCTGGTCTGCAGCGTATGCAAGAAATCAACGAGACCAACACGGCCCAGATCATGGGTCTTGCTGATCAGCAAGCCAAATTGCAGGCACTCATTGATCAGAACGCGTCACACTATATTGCCCTCTCGAACAACTCCTTCGAGTCCCAAGAGCAGATCAAGACTGTCATGAAAACCACAGCGACCCAGATACAGAGCTTGTCAAAGAACCAGGCGCAGTTGGCTAACACTTGCGATGGCATGATGCGCGGTATCGACAATCTCGCAGCCAGCATATCGCAGATGAACGTCGGGCCAGCTCCATCTGAAACGTCAAGCGCAGTCTCTTCTCCCGTGCCATCAGGCGTCATGGGCAATCGCATAACACCGCCACCAAGAAAGCTCAACCGCAGAATCAAGGGGGTCTGGTATGAATATGACATGTCATCAACAACGCCGACCTCATCACCAAAGAAGAGTGTGGGCTTCACGGATACACTCTCTAAAAGCCCTGCGACTCCGAAAAAGGCGTGAAGCGGCGGTGGACCCGGAGAATAACTGAGATGGCCATTGCGCGAGGCAGGCGCCGAAACATAATATACGCTGCAAGTGCATAGCGCTAAACGATGAGAGCAGTCGTGCCTCAAGTCCCCCGTCGATACCAGTGGATGTTGAACAAGATGGCGGGGACTGCACTGACGCAAGGAATCACCAGTGTGCAAAGAGACTTGAACAGATGTGGCTTGTCATGTAGTGGATGGGATGAGGAGCACATACTCCGCTAGTATATTGATCGACGACGATACGACCAACAAGTGCCACCTCCAAGGGATGACACACTGTCCGCGCCTTACTGTAGGCGGATTGGTTCGCGCAATAGGGTTGGCTGGATGGGAGAAGGCATCATTAAATGAGGGGTGAAAGCACATGACACTCGCGCTGGGTCTTATTCTACGTTCTCTGTGCGAGCTCGATAGCTTCCTTGACCACCTCATCAAGAGTTACCTTTGGCAGCCCAAGCCTATCGTTCCAAATCTCCTGTTCCTTCTCAAAGTCATATCCAATATCGATGTCTGCGCCAAACGACATAGCTAGGATTGGGAAAAGATCCCCTCCATCGATTTTCTCTTTCAAAGCCTTCATCTCCGCTGCACTGTACTTCTGCGCAATCTTGAATTTCTCCCCCGTTTGCTTCTCCAGACTTGAAACAATATCGCGCGTCGTACCCGTAAAGTCATCGAGGAAGATCTGCTTGTTGGCAGTCATGTCGGCATGCACAAGGGCCCGCACGACCGCAAGTCCCGCATTTCTACTCGTGGTGATGGCGAACCTGGCATTACCTGAATCGTACACAGTCGCTGTTCTCGCCTTGACATCGATGCCGAGAAAGTTTCCTGACTTCGCTGGATTGAGTGCCCAGTCAAGCCACGAGCCGCATGAAATGGACGTCCACGTCAACTTTCCGCTGCTTTGATTTGCTTTCGCGATCAGGTACTCTAACATGTTGCCTTTGATGTCGTACACAGATACCAAGTTTCGCGCCCGCGGGTCAAGATTGTTGGCGCCGAATTCGCTGGGTATGAAGCGTTTGACGCCCGCTGCGACTGCGGCGTCAATCAAGCGGATGGCGAGCCCGTCTCTGCCGTCTGCGGACACGGCGCTCGTGGTCAGGGCGATGATGACGGCATCTTGGTTCTTGAAGGCCGATGTGAGCTCTTTGACAGTGTATTCCTCAGAGATCTTGATTACGGGAATATCGGGTGGGAAGATGGCAGTCGAACTGGCCCTAGATAGGATGGTGATGTTAAAGGACGATTCTTCGAGGAGGGCATTGAGGATAGGAAGGCCAACTGAGCCGGATGCACCTGCAATGAGGACGTTTTTGATCGCTGTTGACATCTTGAGTATCAGGCGTTACTAGTGTCGCTAATGTCCTGAGTAAGTTCGTTGTCCAAGTAATATATGTTTCAGCACTTCGAACCGCCGTTCTTCATATTCTTATATCATGTCATTTGTGGTCATCTTTTGCAGGTACACAGCGTTGATTGCAAAGAGCGCACCTTAAGACCGAGATCACAAATCATAATGCGAGCTGACATATCAGCAATTTCGGAATCTCCTTGTGCAGGAGCTGTATGCCTTGCTCATTGCTCGTTGTTCGGACTGCGTGCCGGCATCACTCGAATGAGAAATGGGCAACGATTCGAATGCAGCAGACAAAGATGATGCGCCCACCGTTGCGGGACGATGAGTAAACAGTGCGTGTGTCAGCGTAAGTAAGCAGCACTAAGTCTAGCGTAAGTAAGCAGCACTAAGTCTCGCGATACGTCGTGCGTTCTATGCCCAAGTTCTGAGCTCTTTGGGGGAGTAAACCACGCTGTGTGCCAGCGAGATTATCATGATAGAACCAAAAGCTTCCTCGAACATGATCAGGTGTTCAGAACGCCTCAAGGCTATAAGCCCTTACTTGTTACTATTGCCATTCAATTCTAGGCTGTAGTAAGAGGCACCAGCTGTTGCGCACCTGATGGCGAAGATGTCATGGTGGTGAGGGCGTGTGAAAATCTTGGAATGATTTCCGGTCAATCTGTGGGTGCACTTTTGACTTGATTGTGTTTCTTGACCGGCAGAGCGGGCAATCTTGAAAGTGGGGTCGCTTCGCACCTTCCCCATCGGCACTCCAAGCGCAACTCAACCTCTCCATGACCTCTTCACATCACGCAATCACTACGCCTCTATCACGCCAACTTCTTTCGTGCTTTGCGCGGCCAAACACCACAGAGTACTGTATACGCATCTTCGACAGCAGACCGCTTCATGAGCGCACCGGAAACTGGAAAAGCCACAAAACGGAAGAGGCGTGGCCATTCCGAGCGGCCCACTTTGTACTACCAACGCAGGATGGGCGCACGTATAAGCTAACGAACGACCGGACTCGAAGCGAGCGTCAATGTTCAACGCATCACGCGTCTCAATCCAGCGACTTGCATGAGAGGCGATCGTTCCCATGGGAGTATTTGGCGGAAGGACCCTTCCACTGCCACGTTGTAAGACATCGCCACCGTCTGGAGGCCCGTCCACGAGAACAATGTATTCTGTGACCGCCTGGTTAATGTTCAGTATCTTCGACTTTTGATCTCTAACACGGGCTGGCATTTGAGCGCTGGCTCATTTCAGCATGCCACACATGCTGCACCTTGCTCGAGTGCGGCGGCATAGTCGGCATGATCGTCAGCATATAGGTACAGTCTGCGGCAATATGTAGGGTTGCCCTTGATGCATACAGCATGGGACTAGCATGTTGCAGTTACCGCATCATCTGCACACATGAGTGGTCTACGAAAATACTTGTTATGATCGAAATGGAGCCAGGTTTGCCGAAAGTACTGACCACCGTTTGGCGCTGTGTGTAGCCAGTGCGCTGGAGTCGAGGGACAAAGAATATGGTACAAGACTCTCTATCGATAGAGAAAATTGCACCGAACGTGGACGGCGAGGTCAAATGTGGAGAAGTGGACCGCGATAATGAATGCTCCGCAAACAGCCCTACGACGACGACTCCAAGAGGCGGTGTGCCTGCTCAGTAATGAAAGCTCAGCGACTTCTGGTTTGGTGGATGTTTAGGTGCACTCATGCAACCCACTCGGCTACGATGATATGGTCGTAAGCCTTCGCTGTGTCAGGTGTGGCAGTAAGATACAGGAAGCCTGACCTGCTCTGTTCCACCTACGGAGTAATGTTGGTGGGCAACTCCGAGCCAAGGTTTGTGCGACCTTCGATTAGAGCTTGCACTTACACAACATGCAACCAGGGGCAGGGTTATAATATCTAGTCTCGCAGCATCCCAGTAACAGGATACACTCACCTTCCTCGAACTTGACCATCACCGAGATCGTAACTCTAGGTTCCCAATGATTGGACCACTGGTCAGCATATCCATACTCTGTAGTTCCTGTACGAGCAGACGATCGCTCACACGAAGCAAGCCCTCAGGCGGGCCGTGGTGACTGCATATAACCACGTGAGGTAATCCATACGGTCGCTCTCGCTCAGCGGCGCGATATGCCGATGCGCGAATCCGAAAGACAGGCCATGCTCGACAGTACCTTCGAGCGGCCTTCATGCACTGCCTCGGTATCTTTGTCGAGGACCTGTCGTGGCATGATAGGCTCTCGGTGATAAGAGAGCGTTTGTACAATACTGTAACCTCAATGCGACGAAGGGACTGATCATTGAAACTTCGATATTGCTCGCTCAGCCCGGCTGATATTTCACACTAGTGCAGTTCCTTATATGCACTTAGCGAGTACAAATGACACGAGGCTTTTCCCAGGCCGTCATGTTACACGGCAGTGTTGGCTCATTCACCACGCGGGCATCCGAGGTCGAGCTTCACTGTGTGCAAAGCCCAGTAGCTGTAATCGCCACGCACAGCATCATTTTGTCACTCTGATCAGCTTGATTGTTTCAACACAAGCGTTGTGGGCACCTGGTAAATGGTACGAATTGCACGCGCCGAACATAGGTCGATCTAAAGTCTGCATTTTCACTTCAACACCTCGCTGATTTTATGCTAGGACCTGGACGGCTTTTGCTATCCCTGTCATTCCTCGTGGCCATCACGTACTGTGGCTTGCTCGGCTAGCTATTCCGCTCTTGCGTCCCGACAACCATTTGCATGAGCGTCTATGCACCTGCAAAATTGTGGAGGAACAGTAGTACTGGGGTCTGTAGCATGGCAAACGAACACACACCGCCCCACTGAATGAGGTAGCCGCAACGTTTTAAATGTTCGCGCATCGAAGGTCTCCTCGTCGGACCATCATATTGCTGCCTTTCAGTACTGTATCCTTTGCAAGGAACGACAGTGCACATGCTCCAAGGGCGGTTCTTTGTCACCTTTTAGTTCCTCGTCCTCGTATCGACACACTTCGAATCCTTTGTCGTGTGTGTTTCAAACATCAGGCGGCACAGCGGAGCAAAGCTACGAGCAGATCTTGGGATCTACGCCGGGGGCCTTCACTTACATCTTCCACGGATACAAAGTGACGATTCAGAACGTCTCTTTCCACACCCATTCGCGTTTGGCCTTCAAACGGTGCAGTCAGTGAAGCTGCACTCGGGAAAATCGAGGCCAGGCGATATAAAATCCCTCAGGGAAACTCACAGGGAAATCAGCTCAGTAATCCTCACACTCGTACACGTACATCAGGTCGTACTCGGACGTGTAGCAAACTCCAAGATCTTACCATCATACTACCAGGACGTAAAAAACCACAACAAATCTATCCACAACGCCCAAACATACAAGGTCACCCTACATCATGATCGACCAGGCCAGCGCCATGGCCGACACCAAATCTATCGAAAGCCGGCAACGTCCAGCAATGTCAATCTTGCTCGCATTCGTTGCTCTATGCCTCTCCATCTTTCTAGTCGCGCTCGACACCGTCCTCATACCAACGGCGTTGCCAACGATCGCTCTGTCCTTCAACATCAGCGACTCCTTGTACGTTTGGATCGGTTCAGCATACCTGCTCGCCAATGCCGCCTCGGTACCCCTCTGGGGCAAATTGTCCGACATCTTTGGCCGTAAGCCAATCATTCTCACCGCGAACACCATTTTTCTGGCAGGCAGCATATTGTGTGCTCTTAGCAAAGATGCGACGACGTTGGTGGCTGGACGAGTCGTTCAAGGCTTTGGGGGAGGCGGGGTCGTTGTCCTGGTGCATGTTTGCGTCAGCGATATATTTCCTATACGGTCAGTAGTTCCATCTCCAACACGTGCGACGTACGTGGCGGTCGCGCTATGCGATCAGCCATACAGAACGTGTGCTTGTAGACGTTGAGCAAACATACTGATCAATCACAGCGACCGCTCGTTGTACTTGGGTATCGTGGGAGCTGTCTGGGCTGTCGCGTCGGCGCTTGGTCCCGTGCTGGGTGGCATTTTTGCGGAGCAGCTGTGAGTTCTCTTCCTCGACGCCTTCTAGCTTATGCTAACTTACAGGCCAGTTCATGGAGATGGTGTTTCTATATCAACAGTAGGCTTGTTCCACCGAGACAATTGTTAACGCTTGTTCCTGACTATCACAGTTCCAATCATCTCCGTTTCGGTCATCACCCTCTACATGACCCTGCACCTACACAACCCTCGCACTCCCCTGCTGTCTGGCCTCGCTACTTTGGACTGGCTCGGTGTCTTGACCATCGTCTCAGCTGCTGTCCTACTTTTGGTGGGTTTGCAAGAAGGTAGCAACACCTCGTTTAAGCTTCCCGTGGTCATCACTCTGCTCGTCCTCGGCTCCCTCCTGTCTATCACGTTCCCTACAACACAGTGGTGGCAAGAAAAGGCAGGTCTGATGATCCCGTATTGCCGCTACGAATCTTCAAGGATATCAGCAACCTCAGCGCGCTCAGCGTATGCGCCTGCGATGCGCTAGCCTTCAACTCTGTGGCATACTTCCTCCCACTCTACTTCCAGATCGTGCTCGGTCGCAGCCCTACAATCACTGGCGTCTACATGCTAGCTGTAGCAGTCCCTCTTGCCACCGTCTCATTCGCATCCGGCTTCGTCATCGAGAAGACTGGACGCTTCCTCGAGGTGCTCCAAGCAGGCTTACTGATTATGACCGTTGGTGTCGGACTACTCATATCGCTCCATGTCTCAGACAGCATCGGCAAAATCATTGCCATACTCATCGTCCTCGGAATTGGATTTGGTCCCAATTTCGGCGCTCCTCTCATCGCTCTACAGACCCGGGTGCGGGAATCAGACATCGCAACAGGCACGGCTGCTTTCGGATTCGTGCGCATGATCTTTGGGGCCATAGGTGTCGTCGCCGGTCAAGTCGTCTTCCAGATTCTCATCACGCCGCACTTTGATGACTTTGTCGCAGCTGGGATCGCACCTGACATGGCTGACCAACTGACTCGAGGCGAAGCAGTATCTCTAACGCAGACAGTAGCCGCGCTACCACGAGGCCAGAGGGACGTTGTCCGACACGGAATGACGTCTGCACTCAAAGGTACCTGGATTCTATATACCGTGATCAGCGGCCTGGGTTTTCTGGTCTCCTTTGGCATCAAGCGGACCAGACTTCAAAAAGAAGCTGTTTGTGCAAGCCGGGTTGAGATGGTGGACGGGGAGCGTCCTGGCTCGAGTGCTTGAGGATAGCGTGGCGAGCTCAATTACCCCTATTGCGCATCATCACAGCTTCGACTAGGGACTGTTTTTGTTCAGCATATGGTGGGGCGTTGGATGGTTTCTTAGAAGCCGGACACAAGAGAGTAAATAAGCAGGACGTTGTCAAACCACCCCGAATAACTCAGGCGTAGTAGAGGGGATCCATTGTGCCACGACTGTCGCAATACAGGCAGTCGACCGTATCATCGAAACTGGCAATCGTGAAAAGTCTCCGAAAAGTTGTGTTCATCTGTGAAAATGCGGGCAGGACAGACATGAGCTACGCCGGTGGACTACCCTCCAAGACGCCAACAGTTGCAGATGAAAAGATGTGAATAACCCCAGGAGCTTCCATTGGATTGCCGAGGTCGCTAGGATAAAGATGATGTGTCCGTCCAGCTATGTTTGCAACCGAGGGTCTTCGAGGACAAGTCAGCGACGAACGAGCAGAATCAGGCAGGGCGGCCCGGTTTTCGGCGAAATATGGTTCTCCTTGCTGAGCGAGCTGATCCTGGAGATGCAGATGAGGCAGGGCTTTGCATTGGGGAACGATACAGGTACACCGGTGCAATGCCAGGCGATAGTCTCGATGAAACGTTGATCGATGATGGAGCAAGTCTGCAGTGTGCGTGATGCTGCTTCTAGGCTTTCTCGCAACCTTGGACGCGCCTGCGGCTGAAGCTCGGAGCATGCAATTACACACCGGAACCACAAGCCGCATCCACGGCGTCGTCAAACCTCCTGAACATCCCTTCGGAAGGGTCTCCAGTGCTCCAGACCCAGGGCAGGAGGAAATCGCTCGCCCAAGACGCTAAGACATAGAGCGATTCATGTCGTGTTTCCCTGCCTCAACAGGTCTAGGGAGCCTGTAGTAAATTAATCGCGGAGTTTTGAGCTTACTTTATGACGAGAGAACCGCAGGCTCGGTGCAGATGCAAAATGCACTAACGGAAGGACGCATACATTAGTACATTAGCACCGAAGTGATCTACTACAGTAGCTCCGCAAGATGCCGGGACTACCTTGCAGAACACCTAGTCTTTGATCCTCGGCTTCCTTAGTTCTTTGTTCCTTCGTTTTCTCAAGTCAACTTCTTACACCATTGTAACAATGTTCGCGATCAAATCGAATTCTTTATCGAGTGTCGTTACAATGCAACGGGCTGAAATTCTTAAGAAATCGGGTATGCAGGTCTGTGGAATCAGTCCGCACGAACCGTGCAGCTTATCCGACCTGACCATGAGGCGCACCGCAGATTTCCCATTGGCTAGACAAACTTCGATCAAAGCTTTATAGACACCGGAATATGGCATAAGAAAAGGCCTGTCCATCTCATCTCTTGAAACATATCGTATGATTGGAAGCTCGACAACTGATACTCCGACAGTCCTGTGCGCACGCGGGCGGACAGGCGAAGGGCACTTGTCGAAAACAATCGAATTGCTAGCTTGACATGCATGCCGGGCGGTAGGTTGCATGGATGTCGTAGATGATCTCAGTGGCTGATGTTCTTCAGCGTTGCGAAACATAATATATAGGCAGCCTATCTCTATTTATGTGGCCGGGCATGGGTACGAGCAGGCATTGGGACGCGAAATTTGGCCGGATAATCCTAGGGGCATCACTCATCCGATTGTTATGAATGCTCGGTAGCGTTTAGTGTTAACTCCGAAAAGTTGCGCGGTGGAAATACGGGACGCTGAGATATATACTGCTTACCAGAATGCGAAGCGAGACCTCGACTCTGGACAAATCAGCTCGCGTTACTTCACTGAATTTCTCAGCATGCAGCGCTTCGAGCTCGAGGCTTTTGTACGATGAGAAGATCTGGAAGAATATCGGAACACGTTCTATACGTGCAGAGATTATGCGATCATGGCGACTTACAATGGTAAGCCTCCTACCATGAGTTTTCCTTGGGAGGTTGCTCGTCCGGTTGATTTGCTCCCCACAATTGAATTCTTCCGGCGTTCGCCTCTTATGAAATGCTATATATGGGCACAGGACTACGCTGTCCGCGAAGACTCTCTTGATCGTGGCACACAAATTGCAGATAGTCTTTTGGTTTGGGAACTCGCTGCGCACACACCGCGACACTCCAGGTGCAATGCCTCCAGACAAGGTACCGTTTCGAACACATCAAGATGATCTGTTCAACGTCTACGCGAAGCTCGAGATTTGGTTCCAAGCAAATCCAGTTAATGCACCGCCAGGTATTGCACATGACCTGGACTGGGTGGATGGGAAGAATTGGGCATGGCCCAGGAATAATCTTGCGTCGACCATAGGTAGCTTGAGAGTAAAGAAGGAGCGAGCAAAGCGACAAAAAATTGGGATTTTATAAATGATGCCGGGCTCAATGTACCGGGTATCAAGGAGGGTTGGCGGGTCCATCTCGGCGTATCTGGTAAGCATGCGAAAGCTGGTCATGGTATTTTGAAGTGATAGCTGTAGTGCATAGGTTAATAATAAAGCGAGACGGTCAGAATATTGTCGGTGCTTTCTTGTATTGTACCTGTCTACAAAGACTGCTGCATGGGCAAGAAGACGGCCGGATGCGATTAGCGTGACGATGACGTCATACCACATCTTCCCTCTCCACGGCTTCCGCAGCAACCGCAGCTCATCAGCTCGAGACTTCCGCACCAGAAGCCCGCCCGAGGGACCTCAACGTTGCACCCCAATACCACAGAACCCAACATACGGGGAGTCCAAGCGCGATAACCACGAGAGCCAACACGCTATTCCCCCACCCGTAGCCCAGCTTGCCATACATCGCCGGCGCGAAGATAGGAAAAGCGAACGCAAGAACGTACGACACAACACGACTTGCCGCATTCGCCGATGCGCTGAATTGCGCAAACTCATCCAGCTGATACGCCAAAATGCCTTGTGAGGCGATGAAGCTGGCGAGGGTGAAGATGACCGTTCCGATGTCGACCATGATCCATGCGAGTTTGCGTTCAGCGGACCACCCGTACCAGACTAGTCCAATTGGTATGAGCAAAATGCCTGGAGCGAGGTAAGGTATGCGATACTCTGGGATGCCTTTGCTGCCATTTCGGCTGCTGAGTTTGTGATATACACGATCCATTACTCTGGCACCGATTTGACCGGCGATGGTTGTGCCGAGAGCGACTGAGATGTAGTGCAGACTGCTGATGAGCTCGGTTTGATGGTACTTGTCGATCCAGAGTGTTGCGTATGAAGACAGCATCAAGCAGTATACACCGAAAGCCAACGTGCTGACTAACGAGATCGGCCAGATCACAGGTCGGTTCACAAGTATGTGCAGCGGTCGTAGCAGACTCGTCCTGATGTGCGATTTCTTGGGAGGTACTGGAGTACCTTCGTGCGCAGCTTTGCGTCGTAGAAGCACTGGCGTGTACGTTTCGCGTATGATGACGAGGCCGAGGAGTAACACGGCTGCATCGATGATACTCATGATCCAGAACACCCACGACCAGTGGATATACTGAGTTACGAGACCTCCAATCAGAGGTCCAAGAGCAGGTCCTAGATACGGAAGCAGTGTAACGATGGCGAGAGACTTTCCGCGATCTCTTTTGCCATACATGTCCGCCATCACAGGCCCATTGAGCTATAGCGCTGTCAGCCATCTTCATTTCAGCTCAAGCAACTGCAAGGCTCACCGTAACCCCAACACACGCCCCCGCCCCCGTCATGACCCTTCCAACAATCATCAAACCCGCACTCCTGCCCACAGGACATAACGCATTCCAAACCACATACCAGGCGTTGCACGCCACCCAAACTCTCTTACGACCATACATCTCGCTCAGCGCCGCAATTACTAGCGGCGCAAAAGCCATGCCCAGAAAGTAGCTCGACAGTGTGATTTGCGCCGTCGATGCGCTGATGCGTAGGTCCCTGGCGATGTCACCAAGAGATGGCGCAATCATGCTGGCAGACATGATGGGGATGAGTTGACCGAACGAGAAGATGGTTCCGATGAGGATTTTTCTGTGGGAGGGCCAGTTGTAGGGATTTGAGGGCGAGGTTGGGGATGGCCATGTGCTCTGGACTGTGTTAGGAAGTGAAGTCATGAACGCGGAGAGGATGCTACATACACCATATTCGAGGCGTAACTTCTCGAGCTTTTCTTCTTCTGCCTCTGCTTCCTTTGTCAAACTGGGCGAAGTCTTCTCAACGTCTGACGGAGCCGCATCGTCTGTCGCGTCATGGGGCTGCTTCTCAACATTCCCATCAGCCATGTTGCAGAGCGCACTGGGTGTATTAAGCAGGCAAGAAGAAATGCAAAGCTTTGCCCATCGTCCAGGATTTGTACCTACCCGGCGTCATGCAAACGCCGAGCTGCAGGATATATCCGAGCTTGCCTTGTCACGATCGGACACCGGAACCCGAGCCTCTTTGCTCTAATCGATCTGATAAGCCAGCGACGAAAGCTGCGACCATTCATTGGCTAAGACAAGATACTACACGACTTGTAAGGATGGAGAAGCTTGGCGAATTACTCGTTTGGGTTGGGCGGCTGCTTGGGAGGCTTGAGCTTGGTGTGCGGACCCTGCGGAGGTGGAGTAGTTTGTGTAAGCTTGTAAGCCATGGACAACTAGCAGCACTATCCTTCCTACTGAAGCTTCTGAGATAACCAGCAGAGTCATGTAGCATTATTGCCAGACAGGGCACGCAAAAAGGACCTCACTGCGCACATTACGCTTCACGACCAAAAGCACTGCAGCCCGAAGCCACATCGAAGCAAATTGAATGAAGACATCGATTACTTTTGCTGCGAGTGATCGCATCCTCATCTTCATCCCCCATGAACCAAGAGATCTATGTCTATTTTGAGTCTAATGCCATGCAATTACCATGTCGCTCTATTTCGCCCACACAAGCGCACCAGCCTTGGCACCAGTTCCAGGAACAACATACTTGCACGTAGTGAACGCCTCCCAAAGGTCGGCGAAGAAGTTTGTGCGCTGCTCAATGTACCTCTCGCCGAGCAGGGGTGCAACAGCCCAAGTAGCCTCCTCGCAGTGGTAGAAGGGGATGCGGCTGTTTTACTATTAGCTGCTGAAAATCACGTGATAAACATTGGAGTTGAACTTACGGAAACATGTGGTGCACGACGTGGTACTCGATGATTCCGTGGAAGATGTGGCGGCCAATGAAGCCGAATTCACGGTCAATGGTGGAAAGCGCGCCCTTGACGAAAGTCCACTCGTCGGCCTCGTAATGCGCAGCATCCTCGTGGGTGTGGTGCAGGTACGTAATCGCGACTAAATCACATGATTAGCATGGTTTGAGTTTAGGGCGGAAGATAAGCGAACTTACCGATCCAGTGGTTCATCCACAGGTACGGGAGGCCATAGAGCAGGAATGTGTTCAAGCCGCCAAGAGATTTGGAGACCTGGTACAGGACGGTGAAAGTGATGAGGATGCCGACATTGGAGAGGGCTACGAAGGGCTGCTCGCCGGCGGTGAAAACGTCGGATGTAGGGTCCAGATGGCTTTGCTTGTACTTGGGGGTTTCCTTGCGGTTTGAGCGGACCATGCTGTTGACACCAGCGCCAGCGTTGATCAGAATGTAAGCGGGCCAGCCGAAAAGCTGGTGGACGGCCAGAGAGGCAATGCTGAAGATGGGCGCGTCGGCTGCGGTGTGGTCCATGATCTTCTCAACAAGAGTGGGTGCCGCAGGGTTAGCGGCTTTCTCCGCAGGCTTGCGGTTTGGCACGAAAACCGTGTCCTTCTCCATGTGGTTGTGGTAACGGTGGTGCCTTGCGTGGCTGAACTTCCAGCTGAAGAATGGCACAAGGAGCATGCTGTGGAGGATCCATCCCATTGTGGCGTTGACGTTAAGATAGGGAGAAAATGAGTCGTGGCCGCACTCGTGAGCCAGAATCCAGAGGCCGGTGAAGAAGCAGCCGGTGACAAAGCTGTAGAGCGTCCATAGCGGAGCGCTGAGGTACAATGGCAAATCGGCTCTGGCCAAAAGGGTGGCAGAGTAGAAAAGAGTGCTGACAGCTACGAGGTCGCGGACAACGTATCCCATGGAGCGAACCAGGGAGCGCTCGAAGCAATGAGCGGGGATGGCGTCTCGCAGCGTCTTCACGTCAGGGACGGGGGTAGTGGCGCCCTTTGTGGCCATCATGACCGGAGCCTTCCTCTCGGTGACGGTGGTGGTTGTGGTCGCCATGCTGAGCAAAGTCGAATGGCAAGGGAGGAGAAGAAAAAAAAGTACAGAGACGCTCGAAGATTAGCGAAGCAGCGCGGCCACAGACTTTTGTAGATTTCTCGCCGAGGCGGTGAAATTTGGTTGAGTGATACACCAACGCAGCCTAAGGTCTAAACGACCCGGTATACGTTTCAACAATGCAGCAGAGCTTAGCGGTAACCGCACGCGGTAGGTGTAGCTTCGACACCGCCTTTCCAGCATGTGGGCCGGCCATGAAAGAGATTTCGGGTCGCTGGAGCACAGTCCACCAACGGCCCAAATAGCCTGGGGATCAACGCCTGGAGAGTCCGTTCTCAGGGTCATGGACCCAGAGGGCGATAGCAACAGAAAATGTACCGTGGTAAGTGGCCGCTGACGAGTCTCAACGCTTCTCTGCACGGCGATTGCGATTGCGAACAGCTGCTCCGAGGAGAGTAAGCCAAGCTGCCAGCCAATCCCTCCGTGCCTCGATGCACGACGTGGACTTGGCAGGGCGAGGTCGATTGGACCTAACATGCATGACGTTTCAGGGTCCGCGCTAAGCTTTTGGGGCAAAATTCCAGGGGGCGTTCATACACCACCATACACTGCCATACACCGCCATGCCTCGGAAACAGGTGTCGAATAAAGAATTCGCGCGTGTCGTTGCGCTAGTCTCGAAGGACCGCTCATATGCAAATGTAGACTCGTTACGTGCGCATTTGCGTAGGAACGACTCTGCCTGCAACAAGCTGAATTCGAGATCGATTACGGACCTCGCGAAAAGGCTCTTACAACATTTTTCGTCTCTTAACCAAGACGATATTCAACATGACAATAGCCAGAGAGAGGGGAAGGTCAATGAAGGCTACGCGTACTCATGCTACCATGCGGCGGGCTTACAGCAGAATGACTTAGGCCCTTTATACTCTGTCGAAGACGCCGTTGTCCTACATAGACCTATAGGATCTCTTTACACTCTAGACATTAAGATAGAAGATGTCTCAGACTAAGTTCTATTAAAACTAGGTTATTAAACACTAAGCCTTAAGGAAGAAGCAACTTTAGATAGCATATCTATCTTAGGACATATCTTATTAAATAGTTCGCGCTTTAAGCAGGTAAGATTTTTATCTATTATTCCTTTATATATACTAATCCTATTAGTACGAAATTAAGTTCTAGTAATACCTAATTCCTTTCCTATTCCTATTGCAAATGCAAAGACTATAAGAAATTATAGACCTAACTTACGTCTATAAGCACTCTAGCATAGCGCTAATAGATTTGTTTACTATTGCTATACTGCTTAGCTTTAATTACTTTAACGCGTTATTATACACGTTTAGCGCTAAGGCAGCAAGGACTATTGCGCAGAACGTAGTTAAAGTAGCTAAGAGTTTATACTTCTTAAATATAGCAGGAGCAGAGAATTATAATATTATTAAGAATTCTAGCAGCACTACTAAGAATATAGAGAGAATACGCTTAGTAGCTTTAATAGCATAAGCTCTTATATAAAGTAACTTAAGAGTAATTATAAGCGCTTTATTGCTTAAGAAAGCTAACATTCTCTAGTTGCGCTAGGTAATTTTAATACGATTCTTATTAGGCTCTAATATATCTTAGAGTCCTTACTTTGCCTAATATAGTCTTGCTATTACTTTTAATAACTAGAAAGAGACTATTATACCTATTAACTTATAGGTCTATAGGTATAGTTAGAGACTTAAGCGTAAGATCTATAGCTTTCTTATTTCTTAATAGCGTGCTAGCTATTAATAGATATTATAGAATGCTTCTATATCTGCATTTTTTAAGAAGTTCTATAGCATTTCTATTATACGCTGCACTAATATTATCTTTATTCTAGAGGTCTTTTATAGTTTCTAATACTTTATAAGTACGCCTTAACCTTAATACTATGCTCTAAGCTAGTAGCTGTTAATAAGCCTAGGATAAGTAATAGAGGAAATTGCAATATCTTTATTTAGCTATATTTGCTACGCTTCTAGCTACAAATCTACTTCTTAGGAAGAGTTTTTATTGCTGTTAATTCTGTCCTCTTGCATTATAGATACTACTATAGATATCTATTTAGTAAAAGATAGGCCTCTAAAACCTTTTAATATCCTAGTCTTAGAGAAGTTTATATTTAGGCTATATCTAGCAGTATAAGTTAGTGCAGCAGAACCTCTTAGACCTAGTATATTTATTAATGCTAGCCTAAGTTTGCAATGCAAGATAATTGCAACTTATAGACCTAAGCTAATACTATTAGCTCTTTATATACTAACAGCTAGCAAAGTATCTATTATTAGCAGCTTAACGTTGCTATCAGCGCTACTAGAGAAGAAATATATAATATCTATACTTATTAATAGCATCATATCTTATAAGTTCTATATAGAGTATATCTTATCTCTAAAGCATAGATCTAAATACTGCTACTACTATTATAGAGTAGTTACTTAGACGATTATCTAGTTTAGAAACTAGAGCCTAGGCATTTTACGTATTCCTAATTGCTAAGACGTTATGTTTTATTAGCCTAGTAGAAGAGCAGATGCTATTATTCTAAGGTTTGCACGAAATGCATACGATGTATAGTATCTAGATAATTAATACTAAGTTTAGTTAACTCTTAGGCATATAGGCTATACTATACTCGCTATCTATAAGAGATATAAAGATAGAAGATATTATTATCTCTACGTCTATTAACTACAGCATAGCTCTTAGTAATATTAATATAATACTAAAGCTTTACGTTACCTCTAGCTAGACAATGCAATCTTATATTCTAATACAAAGATATCTCTCTAAGTTCTATATAGGACTAAAGACATATAGTCTTACTCTTAGAGAAGTTAGAGAAGCTATTTATAAGGCTAAATTTAGCCTAGATACGCACTAAGTGCTCTTATAGCATAGTTTAGTTAATATATTTATATTCTATTAAGCACTTCTTAGAGATAGTGCATTGCTTAGCCTACGCATAGAGTTAAAATTAGAAAGCCTATTAGACTTAGAAGGACGCAATTATCTCTAGCCTTTTAATATTGCTATTATGCTCTAATACTATAGTAACTTTATATATACTTAATGCAGCTACGTGTTTTATTTATTACTACTTAGAATTAGCATAGAGATGCATCTAGCAGATAATAACACGTTTGCTATATATTAGATCTATAAGCGACTAATGCTAGAGAGCGCACTCTAGGTTAAGTAAGAGCAAGTTGCATATAGTTAGAGTATTTAGCATTTATTACATTATAAGATATATATCTACTTTACGCATTCTAGTAAGATATCTATGCTTCTAATTATAGCCTATATATGCATCTTATATCTTTAATATATATTAAGATTAAGATAAATAGGTATATATAATAGATTAGAATCTTTATAAGGTTAATACTATGTTTGCATTATATATTACAGTATGCTAATATCTAACAGCCTATAATAGGTTTCTCTAGCAGAGCTGCTATCTTCTCTATGCATTTCTATTACTATAATAATGCTAAACTATACTGCTACCTATCTACTTCTTTATATTACTACTAGTCTATCTTGCTACTTTAGTATAGCAGATTATCGTAAGTATCGTATTAAATAGTTAAGTGCATGCAGAATATAATGCGTTTGCTATTATCTCTAGCTAGATAGTAAGTAATAGAAGTAGAAAGCAGTGCTCTAAAAGCGTAGTCTGCGTTAATAGAGCTTAAAAAGCAAAACCTTATAGTTATAGTGCTCTAAAAGCATAATTAAGGCAGTGCTCTAAAAGCATAATCTATATTAATAGAGCTTAAAAAGCAAAACCTTGCAGTTATAGTGCTCTAAAAGCATAATTAAGGCAGTGCTCTAAAAGTATAATCTGTATTAATAAGCTTAAAAAGCAAAACCTTATAGTTATAGTGCTCTAAAAGCATAATTAAGGCAGTGCTTTAAAAGCATAATCTGTGTTAATAAGCTTAAAAAGCATAACTAAGTTATATTAGATAGCATTATAATAGGCAAGTAATATAGCTGCCTTTATATAGCTTATTATGCTAAGCGCCTTCTATTAGCAAGATAATGCCTATAGTTTTACTAACAGCAGTCGCTACGTTAGTTAAGCTAGACGCTATAATAGATATATCTTCTACACGCTGCTAGTTCTGTTAGCATTAGCCTATATTTCTGAAACTTTATATTTACTACTTTACTTACTTCTTTGCGCGCCTTATCTGTCCTTCTTTAACTATAACTATAATGTTAGCTAATAATAGTATATTAAAGTTTATATCTAGTCTGCTAATTTATGCTAATTCGTTATATTAAGCCTATCTGCAGCGTATCTATTATAATATGCGAGCACAGATAATACTTGCGAATTAGTATCTAAACCTTATAGCTTTTAGAAACAATATTATTACTTAGCTAGAAGGTTAAAACTTTTAGTAGCCTTATTTTAACTAGATAAGGTTCTGTCTTCGCGTTAGGAATATATTAGCCTTCTAGTTAGCGTAAGATATTTACTAACGTAAAATAGGTTCTATCTGCTTAGTAAATCTACCTTAACTTTAAGTTTCTATAGCTAACATACTCTCGTTATTAAGTATAATATCTTAGCTATCTCTATTAGTAGTTCTTAGCGTTAATGCATCGCCTTTTACTAGCACGCTATAATTATAGAAGCCTATAGTCTTAAATACCTCTTATTAAAGTTTCTTAACTAGTATTTGCTTATTAATCTTACAGCCTTCTAATATGCATGCTCTTTAGTAAGTTAGTTAAAGCTTACATACTGCTAGAAGAGAGAGCAGATTTGCGTTGCTAGAAGTATCTTTAACTCTTAGCGTATTGCCTGCTCTAATAGCTAGTACCTTACGTCTCTTTAAATAGTCCTCTTATTTAAGTCTATTAATTATAACTACTCTAGATTTAATTGCTAAGGTCTGCTGCATTTCTACTATAGTCTCTAGTAATATCGTTAGCATCTTAGAGTTAGATTCTACTAGAAGGTATAATTTAAATATAAGTAGCATCTTTTTTATATCTATAAGATTACTGCGTTCTTCTATAGTAGTTAGCATACTTTCTTAATATATACTTATAGTAATACTTTTATAAGACTTAAGCACTACTATATCTAATCTTCTTTGCAGATTAGAGAACTTAGCTATTAACTCTTATATAATATAGCCTATGCATTTATTACTAGGCACTTTAGCCTCTACGCTCTCTTCGCTGTCTTCTGCCTTGCTTATTAGCTCTAAAGAGTAAAGAATTACTATACTAGTTCTAGCTCTAGTACCTCGCGCTAGCATAGCGTACGCGTTTCTATTATTAACTGCTAATATATAGATTATAGATGCTCGCTCTATTAATATAAGCCTATTCTCTACTAGAGCTATGCTCTTTATCCTACGCAATAACTCTCTAAGTTAGAGCGAAGCCTGCGTAGAAGAGCCTTATGCATATGCTAGTTATACTCTGCATATTAGCAGATATAAAGAGGCATTAGAGACTAGCAAGAATCTTATTCTTATCTTAGTATATAAGCGTAGAGCTTTGCCTCTGCAGAAAGTGTAACTACTACTTGCATAGCAGAGTACTCTTACGCTACCTACTACTACTATTTCTAGAATAGAAAGTTCTATAGCTAATCTAGATATAATAATATCTTTATATCCTTGCATTATTAATAATAGACCTATCTTTCTACAGTTCTAGAGTATTATATTGTCTATAGAACGCGCAGATAGGCTTATAGAGCTAGTAAAATTTAGTTGTTTTATTATTAGTTAACGTTTAGGTAAACTAAATGCTTCTTATAACTCTTAAGCTATATTAGAATAAGTGCTAGCCTTGCATATTACTAAGAGTTATTTAGGTAGATTATATAAATTGCATTTCTCTTTTAATTAAATATAAGCTAACGCTTATAGCTTCTCTAGTGTTAGCTCTTTATTAATAGGCGAATACCTATACGCGTACAACTGCTGTTAATCCTAGATCGTTAATTACTCTAGTTAAAGAGCTTCTTAATTAAGATAGTAAGAAGAGAAAGATATTAAGAGTTAGTATTAAGTGCAGCTGTAGATATACTAACAGTCTATAACTTAATAATAAAGAGTGTAGGATGTCTTAGGCTTAGAAGAAGTATAACTATAGTAGAGATTAATTTATTTGCTATTAACATAGAATTCTTTTTAAGTCTATTGCAGAGCTGCGCTAACACTACTTAGATATACTGCATGTTTAAACGCTAGCTATAGTCTTAAATATAATAATAATTATAGATTACTGTCTATATTAGCTATTTAGTTTTAATCTTCAATACTTCTTATCTCTTGCATATCGCCTCTATATAATAGCGCATTTTATGCTAATTATTATAATAGATAGTAAATCTGCAGCTGCTGTCTGCAGCGCTGCCTGCTATAGCCTATTTCCTATAGCTTAACTTACTCTAATGCTAATGTTAGGCCTTCTACGCGCTATACTTCTACTATACCTATAAAGTTCTTAAGCTCTAGTAATTAGCTGCGTAGCTTTTCCTCTTCTAGCTTAGCGCAAGCTACTATAATTCTACTCTTAGTTGCTAGGCTATATACTACGTCAGGAAAACTAAAAATCTGTCGAATATTTATTTCTATTGATACTGTAGAATTGACTGTGTCGCTAGCGAGTTGATCGATTCGAGGAATTTATGTTTGTTATCAAATATACTTTGAAACAAAACTTCGTCGAAATGGTCGGTACTGTCGGAATTGTCGGAACCGTCGACGCGACGGTCTAGCACGCAACTTTACCGTCTTCAACTGTTATATTTTCTTTCTCCCTACCTACTCTGTCTTCCCACCTGCGCTATTGAAGTTTACTTCTTTAATATACTTTCCTTAGTATCTTACTACATATTTACTTCTTTCTGCATTGTAACCAGACATCACAGATATCACTAGAAAGAGCTTTGTTAGGATTGTTGGTAACATGAGAATTATTCTATTACTATGCTAGTCCTGCATTCCATACAGTCATCTACTGTTAAGCACCGTTGAGCACCGTTGAGCACCGTTGAGCACCTTTCCTAGCAGTGCGCCGGACCTTAGCAGAGTGCTTCTAAACTCATGACAATCGGTTCAGTTTGATGCCAGTCCATGCGTTGATCCGTAACCGTCGATCCTCCACCTTGTAGTTTATCTCGGGAAGTTGTTTTGACGTCCTGCTTGCCCAGTACTTTGAGTTCCAGTTCACTGTCTGGGTTAAAATAGACAATGCCGACACACATTTCTGCCAACTGGCCGAGTCGGTACACTCGGAACATGAATTGATCCTGTGTGTTCTGCCTGTCTTGCGGCTCCATGATGACGACGTGCGTAGCTTCTGTCAGTGTGATTGCCTCTGCAAATGCCATTGAAGCCACCATGATCCAAGGCCCATCTGGATCCCTCCATTTAGCAAGCTTGAGGTTGATTTCGTGCTGTGTCATACCTCCCTGCATGACCAAGACGCTCTCGTCACCGAACTTCTCTCTCAAGCCTAGCCACGTCACTGCCTGCACGATTGGTTTATACGACCCTATGAGGATTTTGGCGCGGACTTCCTTTGGCGGTGGTGGTGTATTAGCTGCTTTCGCTGCATCTTCTGCTGCAATGCTCCATGTCCGGCTTGGCGTTCCTAGAATTTCAACCTCAGAGCATAAATTCGATAGGTTTTGAAACTTCGGGCTGCTTTTGGTTATAGCACGCGCCTCTCGTACTAGGAAATGGTCCTTGCTTGGGTTGGTAAAGAGGTCCTTCACGCTGTTTGACGTGAAGCGTTTGACTTTGCGGCTGCCGTATGTTTTGAACTGTGCTGCCTTTAGAGTAGCAAGCGCAGGGTAGGATGCTATCGCCTGCATCTCGAAGCGGTTGAAGATCACACGTCTGCTAGCTTCTGATTCATCAAGGCCTTCTTTTTCCAGGATATCTCTGCATTGTTGCTCAGCGTTTTGTACCGTGCTGAGGAAATCTGGACATGGGCAGCTTTGGAAGTAAGGCAGGAAGTCGCCCTTAATGCCGGATATTGGTTTGCCCCACGGGTCGCGCGTCTTCAATGTTCTTTTCAACATAAACCTCTGCGCTACTGCTGCTCCTTGAGATATAAGTTCTTTATACTCATGAGACGACTCGTGTTCGCTTGCGTCGTGCTTTACATTGGCAATCATATTGCGCCATTGTTTAGCCATTGCTAGGCCATTGAGGGCTGTGTTTTGGCGAGTCCTGTGAGATGGTGTCTCCGCAATCGACCGGTAGACTGCATCTTCCATCTTATAGATGCGATCGCCAGTCACGGAGTCTCTCTTGTCGGTAGCGTTGAACCAGTTAGAGACCCCTTTCCTGTTTTGAAGGCCAATGAGTGCTAGCGACACGAAGATCAAGATCTCATTCAGTCCTTGTTCCATAGGCGTTCCGGACAGGGCCCATGCTTTCCATTGGTATCCGTGGTTGTGGCTTCGAATATCCTGGTAAAACTTGGCCATGATTGTGCCCTCCGACTTGCAATTGTGGAATTCATCGAATACAGTCCGCCCCCATACAGTGACATGACCAGGAAGCAGTATCGCCCTCTTTTCCACATGAGGGCCGCCTTTGCGTATGATCGTTCGCTGTGCCGTGACGCTCATAGTGTTGTAAGCCCTAAACACATGCTTGTCTACCTTTCCGAAGCCGCAGACTATCACAAACCGTGCTGCTGACGGTGCTGGACGGTGCTTCGTAGCCTCAGGGTGCACAGCAGGCGTGTTCGCTTCCGGTATTGTCCAGTAGACTGTTTCTCGATGATCCACGCCTCCTAGCACGTAGCTCCGTGGGGCGACTAACTTATTGGCGGCAGCGAGCGCTTTGGAGATAGCGTCAGTGGTATCGATTCGCATCTCCATTGCTTCCTCTTTCGTTGGTCTGCCCATGTTCTCCGGGGGAGAGTCACTAAAGAAGCAGAACCGTAGGGCCAGCGGATCGCTTGGGTCGCACCACGTGGAGTTTGCAAGATCCATCGCGACTACCTCGTTCTTCCAGGCATCAGCTGCTCGCCCCCAACCAGTCATCATTGTGGCTGCTTGTCGAGGTTCGGCGTTGAAGGAGGGGCTCCTTTCGCACGCGCAGTGGAACGTTCTCTCGCCTTCAGTAGGACATGGCTTGTCGTCATCGTCAACTGCGTTGTGTTCTGTCGCGTCGCCTTCTGCTCGCGCATTTTGCACTTCCGTCCAGTTCTTGAAGTGAACGTGTCCCATGAGGACGGCGAGCACCATCGCTCGCGTTTTGCCCATGCCCATGGCGTTGGCAAAGATCCCGCCATTGTCAGATGACAACTCTTTGAAGTAGAGGATGTATGCGTCTGTGAGCTGGTATGGGGTGAAGTCGCAACTAACCCCCCAACATGCCGGTAGCTTTATTGTGCGCTTGTTCTGGAGGTCATCAATCGAAACGCCAAAGAATACTGCGGCCGAAGTCCACTCTTCCAGAGTGCAGTGTTCCATTGCCGTCCCCACTCTTGCAGAGAGACCGTCCCTCGTTCTAGTTTGTTTGTTAGCAGGGTGAACAGTGGTTGACTGTCTTCCACGGTGGACTTACTTGGCGTTCAATAAGGCTTTGAGCCTTTCCTTTTGTTCTCTGGCAAGGTCCTTTGCTGTCGTTGCCTCCTCGTCCTCCGAGTCATCCTCAGGGTCAATGTCCGAGCTGCTGTCTGAGCGGTAGTCGTCGCTGTCTAGCGGGCCATCTGGCTGAGTCTCGCGCTCCCGAGCTTCTTTCTCCTCTTTCTCTTTTTTGGCCTTAGCCAGCTCCTCTTCGTCCCTGGTCTTCTTAAGCTGCGCTTCCTTTCCTAACCGCTTTCTTTCAGCTGATCGAGCGCGGGCCGCTGCTCTGTCCCTCCTGCGTGGGCGCGGGACGTCGCTGCCAGTGTCGGAGTCCTCTGAATCTTTGTCTTTCTTGGTTCTTCCCCCGCTTGCTTTTGCATGTCTGCTGTCCGCTGCCTCGGTCTTACGGCGCTTGAGGGGAGGTCCGTCTGGTATAAGTTTGGAATGTCGGCCTCTCTTCTTGGGTGGTGAGGGCTGTTCTGGTGGTGAGGGCTGTTCCGGTGGTTCGTCAGGTTGGAATGTTACTGCATATAGATGTTAGTGGTGTATATTTCAGTTTTGAGGGTTCGTGCTATACCTTTATTAGAATCGCCTGGCGGTTTCGTTGTCTGGCATAATAGCATCACTGCTCCGAGCCTCCTCGACTTGATATGAGAGTTGACGGTGCCTAGCAAGTCGTCGTCGTCCTCAATGAGCGTCATCGTCAACGCATCCATGACCTGAGAGGTGCCTGCTTGGTACCAATCGGAGTACTTGGGCAATGACAAATGCTGGATGAGGGCATCGTACTTGAGGTGCTGGGCCCTAACCTCAAAGTAGTTCTCCTCCAATTTCTGCTGGCTTTCCTTCGTCATCAGCCTGAACATGGGGAATTGTTTGACGACAGAGTGATGCACAGCGTCTACTAAGGCAACATTGGCGTCATTCAAGATAGCCGGCTCAGTGAGTGATGCAACGCCGAACTTGTCGGTTATCGACGCTGTAGACCTGTTGGACACGACGGACGAAGACCGTCGCTGCGCCGTCTCAGACAGTGTCGGCGTTGGCGTGTTGCTCGGGTCCTCTGTCTTGACCTTGGCGCCGTACTGACGCACCTTGGCTAGCATCATCGTCCAGATAGTTCCGGCTGCAGCCTCGTGGAAGACTTTGGGTATTTGCGCATTTCGCAGCCGTGTACATTTGGCTACCGCAAGCCAGTCCTTTGACGTTGGTGAACGCAAGCTCTTCAGAAGCTGCGATTGGCTCTTTTCTGATTGGATCTTCTCGAGTAGGTCCTTTTTCTTGACATAGCTTGTAAGGTCCTCTACAAGTTCAACAACCTCTAAGGTCGTGATCCCATATCCTTCTCTTACATTCGTTTGTGACATGCTGTTGGAGCTTGTCGTGTTGGCCTTGCTCTTGTACCACTCTGGTTGCTTCGGCGGCGCCCATTCTGTGTCGCTGTCATCGTCGCTGTCACGTCCGGCCATAATAGCTTCGCGCCTGGAGTAGAAGACGGTTAGCGACCGTGTGTAATCGTTGGACTGTTGCTGAAAGTGCGTGTTAATATGTGGATGTCGCTTGGGAGGGTGCGCTTACTGACTATGGAGAGTTTGAGCGCGGTCGCAGGTTGTTGATGTGGGAAGCGCGTTATTGACGTGAGAAGCGCGTTGTGGATTTGAGAAGCGCGTTGCTGTGACAGTGGCGATGTAGCGAAACGTGTCGGTGGACAAAACAACGATAAAAAGGAATTGCAGCGTGATGTGTAAAGAGCTTGGGCTTCAATGCGCGGGGCTTGCAGAAAACATAATGTTGTTATGTAGCTGAAAAGGTTGTTGGTTGCGTTGCGTTTGTATGCACCGGGCAAATATGCCGGATGCGGGTGGGATAATAGGTGAGAGTGAGTGTGAAGTTGAGCAATGACAATGTTTCGACTTAAGAGCCGCTCCGCATAGCGGGCATGCTTTAGTCCAGCAGAACTTAATCATGCTGAACAGGTTGCTTGCTGCAGTCTGGTGACTGTCAAGATTTCCTGGGACGGTGCAGCACCGTCTCTCACTGTCCTCTGCCCGCTACGGGCCCTGCGCGCGGGGCATCGAGAGGATGCTGCGTGGAGGGATATTAGTTCAGCTTTGTCGAGCCAGTGTGTATCGAACCATGGAGTAATCGGTTTGTCCTGCAGTTGTCCGGAGTTAGGGTCAGAGCAGCTTTGAGCTCAATGTTATTTGGATGCGGTGTGGTAGTCGTTGTCTTCGTCGGTCCGGGGCGGTGCAGCACCGTCTCTCACCGTCTCTCACCGTCCCCCCCCCCTCACCGCCGCGAGTCCTGCGCGCAGGGCACCAGGAGGATGTTGCGTGGAGGGTATTAGTCTGACTTTGTCAGGCCGGTGTGCATCGAACCATGGAGTAATCGGTTTGTCCTGCAGTTGTCCGGAGTTAGGGTCAGAGCAGCTTTGAGCTCAATGTTATTTGGATGTGGTGTGGTAGTCGTTGTCTTCGTCGGTCCGGGGCGGTGCAGCACCGTCCCTCGCCGTCCCCATCTGCCACTGCGAGTCCCGGGCGCTGGGTATTGGAGAGTATGTCGCTTGGGGGTCATGAGTCCAGCTTCGTCAGGCTAGTGGGCATCGAATCACACATTTGTTACTCTGTCCAGCCGTCGTTTAAAGTCAGAGTCCAAGTACCTTTCGAGCATAATGTTGCGTAGAAGTTGTGTGGGATCCAAGGGCCTCGTCGGTCCGGAGCGGTGCAGCACTGTCCCTCGCCGTCCCCATCTGCCACTGCGAGTCCCGGGCGCTGGGTATTGGAGAGTATGTCGCTTGGGGATCATGAGTCCAGCTTCGTCAGGCTAGAGGGCATCGAATCACACATTTGTTACTCTGTCCAGCCGTCGTTTAAAGTCAGAGTCAGAGTATGTTTCAAGCATAATGTTGCTTAGAAGTTGTGTGGGATCCAAGGGCCTCGTCAGTCAGGAGCGGTGCAGCACCGTCCCTCGCCGTCCCCATCTGCCACTGCGAGTCCCGGGCGCTGGGTATTGGAGAGTATGTCGCTTGGGGGTCATGAGTCCAGCTTCGTCAGGCTAGTGGGCATCGAATTACACATTTGTTGCTCTGTCCAGCTGTCGTTTAAAGTCAGAGTCCAAGTACCTTTCGAGCATAATGTTGCGTAGAAGTTGTGTGTGATCCAAGGGCCTCGTCAGTCAGGAGCGGTGCAGCACCGTCCCTCACAGTCCTCCTCTGCCATCATAACTCCCGGGCGCTGGATACCCAAGAGGACGGTGCGTGGAGGTCATAAGTCCGGCTTTGTTGGGCTAGTGGGCATCGAACCACAGATTCATCGCTTTGTCCTGCAACTGCCAGGAGCAGGCAATGGGGCGACTTTAAGCTCGGGCGTCACACTATGACTCAGACACTGCAGTCTTGGTGGCGATGTTATGTATATCAGGTTGGTTTACGCGGTCGGAGGGGGGCTAGCAACTGTGCGTTGTGAAGGGGAGCTCGGTAGTATTGCGACAGTTCGATCAGAGCCGGAACCTACGCAGATGTTATCTCAGAGGAACACGTCGGCATTGTGAGGGACAAAGAATATTACATTGTGCCATTTTCATACCGTGTGGCAGTAGAGGCGATGCGCGATGTTGAGAAAGCATCGTCGCTTCGTTAGAAGGGAGGGATGGAGGTTTGCCATGGGAGACGTGCGCCGATAGAGCGTTGGTGTGGACTGCGTCTGTGCGTACGCCTCGCGAGCACCATCTCACCTGGAAACTACAATAACCCAGTATTTTCCGCAACTTAACTTAAGGCATTAGGCGTCGTAACTGCCACGTATTGTATTTGACTCCTAGGACAATGTTGATGAACTTGTCAGAACCGTCGAGAGGACAGTCTTGCATGCGACTCAACCGTCTTTGACCGTCGACCCTTCTTTCCAGCCACTTACTTTGTCCACACACACCGCTGCGCTGTTTAAGTTCACTCTTACTTGCACGATGTGGCAACGAGCAGTACTATCGCTCAGCGTTTGACACCGAATACGAGAAGTCGTCTAGTACAACGTTAACGTGTTGTAAAGATATTTAGATTGTGATTAACTAAGCACGTGTTTCGAAGCGCCTCTAACATGCGATAACCACATCTGCATTTCTTGCGGCATGAATCTAGCGCTATTACTTGACCCGCAAGGGGCACGTAAAAGAGGTACATAATCTCCCTTTCTTTGCCTAATTCTCTTCCGCTCTATTTTCTGCGAGAGGCAAGGACCAAAGTCGTCCACGTCGTCTCTGCGTTTCCCACGCCATGGAAGCTTTCATTCCTGACCTCACATGGCCGACAGCCCGCGTGCAAGAACACCAATCAACCCATCTGCGGTTCTGTACGAGCAGGCAGCTGCTCGAACCGGCCTCCCCGCCGAGGTTGGCAATATATCGTCCACATCGTCTCTGCTTTTCCCACGCCATGGAAGCTTTCATTCCTGACCTCACATGACCGACAGCCCGCGTGCAAGAACACCAATCAACCCATCTGCGGTTCTGTACGAGCAGTCGGCTGCTCGACCCGGCCTCCCCGCCGAGGTCGGCAATATGGACCTCGATTTCGTGCCCGGTGTTGCTTTCATCCCTGACGTCCACATGGCCGACAGCCTGCGTGCAAGAACACCAATCAACCCATCTGCGGTTCTGTACGAGCAGGCAGCTGCTCGAACCGGCCTCCCCGCCGAGGTTGGCAATATATCGTCCACATCGTCTCTGCTTTTCCCACGCCATGGAAGCTTTCATTCCTGACCTCACATGACCGACAGCCCGCGTGCAAGAACACTAATCAACCCGTCTGCGGTACTGTACGAGCAGGCAGATGCTCGATCCGGCCTCCCCGCCGAGGTCGGCATTATGGACCTCGATTTCGTGCCCGGTGTTGCTTTCGATGCCATGGGAAACGTAGAGCTAACGGGCGATTTGCCAGGTGACGCGGACCGCGTCAACAATAACAACAACAATGTTGCACCCACTCCACAATTCAGCCCGACCGCTCTACTCAACCCGCGATCACTCGCATCAAAACGCCCCGCATCATCTGGTAGCGACCTTGACCGCGGGCGTACCGATCCCACCATCGCTGGCCAAATCTCACTCGTTGAGCAGTTGCACAACGTCCAGGAGCGCACAGCTTCACCAGCGAAGCGAATCAAGACCGACGAGGACCGCAAAAAGTCTACGCATCGCCAAGGATTTAACGGTGGCAGCAGTCTCGAGTTACAAAAGACAAGTAGTCAAGCACCCTCGCAGACAGGACCGTCAATCGACTTGACAATGAGTAAACACTCCACCCCTAATGCATAATAACTAGTCTGACGCGGATTTAGGCGATGATGATGATGTTCAGTTGGTCGGAGACAATATGGAGGAGCTTATATGTGTCGGCAAAGTCAAGCACACCTACGTCCAGGCCCACACCGTTCCTTATCCCGACCCAAAGAAGTACCTCGGCAACAGTGGTCAGCAAGGCCGAATCAAGGTCTCATTCCGTCGAGCTGGAAACAATCGTAACAATCTCAATATCATGGTCACTGATCCCACCGGCAGAGAATTCGGTAGAGTCGACATGAAGTCGTCAACTGGATTGTGTCCATTGATAGATGGAGCGAAGGCCAATGGACTGATATGGATGGCTTGGACCGATATTCGACGAAAACAAGCTGGCGAGGGTCCTCCAGGCTCACCCTTCTCGGGGCTCATCAGCATGACGCTCCAGTTGTACTGTAAGCGGAAGTGGGCCCATGATATCGGCAAGTTCCATAAGGGCAAGAACATTCAGCTGCTACGACCCGTTTTCGAGCTCCAGCGCTACGACTACTACAACCCACAAGATGGCGACTCTCTTACACGGATCCAAGCGATAGATCCTAGCTTTCAGACCGATCAGTTCACCCAGCAAGGGCCAACACCTGGAGAACCAGGCAGTATCTACGTCTTGCGAAGCGTCGATGAGATCCGGGCTGACGTTGCCGACGTTTTCGATACGGTTGTCAGTAAATCGGATGAAGTACCTACGCGAGAGCCGTCTAGTCACATCAAGACAGAGCTGTATCCGCATCAGAAGCAAGCCCTCTATTTCATGTGGGACAAGGAGCAGGACCATAGCGCGGAAGAGCACGACCAGCGCAAGGACACTCTCTGGGCGCCGAGGCTTCGCGACAATGGTCGTAAGTTCTATCGTCTCGTCATCACCGGCGAGGATACGCACTGTAAGCAGACAATAAAGAAAGCATATATCATGTCACCAGAAAGAGCTTCATTGATATTATTCATGACATGAGCATTATTCCATTACCGTGCCAGTCCTGCGTTTCACACGGCCAGCTACCGTCGAGCACCGTCGAGCACCGTCAAGAACCATCTCTGTTGGTGCGCCGGACCTTGGGGGAGCGCTTCTAAATTCATGGGAACAGGCTCGAATTGCTGCCGGTCTACGCGCGGATTCACGACCTTGGATCCTGTACTCTGTAGTCTATCCCGCGAAATTATTTTCATACTCTGCTTGCTCAGGCCTTAACTATAGTCTCCCGGCTGACTGAGTCGATACCCTCAGAACATGAATTAGTCCAGTGTGTTCTGTCTATCTTGCGGCCCCATAATGACGACGTGCGTAGCTTCTGTTAGTATAGTTGCCTCTACGAATGCCATTGAAGCGACCATAATCTAAGGTCCGACTAGATCCCTCTATTTAGCAGGCTTGCGGTTGATATCTTGCTATGTCATACCTCCCGGCATGACCAAGACGTTCTCGTCACAGAACTTCTTTCTCAAGCCTAACCGCGTCACTGCCTGCACGACCGGTTTATACGACAATATGAGGGTGTTAGGATAGATTTTCTTTAGCGGTGGTAGCGTCCCAGCTACTTTCCCGTCCTCTTCAGTAGCAGAGCTCTAGGTTCAGTGTCGTAGCCATAAGGTACTGAGGGTCTTACATATACCCTTAATGTATTCGAACTCCGCGCTCGCTTCAAGCAAGATGTCTAGGTTCGCTGTGTGGCAGTTTTCGTTGCCTAGATGGTCGAATATATCCTCCGCGCTTTTCGCTGTTACGCGAATAACATAGCGGCTAATCGCCTTGAATTAGGCTGCCCTTGATTTGGCAGGCGAAAGATAGGCTGCAATTGCTTCAGTTCCGGGGCGTTCGAAGATTTGTTTTGAGCTGATTGCTACAGGTCCAAGGCCTTCTCGCAAGAAGACCTGTCTGCACCGTCGCTCAGCGTCTTCTACCGTGCTGAGGAACCTTGGTAGTTTGCAGCCTTAGAAGGAAGTGAAGAACTTGCCCTTGATGACGGATATTGGATTGGCCTATCGGTCGCTCGTCTTCAATGTCCTTTTCTACGCGAACCTCAGCGTATCCTTTGCTCCTTTCGCGGTCAGTTCCTTACACCATCTAACGCCTTGAATTGGTCTGCGCTGCACCTTACATTGGCGACCACGTCGCGCCATTGCCTGTTTATTACCAGGCCGTTGATGTCCGAAGTTTGAGAATGCTGGGGAGATGAGGTCTTCGCAGTTGACGCGTAGACTCTATTACACGTCTTGTAGGTGTGTTTGCCCGTCACTTTGTCCACTGCGCTGCCGCGTTCCGGACAGAGCCCATGCTTTCCATTGGTATCCTTAGTTATACTTTCGAAGATCCTTGTAAAACTTGGCCATGATTGTGCCCTCCGACTTGCAATTGTGGAATTCATCGAATACAGTCCGCCCCCATACAGTGACATGACCAGGAAGTAGTATCGCATTTGTTTCCACCTGAAGGATGCCTTTGCGCGTGATTGTTCGCTGTGCCGTGACGCTCATAGTGTTGTCAGCCCTAAACACATGCCTGTCCACCTTTCCGAAGCCGCGGACTAACGCAAACCGTGCTGCCGACGGTGCTGGACGGTGCTTCGTAGCCTCAGGGTGCACAGCAGGCATATTCGCCTCTGCCATTGTCCAGTGAACTGTTTCTACGTGCTCTAGGATCTTTAGTGTGAAGGTCTGTAGTCTAACTGACTTATTGACGGCGGCGAGCTCATCAGCGAGAGCGGTGGCAGTATCAGTTTGCATCTCTACTACCTCCTCATTCGTCGGTATGCCTATGTTCTCCAGAGCGGGGTCACTGAAGATGCAGAACCTTACGACCAGCGGATCGCTTGGGTCGCACAATGTGGAGTTTGCAGGATCCATTGCGACTACCTCGTTCTTCCAGGCATCAGCTGCACGCCCCAACCAGTCATCATTGTGGCTGCTTGTCGAGGTCCGGCGTCGAAGGATGAGACCCTTCTGCTCAGGCATTTCGCACTTCCGTCCAGTTCTTGAAGTGAACGTGTCCCATGAGGACGGCGAGCACCATCGCTCGCGTCCTGGTCATGCCCATAACGCTGGCAAAGATCCTACCCGTTATCAGATGACAACTCTTTGAAGTAGAGGATGTATGCGCCTGTGAGCTGGGTATGGGGTGGAGTCGCAATAACCCCCCACAAACGTGCCGGTAGCTTCATTGTGCGCTTGTTCTGGAGGTCATCAATCGAAACGCCAAAGAATACTGCGGCCGAAGTCTACTCTTCCAGAGTGCAGTGTTCCATTGCCGTCCCTACTCTCGCGGAGAGACTGTCCCTCATTCTGGTTTGTTTGTTAGCAGGGTGAACAGTGGTTGACTGTCTTCCACGGTGGACGTACTTGGCGTTCAATAAGGCTTTGAGCCTTTCCTTTTGTTCTCTGGCAAGGTCCTTTGCTGTCGTTGCCTCCTCGTCCTCCGAGTCATCCTCAGGGTCAATGTCCGGGCTGCTGTCTGAGCGGTAGTCGTCGCTGTCTAGCGGGCCATCTGACCCAGCCTCGCGCTCCCGGGCTTCTTTCTCCCTCTTCTCTTTTTTGGTTTTAGCTAACTCTTCTTCTTCGCTTGCTTTCCTGAGCTGCGCTTCTGATTCTAACCTCTGTCTTTCAATTAATCGAGCGCGGGCCTTTATCCTCGTCTTCCCGGTAGCAGTGTCGCTGTTACTGTCGGAGTAATATAGGCTGCTGCGATTCTTGTTTCCTCCTTCTCTTACGTTTGCACCTACCTGCTTTGATGCGTCCGCTTCGCGGACCTCAAGGTGCTTCTTAGAGTGTTTGTCTGGTAGAATAAGAAATTATTGGACTCTCTTCTTGGATAGTGAGGGCTGTTCAGGTGGTTCGTTGGGATGGAATTGTACTGCATATAAATGTCAGTGGAGTATATATCAGTTTAAGTTTTTCTGTTCTACCTGCACTAGGAATACTTAGTGATTTTATTGTCCGGCACAATGGCATTACTTCTTTAAGCTTCCTCAATTTGATGTGCGAGTCGATGGTGTTTAGCAAATTATCGTCATCCTCGATGGGCGTCACTGTCAACGTGTCCATCACCGGAGATGTGCCTGCTTTGTATAAATCGGAGAGCTTGCACGCTGAAAAAAAAATTATAGGGACATTATACTTAATGCGCTGGATCCTAATGTCAAAGTCTTCACTTCTCTACCTGTGTCCGACGATCTATTGTTATCAGCCCCATCGAGGGTACCGCTTAGTAGACAGGGATCAGACTAACCACGTTCGCGTTGGCCGGTAAAAACGGCCCGGTGAGTGATGCAAAGCCTTATTTGTCGGCCATCAATGCCGTAGACGTATTAGACACGACGGACGAAGACCGTGGTTGCGCCGTCTCAGACAGTGTCAGCGTTAGCGTGTCACGAGGATCCTCAGTCTCGACTTCATTGCCAAAGTGCTGCAATTCGGTCACTATTATATGACGGATAATTGCGGCTGCTGCTTCGCGAAAGACCGGAGGAGTTTGCGCATCTCGTAGTTGTGGACAGGTTGCTACTGCCAGCCAAACATTCGAAAACCGCGTACACAGACTCACCTGATGTTTGAGTTGGGGTTTTGGTCTTGAATCTTCTTTTCTTGAACCTGGCTCGAGACATGTCTGGCAAACTCCTCTACCAGATCGTGAACGCTGAGGTTTGAGAGACCATGCCTCGCCCCCAATTCCCTTGTGAGATGCCGTTAGTCTCTGCTGCCCGAGATTCGACATTGTGCCCGGCACCTTATGGTGGTGGCAGCCATACTGTGAACCATGTCATCCTCTCAGGTCACTTAGCCCATCTCGAGCTCAGCCTTGCGGTGGTAAGCGGGCAGGGGCAGTGTTATGAGTATAGACGGCTGCCATGGACACGCGGTCGGGTATGGATGTCGCTTGGAAAAGTGCGCGTGTGCGCGGGACAGTCGCGGCAAGAAGGTTGTGGGAAGCGATTGAATCGAAGAAACTTTGGCGTGAGTATAGATAGGTAGTGGGTTAAGGTCAAGGCGAAGTTGTGCAAATGACAATGTTTCGACTTAAGAGCCGCTCTGCATGGCGGGCATGCCTTGGTCCAGCAGAACTTAATCGTGTTGAACGGGCCGATTGCTGCAGCCTGGTGGCCGTCTATATTTCCTGGGACGGTGCAGCACCGTCTCTCACTGTCCTCTGCCCGCTACGGGCCCTGCGCGCAGGGCACCGAGAGGATGCTGCGTGGAGGGGTATCAGTCTGACTTTCTCGGGCCGGCGTGCATCGAACCATGGAGTAATCGGTTTGTCCTGCAGTTGTCTGAAGTTAGGGTCAGAGCAGCTTCGAGCACAATGTTATTTAGATGTGGTGTGGTAGTCGTTGTCTTCGTCGGTCCGGGGCGGTGCAACACCGTCCCTCACCGTCTCCCTCCACCACCACGAGCCCTGCGCGCAGGACACCAGGAGGATGTTGCGTGGAGGGTATTAGTCTGACTTTGTCGGGCCGGTGTGCATCGAACCATGGAGTAATCACTTTGTCCTGCAGTTGTCTGAAGTTGGGTTCAGAGCGGCTTCGAGCACAATGTTATTTGGATGTGGTGTGGTAGTCGTTGTCTTCGTCGGTCCGGGGCGGTGCAGCACCGTCCCTCGCCATCCCCATCTTCCCGGGCGCTGGGTGTTGGAGAATATGTCGCTTAGGGTCCATAAGTCCAGCTTCGTCAGGCTAGTGGGCATCGAATCACACATTTGTTACTCTGTCCAGCCGTCGTTTAAAGTCAGAGTCAGAGTATGTTTCAAGCATAATGTTGCGTAGAAGTTGTGTGGGATCCAAGGGCCTCGTCGGTCCGGGGCGGTGCAGCACTGTCCCTCACGGTCCTCCTCTGCCATCATAACTCCCGGGCGCTGGGTACCTAAGAGGACGGTGCGTGGAGGTCATGAGTCCGGCTTTGTCAGGCCAGTGGGCATCGAATTACACATTTGTTACTCTGTCCAGCCATCATTTAAAGTCGGAGTCAGAGTACCTTTTAAGCATAATGTTGCGTAGAAGTTGTGTGTGATCTAAGGGCCTCGCCAGTCCGGGGCGGTGCAGCACCGTCCCTCACGGTCCTCCCCTGCCATCATGACTCCCGGGCGCTGGGTACCTAAGAGGACGGTGCGTGGAGGTCATGAGTCCGGCTTTGCCAGGCCAGTGGGCATCGAATTACACATTTGTTGCTCTGTCCAGCCATCATTTAAAGTTAGGGTCAGAGTACCTTTCGAGCATAATGTTGCGTAGAAGTTGTGTGTGATCTAAGGGCCTCGCCAGTCAGGAGCGGTGCAGCACCGTCCCTCACGGTCCTCCCCTGCCATCATGACTCCCGGGCGCTGAATACCCAAGAGGACGGCGCGTGGAGGGCATTCCTTTGGCTTTGCTAGGCCAGTTAAGCAGGGTAGATTATAGGTATAGTAAGCACTAAACTACGGTGAAGCTCTTAGTAGCAACTCTAATAAAATAACATATTCCGGATTACCACCGAGCCCTAGCAAAATTCCTGTCTGCCTTCGCTGAACGAGAACAGTAAAGAGGTAACTTGGATATGTTCAAAACCTTTTCCAAAACCAGACAAGATATCTTATAGCACTGAATATATCCAGGTTTCTCTGTAAACTTTTCAGTGCGCTCTTAGAGACTATTAGCTGCTATCTGGAGTTGGAGTCAGAGTGACCTTGACCATAATGTTACTTACGTCGACAGTGGAAGTCGTCGTCTTCGTCGGTCCGGGGCGGTGCAGCACCGTCCCTCACCGTCCTCCTCCACCACCAGCACGAGTCCCGGTCGCTGGGTATTGGAGAGGATGTAGAGTTGCAGGTCTATCTGCAAGTGGCCCGATGATTGGAGAGAAGAAAGGAGGGAGGAAAATAAGCGAGATTTATATGCCCGCTGGCACTGGCACGGGGCTGCTGAGAGGCAAGCGAAAAAAAAATCAACAGCAGGGCAAGTATCTCTTCGCGCTCCTTCTCGCCGCGAACGTACTGCCACCTAGGGAGCCAGATCGCTGCAACTACCACGTCGAAGAAGCCAGCAAGCCCACTCTGAGAGCGGCCGATTAGAGCAGGACCCATACGCAGAGATGAGGATCACGTGACATTAAATCGCACCATATTGCGCCCTCCGTTTGACCTGTGGCAGCAAAAGTGGTGCTTAGTATCTAGGAACCCAGTCGCTCAACTAGACCTGGGAGAGGGGGTGAGGTGGGTATGTAGAATGGGAGAGGGTTACAGAGTCTTCGGCAGCGTGGGACGACGGTGGGCGACCGTCTGCGACCGTCGGCCACCGGAGCCGGGCGGGAACTAGCAACACGGTGGAATGAACTTATCGTACACAGCCGTCAACCTACGCAAGAACATCGTAAATAACAACTCTAACGCTATTTACTTATTCATAAAATAATACCTCTTCTGCACAATACAGTTCCCCTCCGTTCTGCGCATGGATCGCTTCTGTACGATATGCGGCTTCCAGCCTAAAACCTACGCAGGGCTTGCCAAACACACAGCTGGATGCTATTCCCGACATCTTGCGCAACAGAGTCTGGAACCGTCTGAGAATGTTTACGAAACACTCCAGTCAAACGAAACGTACACGTCATTGAGCAACGAGTATAATACTGCTCAAGATAGGAAGGTGCATGTATGTGCGGCAGACGGCTTAAGCTCTACTGTGACAGTATATGATCACATCGAGAAGGATAAAAATGCAGACTTGGCAATAGCTGATGGCATTTCGGATGCACCAGATATGTGCGCAAAGGACGACCTTGTTGGACGAAAGGGCCCGTTGTCAACATCCACGCAGACGTGGGAAGTGCTGTTTCAGACACACGATGGGCGATTGGCAGGGGAACCAGCAACAGCAGAGTCTGTAACTGCAAAAGAGTATGTAACACTTCCTCTAACATGATCTAGACTAAGTTTACTAGCCCTAATCACGTCGACACCTTTGGTTCAGACTTTGCCTTTTCGTTTGCTGCATGGCTGCAACGGATTAAATGCACGCTAGGAGATGTCGATAGCCTCTTTGCAGACGCACGATTACATGACTTACACACGAGATTACCATTTCAATCAGGCCGCCAATGGCAAGAGGCAATGTCAGCAATGCAGTCCGGTATACAAGATGATATTTGGATACAGGAGGACATTGCTAAGACGTCTGGTCTTTCTGGACTTGAGGCCGACCAACATTTTTTCGTATATCAGAACATCTTGTCGCTGATTGCGTTTATAATCAGCCATCGCCCATTTGCAGATGAATTAGTATACGCCCCAAGCCAATTCTTCTCAGGCAATACGGACTATCCTGTTCGCGTTTATCATGAATTACATTCTGGAGACTGGTGGTGGAACATACAACAAAGCCTACGAGATGGAGCAACAGTCGTGCCGATTATTATATCAGTCGACAAAACACAACTCTCACTTATATCAGGAGATGTAGCAGCATGGCCAGTCTACGTCACAATTGGGAATCTGTCCCGCGAAGCCCGACGTCGGAGATCGACACCTGGTACTCTTCTAGCTGGGTTCATTCCTACAACTAAGATTCGTGATCCCCTTCTTAAGAGTCAAGTGTATCACTATTGCATGGGCAAGCTTCTGTCACGTAAGTTCAAGCACCACTATATCAGCCTGCACGGTAGAACACTGTTGCTCACTGTCTAATACAGCACTGGAAAACGCGGCTAAGTCTGGAATACTACTTGCATGCGCAGACGGACGAACAAGGCAGTGTTACCCAACTATTTGCGCGATATTGGCTGACTACGAAGAACAAGTACTCTTGACCGGTGTAAAGAAAAATCGCCATTGCACGCGTTGTACCGTCGCACCTGACGACAGAGAGGATTTATGTGGATCTTACCCATGGAGAACAGAGCAATTCACTCGGCTACAACAAGAGAGATGTCTTGATAAAGGACACGACGACTTTGTACATCCAGTTGATTGTTTCGGGTGGAAGCACCATAACTTTAATATTCACGTGTCTTTAGCAACGGATACATTGCACTTGCTGCTTAAAGGTTTAGTAATGAAGATGCTAGACTTTATGCAAGATATGTTGGACGACATCTATCCTGGCAGCAGAAAGACCTGGGATAACAGTACTACACCAGTAACGCAAGAATCTGGTAGTACTCAGTTAAACGAGCGCTTCCGTCAGGTAATGCATAGTACTGGCCTGAAGCGTTTTAATAACAAGAGAGCATTTACAGAAGTCTCCCAATGGACCGGCACAGAGCAAAAGGCAATCATACAACAGCTTGTGGCTGTCGTATCCCCGTTGTTTGTATCGAAGGCGCCTTTCGCGCTGCATTTTATTCGTGCAGTATGCGACCTAGTTACACTGGCGCAATACAAGAGTCACGACGAGGATACCTTGGCCTATATTCAAGGAGCACTAGAGAGGATGAATGTATTCAAGGAGGAATTTCGAGTGTATCGGCGAACGCTAGGGGAAGAGAAGAACTTCAATTATCCTAAGTGGCACGCGTTGACACATATCATACAAGACATACGCATGTATGGAGCTTTGGATGGTATATGCACTGGAGCGAACAGCGAAGCACATCACATCACTATGGTAAAACAGTTCTACTCTATGACAAACAAGAAAGAGTATATACTGCAAATATGCTTGCATAATTCTCGGAGGACGGCACTACTGGCAGCTGACCATGCCACTGTGGTTAAACAGAGTCGACCGTCCACTACTGTCGACATCCAAGATCGCACTTATTCCACGAGAGTGACACGCCCTCTTCCCTTCCGCAGGCTCGGATGGTCAATACCAGGAATACAGCCTCATTCGACAAAATTGCCCCTAAGCGAGGTCGCCGCAAACATAGCAATATCTGACTTTACACATGCAGCAGCAGTGTTTGTCCGCAACAAACGCCAGGCGGCAGCAGGCCAACTAATCACTTCTTACGACGAGGACCGTTTGGATGTCGACCCATCTTGGGTTGGCCGTATGAGTGTACAGATTCACCCTTCCATAAAGTGCTGGCGGTCCTCTGGCAAGAGACACAACGACCCTGAACACTGCGACGAGGAGGTTGTAAGATGCGCACCTAACTGGCAACAGACAGGCCTCTGGCGTAGAGACTACGTTTGGGTACAAGAATTTGAGCATGGAGACAATAGACGACAGTCTAGGACGGTGACGGACGGTAGAGTGGTAGCCCAGCTCCACCTAATACTTACAATTATCGACCATACCCGCTACGACAAAGATGGAAAACACATGGCGTATATTGGGGCATTCTCCGAGGTATTGCTGTTCAATAACAATGGACAGATCGACAACACTACTGGAATGTTGAGTGTGCGTCGACGGGCCTGGAACGCAGCCCCTAAACGCCGGACATTGCAAGCTTTTAAGTTTTACGACCTGAGCACGATTATCCGCCCAGTGCACTTGGTACCAAGGGACCTGCCTGATTCAACAACTCGTACTACTATGTCTTACTACGTCAACAACTATATCGACTGGGACGAATACAACCGCCTGTACTCGCCGACATTTGACATCGATTTACTGCGCACGCTACGAGAGTATCGACGGAAGCGAACACGAAATAACTGAGGATAGCCCTTCATACATAATTCACAAATCTTAAAGTAAACGTTAATCGCTTGTGTCGAGTCTCCTTCCTGCATTGAAATTTTCGTCGATGGAGAGATATGGCGGAAGCCATGTCTTATGCCCTCGCCGCGTCTCACTCATTTATCCTCCTCGTCCTCATCCCCCATACCTGAATCCATCTCCCCATCCTCCTCTAGATCACTCTTACTCCCTCCAAAGCTCTCGACATCACTGTCCTCTCAACTCATCTCAAGTCCGCTTCGTCCTTCTCCTCCCGCCACGCCGTCCCGTGCGTCGGCATCACAAAAACCCGCGGGGATCTCCTGCTTCGACAGCTCGAGATCCTCGTTGACCAAGCCCTTGTACTCGTCGGGTTGGTCGCCCATGCAGCGTGTGGAAACCGTGCTGATCTCAATCCTCTCCCTCCTCAACGACGCGGAAGTCTCGTCGCCCGCCAATGCCGACGCAGGCGTAATGCTGCGCAACAAATCCGACGAGTACAAAGGCCTGGTTAACAAGGATCTCGAGCTGTCGAAGCAGGAGATCCCCGCGGGTCGTTAGCTAGATGATTACATAAGCTAGACTGGAGTTGCGAAGACGCTGCGCGGCATGCGCCCCATCTCCACAAACAACGACTCATCAAGACACGAGCAGCAACAACGACCACCTATACCACGACGGTTCTCCAAGACGAACGACAGTACTCCACTGTTGACGACAGAATCCTAAATCGCTACATCTTTGCAATTATGACACCACTGCGACAAACACGGGAACGCTCGTCCAGGGACAGCATCTGCGACGCGATGACCTTAACAAGCGATGAATACGAGACACTATATGCAGAAGTTGAGAGAGAGATGAGAGAACGAGCTATATTATGTCAGTCTCTGCGAACGACGACTGCAAAAGAGCACATCAGACAGATAGCGAGGGTGGTTGCGTCACGACAGAACAGCCCGCTGCAAAGTACGGCGCCCGACAGTCGCCTACGTACAATCACGCACTTAGCAGTCCGATGTAATCACAATGCAACACGACGGATGCGCTCCGAGCGACGCAAAATGCGATGTAACCATAATCCTGAGACTGGGCTGCGGAACAATGATGGATATGCTGAGGCTGTGGTCCACAGTGCCGGACAGTCTAACACCGTAAACAACGCTCCTCAACTGTCAACCATTCTGGTAGCTAGTGCACACGAACAGGATCAGATCCTTATACGAACGGACCAACTGCTGTATGTGCGCGACGACCTAGCAACAGAATACAAAGATATTAGTAGCCTTGACTATACACAGTTCATACGGACACTCGAGAGAGAGGTGGGGTTTGAGGATAAACGCAGTGGCATATACTACTACACGAAAACAGCAGATGGTTGGACTCGTATACGAATATCAACGGAAGCACGCTGGCATGGCGCACTGCAAGATACGGTTGCAACGAAACTCTATAGGGCTACATTTGTAATTGAACCATTAATATGATATGCGTCTCAAGAAAAACGTTTTAGGGGGTCCTTGTAGGAAAATTGAGCTGAAGCCTGCGCTGTGCTCTTTCCTCGATGCTACGGACATATTGTATCGTCAGGTGTACTAATAACGCCGGGAACACGGCTGTAATTCAAACAAATTAAGCCGAATAGACCTAACAAGGCAATAGATAAGCGCCCCTGAGACGTGCTGACAGGAATCGACCGTAGGCGACACCGGAGGACAGTCGACGACGGTACATCCACCAATCATACAGCACGGCGGATGACCCCTTGCAAAACCGTACAGGGAGCGCAACAATTTGGGGGTATCTGCATGCCCCAACACACTCTTCGAGACATAACTAATCCTTCGCAGACTGAACGCGATTCTTTACTAGTATGAACCTGCGTACCACACAGAAAAACGCGTAATTATGGTAAAGAATACAAGAAACCAGCAGGTGCGCGGCGGCGTGGCACTACCTCCCGTGAAGAGGGCGCGGCCGCTCAGTCAGACACAAGAGAGCGTGAAGGTCTGTATCGAAGACAGACACTGACACCAATAGCAAGACTAAGAATCGTAGAAATCGAGAACTATGCAAAGCGCAACTCTACCGTCTTTATCACGAGAGACTATACTACAATCAAACTCACAAGACTCAGCAACTTCTACATGGTCTCAAACCCACGAACCTAGAAGATATGCCGGTTCTAATAAAGGGACGCCTGCACCCTCGCGCACCAGTCAATCCATGGAGACTGGACATCAAGCCGGAATGAAAACGATCAGTCGACACAAACCAAAACAGAACACTGCCGCCACGCGGCACACCTCTCAAACACAGAAGAACGCACTGCGTTCTGTGCAATGTAAGCAAAGACACCACAATCACTGAAGTAGTTCACGTCAACTTACATGCATAAGCCTTCCTTCCACTGTCTCATCCAGCAGACCCGTTTCATCAAATGCCATGGGGAACACAAAAACGCCGGACGAGAGAACCAGTGCAACCTGAACACGAAAGTACACTTAACAAGGCTCGGGTGATATTGTTATCGCAGTTGTTAACAAACGACGGGACGACGCCATGTGGTACACCTGTCAATCCGTGGCTGGACGCTCACAGGAGTGTATTCGCACAGCTGATGCTGGACGCATGGTCAGAGGCTCGGAAAACAGCGCCCCTGCCAGTCCGCTCGTCCATAGCGACCACGCCCTGCAGGAGTGCAGCCCGCCAAGTGAGTACGGTCGCGGACCGTCTACAACCATGGCTGACAGTACTTGTTAGATGTTAGACATGTGCAGCGACCTGCGGACGCATGTGATGAGACAGGCACGCATAGAGGTTACAGCCGCATATGCCCTGAACCATCTCGAACTGCGAGTCCTCAAACCGAGTGAGCTGCTCCAGGATTTTGTCTACCTGCGCCAGGATCCTAGGAATGTGAGTTAATCTAGGACACGATGGCATTAGCTTACGGAGTAATAGCCCGCGTCGCCCCGGTTCCTAAACAGTGCAATTGCGGCCATCATAGCGCGAGCGTTCTACAACAATGGAAAATGGGGTATCGGTGCCATGGCAGGGAACCAGGATAAGTTTCAGTTCCTAAGCGCTAACATGATGGCGCTTGTGGGCACAGTGTTATATAATGCTATCAAAGAGTACCACGACGACGGAACGAGGAAGACAATCCATTTCCACGGTCATACCGTAGAGGGTATGTTACAACAGCACTGAACAACGATAGCTAACATAGTATAGATAATTATAACGCCATCCGCGAGAAGTGGAAAAGGCTGAGCGAGATACGCCGTCTCCTCATTTGGGACGCTTTAAAACAACAAATAGCCATACACGCGAACCACATTGAAAACTCTGGATCTAACGTTACCGTGCCAGACGACCATCACGACAACGACGTTGATGACATTCTTATGAAATGTACAGATGATGAGCGGCAACGATATAATACATTAATAGAAGACTATAATCGCGCAGGGAAACGAGAAGACAACATCCTTACTGTGGATGAGTGCAGAACCGGTCACAGCAATGAGGAAGATATAGAGGCTGACGAGAGAGAGGCAAGATGCCTAATATGACATAAGGGCAAAAGCTAACAGATAACAGGAAGAGACTAGAGTGCGACTGCGCGAATCATCGGGGGAAATACACGATATATTGCTCAGAGAGTTTCGTGGAGCTGACGACTTTACGGAAAGTGTGACACACAACGACGACGAGCAAGTATGGTTTCAGAATAAAGGGAAAGGTTGGAGCATTGTGACGGACAGCACGTGGGACGAGTTTGCTATGTTAGCAGAGGAATACACGATAGACAATCGCATTGTACACGCCCTAGCGCTGACGAAAGACGAATGGGAATTAGAGCCAGAAGACTGCGACGCTCTGGTGGAAAGATACGAAGAAGAGATAAACTGCTCCGACCTGTACAGTACTGTGTAATAGTTGAATAGATAATGCAGGGCAAATTAGCAATCAATAGCTATACAATTGTGTTTCCGAAATGCATCGAGTCTGCTGTAGTTCCTGGAGTGACGACACTGTCTCGCACAGTCGCCGACCGTGCAGAACTGGCTCGCACGTGGTTGCAGATACGAGACTCTATCTCTAATGGCACCGGATTACGGACAGAGTAAGCCTGATAGCTGCAGCTATGTTTGCACAGAGGACTTGGACTGCCTACAAAACATGCGCAACTGACGTAGTCTACCTCTTCTGCTCTTTACGGAGTATACAGAATGTTCAGTATGCTAAGTCTGACGACTAAGCACAGTCGAGCAATGTAGCTACACGGTGCTAAACGGTAGAGGACAGTAACCAGACTGTTCCGACGTCGACCCGACGTCGGAAAAAAGTGACTGGGGCGACTTTGTCGAATCGTCATATCTGTCGAATCGACGGCGAATTGCGGCGACACTACCGACCAGACACTTTTCACTTTTCCTGACGTAGTATAAAGAGTAAAGGTAAGGCAGCTATTAATACCTCTACTATAGATACGCGCTGCCTAGTTACAGAGAACTTAGATAAAGGAATAAGTCTTAGTAAGCAGAGTAATATTAGCGCTATTAATATTCCTTAAGAATATAAGCTTATAAAATTTATAGGCGCATTAGCAGAGAGACTGCAAAAAGTAGAGAAGCTATCTAATATCTTGCAGTTAATAAGTAACATTATCCTAATTAATAGTAATATCTCTAAGGAGCCTAATAACGAGTTTAATTATAATATTATAATAGATATAATACTTAGACTACTAGAATCTTTCTTAAGTTCTTTCTAGTTACTACTAATACGCAGACTAGCTTCTCTGCGCGCTCTTATAAATAGAACTTCTGCTATGCAGACCTATAGCTCTTATAATAGCATTAAAGTCTTAGAGATCTCTAGCATGCTAAATATAATACCTCTACCTATAAAGAGAAAGAGAAGTGCGTCTAATAAAGAGACTAAAATAATAGCAGTAAAAGTCTAGAAGATATAAGATATTAGCATTTATATTCTTAATCTTGCTAACTAATATATAAGTAATAGTAGTTAGTTATAGAGCATACTTATATTAATTCTTCTAAGAGAGCTGCGCAATGCTATTTATAAGGAACTGTTTAGAAGCTTTACGTACTTTATAAGCTATATCTATACTATAAGCACTAGATAAAACTTATAGAATACGCGCATCTTTTCTACTATTACTTCTAAGATCTAGCTATTCGCCTTTGCACGAATATGCAGAATATTCTACTCTAAAACTTCTCTACTTCTATACTGTTTTGCAGGCTGCTTTATCTTTAAGAATACTAATAATCTAGATATGTTCTTATAGGCAGAAAGTTTCTAGGAGCTTACAGAGATATTAACAATTAGAATTAGAACTTATAGAAAACCTCTCTACACGTAAATTATAACATTTATATAGATCTCTAAGGTGTACTATTAGAGTTAGAGTAATTAGAGCTTAAGCTAAAGAGTATATATCCTAAAGCAATGCCTAGTTTAAGAGCCTTATCTATTATAGATCTATTATTTAATATATATAAGAAGAGTCTAAGATTAAGACGCGCAGTATATCGACTCTTAGAGAATCTTATAGTTTATATTTATGTTAACAGTGCCGATCTCAGCTAATTTATATAGGATGTTTATAGGCCTTAAGTATCTATTAATATTATATCTCTATATTTCTTTTATCTAAACATATCTATTCTTTAAGTAGTCTTATTAGTGCGTATATATGTGCTATTACTATAGCAACTATAGTAGCGCCTCTTACTGTTTATAGAAGCTTCTAGCTCCTTAGCTTTCTAATAGATACTCTTAATCTTACGCGTCTTTAACCTTATTGCCTATAATCTTATTACCTTTAATAGTAGCGCTGCTAGCAATAGCGTTACTGCCTCTATAGTATCTAATATTCTATTCTCTCTACTACTTGCGCCTTAAATGCGCACGCCTTATCTGCTTATGCTTAATAATGCGTAAACTGCGCTCTTAGCACTATTTTGCAGGCTTATACCTAGTTCT